GCAGCGGTCGTTGTAGGAGCCGGTCCGGCTGGAGTGGCCGTCATGGGAAACTTGTTGGAGCGCCAGCTGGGTACAATCGCATGGATTGATCCTTCTTTCGAGGCCGGGAGAGTCCACAGCAAGTATCGCGAAGTTCCCAGGTTTGTACCGAACTCTTGTGACACGTAAACAAAGACCGCAAGATACTAACGAGGATACCCAGCAACACCAAAGTTTCATTATTCCAAGCATTCGCAAAAGCCACAAAACCTTTCCAGAAAGTCATCGATAACACCAAATCACCAAATGCATTCACCAAATTGGCCAAACTCGACCAAGAATCCACCTGCACCCTTGGTTATGCAGCGGATATGGTTCGCGGCCTGACAGACGGTCTACTAAAGATGGAGGAAGTATATGCATGCCACGGCCTTGTCAAATCAGCCAACCTGAACGAAACGGTTAGCGATCTTATTGCACTACTTCTATATCAAAACTAATTATGACATCATCCAGACCTCCAACTGGACCATTTCCATCAAACAGAATTCATCCGAAGATCTCGAGATCATCGAGGCTACCCGCCTGATCCTCTGCACAGGCTCCTTCCCCACAACAGCCCCCATTCCCGTCGCGGGACTGGACATCCAACGCTTGGACCTCGACCTAGTCCTCAAGCCCTCAGAACTAGCAGAGACCCTCCCCACAGACAGACCTATCTCCGTCGCCATCGTCGGCGCATCCCACAGCGCCATTCTCGCCATCCTAAACCTCACCCAGCTCGCCCAAACCTCCCACCCTCTCTTGCGCATTAGCTGGTTCACCCGCCACCCCCTCCGCTACGCAGAGTACAAGGACGGCTGGATCCTGCGCGACAACACCGGTCTCAAAGGCCTAGCTGCGAACTTTGCTCGCTCCGAGCTGGAAGACGACAAGCTTGCCACTTCACCTGCTGGCCAGGTCCTGGCTAAGATCGACTGCGCCGGTGGGCAAGAGATCGAAGCTGCTCAGTACCAGAAGTACTTGCCCGCGTGCGACTATCTTGTCCAGGCAGTTGGGTATAGCCGTACCTCGCTCCCTAATCTCACGAAGGATGGTGCACCCCTTCTTTTGAGCTTTGATCATGATACAGGCACGTTCCACGAGCCTGGTCGCGCATCTGATATCCCCGGGCTGTTTGGTGCGGGTATTGCGTTCCCTGAGCGGGTCGTGGACCCACATGGTAATGAGGAATACGCCGTTGGGTTCTGGAAGTTCATGAAGTTCTTGAAGCGGGTCATCCCGTCGTGGGTTGCATGATTGTTTCGTCTCTTTGGTTTTTGTAGATTCCATGCTTTTTTGTCGTCCCATAGGACACTGACTACGGTGCCCGTGCATTGTCTAGCGGGCTATGATTTCAACATTTGATACCGATATCTGGGGAGTAACTGGCGTTCTGGGCGGCCGAGGAGCCTTTTTACATAATTTTGCAGCTCTGCAAGCTACAATCAAGAGAACGTTATTTTTTCCTTAAAATTGATCACATCCACGCAATGTTTTTGCCATTCATCACCAGCCGATACTATGTATGATCTGAGCTTCCAAGAGTATCAGCGACGTTGGGCCTGCGAGAATTGGAATTGCGCATTCGCATATCCTAGGACCCGATCTTATGGAAGGCATTGTATGGACGGATGGCTAGAAATTGGGCAACTCGTAGAGTAGTGGTCAATGCATACTATAGAGGTGCAAGGTTGGTACTACACAGGCCTTTCGACATAAGAGAGCAACTTATGCATTTAGAATATTGGATTGTTCGTCATTTGAGTATATCCAGATCTTCCACCCCAACATAACAGTCCGTCCAAAGTAGCCATGCACCAGAGAAATTCATACGCCACATTCATACCTCCCCATAACCCGGTCACATCACATCATGAAATACCATAGAAACATCACTTCCTCCGCCCACAGCCTACCAACAGTCTATCCATACTTTTATCCAAGTTACAACACAACAACCGCAAAAACAGCAGCCACAACAGCCCCAACACCACCATACCTCACAGCCGCAGCACCACTATCAGAAGACTGCGTCGCAAACGCCACATCACTCCCGGTAGCCGTAGCACGGTACTTACTCTGACTAGCAACAGCCTTTTTGTCATACCCAGTCGCAGTAACGGTATAAGTAGTCGAAGACTGGGACCAAACGAGAACCGTACCGCTAGGAGGCGCCGTAACCGTACCGCCAACTTCGTACAATGTCGATGTGCCGTTCTTAGGAAGATCACCGGGCTTGTAGAACTTGTCTGCGTCTGTGAAACCAAGGTCCTTGCACTTCGTGTCCTTGAGCGTCGAGTCGCAGGATGACCAGGCCCAGTTTGGTAGGGAGGTGTATAGGTTTGGGAGATCGGAGGGGAAGAAGACTCCCCACATGTCTGCGCCGGCGAGGGTGGGTTCGGTGTGTGGGCAGATATCCCAGGATCTGTGGTTGGGGTTAGTTGGTTGTTTGGAAGAGTTGGGGGTTGGTTTCACTTACGCGGAGATACTAGCGCTGGCGCCGCAGCAGGCACAGTCCGAGGCGCGGTTGGCGATATCAAGACCGTTGTTTAGTTTCGATAGGTCGGGGATGTTGCCGATGTCGGAAGTGAGTTTGTCGGTGACGTCGCGCATACATTTGATCTGCTGGTTACGGGATGATAGGGTTGTTTGTGTGACTTTGCCTAGATCGCAGGAGCAGCGGTTTGGTGCGTTGTCTGGGGGTGGCCAGAAGGGGATTGGTTCTTTGGCGCTGGGGCAGACGGCGAAGTATTGCTGGACGAATAGCTGGTATTTGCAGGAGTAAACCTGAAGAACAAAATATTGTTAGCATGGGTTTATGGTGGTCATAAACGAGTATATAAAAGTCATACCTGGTTCCAGCACGACTCCGCCATACAGTTGATATATTTCTGGTGGGACTCGCAGCCACAATCCACGGCACAGTTACCATTGCCGTTGCAGCCTCGGAGACAGGAGCTCCACTTGTCCGCGACATCCCTGTTGCACTTTGAGTAGTCGGATGTGGAGGCGCAGTCTTTCTCCGTGATATTTGTCTGGGCATTGACCAGACTAGATAGCGCCACGAGGGTCGCAGCCGACGCCAAAAGGAATTTGGATAGCATGATAGATCCCTGTTCTCGTTGGATAGGTCTTCACAAAAATGGATATATCAGAAAAAAGGCTGCTCTGCTCTGACTTGAGCTTTCAATTGCACGACTGAGCAAATAAACAACAACAACCCCTAGGGAGGGTGCAACAGCACCTTTATAAGCAAATTATGCAGAACAGTCCACATTCGAATGGAACAAAATCTTTTCATGGATCTCGGATCCTCGGGCCCATCAGTGGGATCTACTGTAAGCTAGGGGTTCGATCATTGCAAACCCAGCTGTCATCGTTTGCAGCAACCAACCAATAACCGATGGCCAAGCGTAACAAAGTGACACAAAACAACAAGCTGATCCATTAATATTTCAAAGGAAAGTGGATGACGACGACCCCAGTTGCCGCATGGCTTCTGCATCTATTGCATATAGGCAATCACATTTTCTTCAAGGTGGTCGATTGATAGATCAGACCGGATCCAGAATCCGACCTATGGCTTGATCAGATGGACAGGATATTTTCGGGATTTCTAGCAAAACCCTGCATAATGCTAGGAGTCTTGCTTCCTCGCAGCGCAGACACGAGGTGGAGCGGAGTGTTCCTGCGATCATAGATTTGTGAAGACCCTTGCTTGGAGTTGAGCTTTTGATGACGAGAGCGGGGTGTTATTATTAATGATAGACATGAGCGATGTGCTTATTTTCCTTGGTGCTCCCATGTTGTTCATGCGGTGTGTCAAGGGACATGCAGAATTGGAGGGCTTATTATGCCAGGGTTGCTTTATCATAGCGCAGGTGCCTAGCATAGCCCGAAGCCTACAACATAGGGAGTAGATCCTCTAAATCTTGGAAAAGAATGTGGTAGTCTAGATGGCAATGAAATCGTTCACGGAGACCTGAAATGTCGAGTCGTTCAACCGATTGGGATTTCATCGTAGAGGGGGTACCTAGTACCTGGTGCATGTGTGAGTGGTCACGAGTCAGGTACAGGGGCATGATGAACAAACCGACTTGATCGAGATGACTTCGGATCATGAGAACTAAGTTTGTCCGAGTATGTTCTATATAGTTTTTTATGTACTTTAATGGAGTACATAGGTAGGATGTTCATGCTGTAAACCTTGGAAAGTATACGAACTCGTACAATCCACGGAGATCGACCCGCGACTTGATACAAAGTAAAATCGCAAAATTAGGACTGAAATCAAATTACCCAATGTTATAGCTACAAAGTAGTCAAATAGGAAAATGTATTTTATAGTCTCCTAAAATTATGCTCATCAAATGTCAACCCCAAAAGCTCCAATCCTCGATGTGGAGAAGAGGGAATCCTTAGGGAGATTTGCTTGGATTTGCTTAGATTTTTAACCGTCTCCACCAACACCGGTCGATCATTATTATTTACTACTCCGGAGTAAAGAGACCCCTTACTGAGATGACCTCGTATTTAATTCATCCGAGGTAACACATGAACACCCCAAAGTACTCGGTACGAAGTTATGGGAGTAAACCCTTGTAAAAGAATTGTAAAGGACTTGGACAATATTTTAGCGAGATTAGACTACAATTAAAAAAGTGGACGCGGGACGATCGAAATTAATTATTTCCCCCTCTTTTTGATCAATTGAAGAATACACATTGAAAATCACAAAGTAAATTGTAGATACCGTTAACGCTGGGGCACACAATATAAAAACAAAAAAAGCCATCCCGTAGTCAGGGACGGAATGTTTTGTACAGCCCCCATAAGAGGGAATAACACAAATTAATTGGCTGTTTCAAATACAGTCAATCGGAGAAGTGAAGAAAAAAAAAATATGTATCAATAAAGCATGTGAACGTGACTCTGAAACAAGGTCTCGTTCATGACAAGATCGGTATGCATAGAAAAATTTACAGCATGAAGGCACCGGCAACGATGGCGAGCATACCACCGGAGACACGGTTGACAACACCGGCACCGGTGTTGGTGGTGGGCACGGCGCTCTGGGAGACCGATTCGCTAGCGCTAGCCGAGGTGGAGGTAGCGCTCTCGGATGTCTCAGTAGCGGAAGTGGTGACGGCAGAGCTGGAAGCGGTGGTCATGGTGGAGGCGCTGGTGGTCTTGACCGCAGAGCTGGAAGTGGTCTCATCCGAGGTAGTAGTGCGAGTGGCCTTGGTGGAAGAGTCGGTGGTGGACTCGGTGGTGGAGGTAGCGCTGGAAGAAGAGACAGAGACGGTGGAGCCCTCGACGGTGAAACGGCCGATGTAGTTGTAGTCGTCGCTATCCTCGTCCGAGACAATCTTAATGGTGTAGTCGGGCTGGGCGGCCAGGGAGGAGGGAACATCCCAGGTGAAGCTACCGTCGTTATCGATGTTCGCTGAGGAAGGTTAGTATAGGGGGAATATTGAGTCATTTTGATGTTATGGCTTACAGGCAATGACAGTGCCGGAGTTACCGGTCATCACGGCTCCCCACTGCAGGATCAGGCTGACAGTGCCCTCGGTGGTGGGCTGCCACTTCAGGGCAGTAGGCTCACCGGTCTTGAAGGTGTAACCGGTGACGGGGATGCTAAAGGGGTTGGCCTTGCTGTTAGCCGAGGCGACGGCGGCCATGGCGGCGATAGCGAGAGAGATGTAGAAACGCATTATGAATGTATATATAAAGATGGGGAAGAATAGGATGTTCAAGTGAGAGATGTAGATAAAAGAGTGAAATCAAAGGCCTCAAAGGAGTGAAAGGCGCTAAAGAGGCAAATATGGAATAAAAGGCCGGATATCCGGACGGGGTTATTTACTCTTTGCTTTATAAGACATGCCCCCATGAATAGGGAGCTAAGTAGAGACCGGCAAAGTCAAAGGGAAAAAATAAAAAACAAATATAAAAAGAAGCAAGGTGACTGATTGGCCATTGTACATCCCGGAGAGGGCCCGCGAGGGCCCGAGAGGACTGAAAAGAGGGAAACACAGAGCGTGGCGTTGATCCCACGAGTCTTTGGACCACTAACGGCCATCTTTGTCTCGCTTGGCAGGGAATCGCCTGCGTTGACTGGTCTAATCTCGACGTGACCTTAAATGACTATATCCACTTTGGTCGGCTACAGTCACTTCGCATTATCTTGCTATTTTGGACCAAAAATACTCTGATTTAGAAAAAGATAAATTTAGATTATTATTGGCTAAGTACTACACCTCGTCAAAAGAAGTAATAATGGGAATTTTTTTTTTTTGATCTATTTTGCTCTGTGCTATCGGAGCCACACACTAAGGTTCGGATATTCGTCCAAGTTAGAAATCCAGCCAAAAGCCCCTACGCCTCCGAGCTATGACCTTTTTCCTTGCGCATGAAGATGTTTCGTAGATCGTCCAGTTCTGACGCTAATTTATTGGGGTATCGTGTGGGGCGTTCAATCCGCCAACATATCATTCTGACCTAGCCAGACAATCACTTCCATTGCCCGGCGGTCATCGTCTTGGGTCTGTCGGTCCAGCAACTAATCTGTGTCAGTACTATTTCAATAGGAGCCGTAAAATCAATAAATGGGGCTCTCACAGCTTGATAAAGTCCCTTGCGTCTCGTCTCTTTCTCCTTCTTCTCCGTAGGCTTGGCCTTGGCCTTTGAGGTTCGTTCGGAGTCATTCTCATGGAGGAATTTACACTGGTCGCCACGGTTACAGTGCCCATTACGAGCAAAGTAACGGCATACAGTCTTTTTGCCTTCACGGGGTGGGGGCGGCACTCGATCTGGAGCCGTGCGACGTGAAGTTACTTGATCTGGCGCGGAGTCGTCAGAGTCGGAGTCAGAATCTGAGCCAGAAGCACCCGATGACGTCCAATCACTGGCCCCATGATCGGATGCGATCTCCATGCCATACAAGTCATGGTCGGTGGGGTGTTCGGTGATCGTGGGCTCGAGATTGTTGGACTCGAGCAAGGATCCAGGATCTCCCTGCGCCTCTGTCGCGAGGGGAGCGGGGTCGGCCGATTGCGCGGGCTCTGGAATAGGGTCATGAGGCTCGGTCTTTATGGTTGCCTCCGGCAGTGCAGTTTCTGGTTCAGCGTTAATGACTGGCTCCGGTACCGCGGTTTCGGGTTCGGTTTTGATGGTTGGTTCTGGCGCGTTTGCGGGTTCAGTCTTGATGACTGGGTCCAGGGTTGGGTGTTGCTGCATGGTCGTGATACCGGTATCTTCGTCTTGGCTGAAGTCTGCATTCAGGCTCAATGCCTCCTTCTGTAGAGCTTCCATTCGGAGACGAGCAGCTTCGGTCTCAGCCATGGCTTTTTGGATTCGTTTCTCCTCTCGTTCAAGGTTGCGCCGGATCTTCTCTCTGCGCTGCGCGTTTGTTGTCGCATCTGCAGCGGGATCTGTCTTGTGTTCGTTTTGCTTTTGGATATGTTCCTTTCGCTTTTCCTGTTGTTCTTTTTGCTTCTGCTGACGAACTGCCTCACGGGCAGCTTTTGCCTCCTCCATAGACTTCTTATTTTCTTCAACCCGAGCTTGAGTGGGGAACTTCTTCCTCCGCTCTGCAATCCAAGCAGCAATATCAGATGGCGTTTGTAATGTAGACGTTTTACCTTTGTATGAGAACTGAAGTGGTGCTGCATTAGAGCCACTTTGCGCTAGCTTCGATTCTTCGTCTTCATCGGCCTCTTCTTCGCTTGATTCGTGTTCTTCGGCATTAGGGGTCAGGCCGAGTTGGTTGTGCTTCCTTTTTCTTTTCTTTGCCTTCCTGTTGGCTGTGGAGTCTGCGGCTGGTGGTGGCTTTGAGGGTAGAGGGTTGCCGAAGCTTGGGACGGCAGGCGCAGCGGGAGTCCGAGGTGCAGTTGATTGAGGCTTGGTGAATGCAGCTGAGTGGTCCCGCTTCTGATTGTGCTTCGGTTTCGGGCCCTGATTGCCATGCGCATGGGGAGGTCGTGGGCCTCGTGCTTGCCCCGGTTGAGCCCCCATGTATGGCGCCGCACCTGGCATATCATTGCGCCATGACATGGGGGGCATCATTGCTTGATTGTTTGGTGGATGGCCATGGGGAGGTGTTGGTAAACCTTGCATGTATGTCGGAGGTGTGGGAGGGTAAGTAGGAAGGTTGGGCGTATTGTAGTGTTGATAGTTCCCCGAAGCTACCGACTGAGGATATTGTTGGGATGAGAACGAGGGCGGGTTTTGAGGATTCTGAAAGGCCGGCGGTTGTCCATGATGGTAGGGCTGGGGAGGCATATAAGGTGCCGTTGGAAGAGGTTGAGGAGGGTATCCGCCATACATTGGTTGCGCGTAGTTGTAACCTGCAGGGGGAAGATACGATGGTGCTTGTCCACCTGATGCATGATTCCCTCCTCGGCCTCGGTTCCCTTGTCCTCTCCCACGCCCCCGCTGGCCTCCGCCATGTCCTCCACCATGTCCGCCGTGTCCACCCCAATTCTGACCATGTTGGGTCGGTTGCTGAGCCGGCGCCTGGTTAGTTGCCGGCGGCGGAGGCGGCGGGGGCGGGAAAGAAAATCCCTGCGAGGTCATGATGAGAGTCTTTGGGTTTTCCACAGACCCCAGCACAAACACAGGAATAATCTCGTAAGCTTAGCGTGTTAGCGGAGTTGAGATTGAGATTGAAAGCTTCCGTTCCGGGGTCACGTGATGGGCGGGATTCTAGCGGAGGAAGAATCTCAAAAGGTTTTCGATTGTTTCTTGGGGTACGACGACAATAGGAAAACAGAAAAAGAGACTCACACCTGTTCACTGTGCTGCTGCCTAGTCAGATCAATCGTTCTGTCTCTGCCTTTCCTACCATTACTATGTTTATCTTAGTAAGTGTGACGCCCATATATAAAAACCTTCTCTAACGCCTACAGACCACCATATCGGACTTGATCCAGATCTCGCCTGAGGATTTCTCAAAGTTCAGCGCAGTTGCACTTGAAGACAATATCAATGCAAAGTACGCTAATAAAGTATGGAATTCAAGCTTCTTTCTGCTAGTTTCCCAATGCTTATTCTCCCCTCTAGGTCATTCAAAAAATTGGCCTTTGCATCAGCTTCTATGACCTACTTGAGTCTTCCGATGGCCTGATTGGTCACGGAACTGGATTGGTTAATGTCAACGGTAGATTATGCAAGCCCTTTATCACACCCGAGATCTTTACTGACTATTACTCAGTTAAATTCCGCATGATTGTTTTCCGACCTTTCAAGGGAGAGATCATGTTAGGAAAGATTGCTAGCGGCACAGAGCATGGAATCAAGAGTATGCCCCAAACACGCAAATCCAGTCTTCATCAAAAAGTAACGAATTTCAGTTGGTCTTGAATTCTTCAATGATATCCTTATCCCGCCACAGATGCTTATGGAAAAGTCCCGATTGTGAGCTGATCCCTGCCTGATGGTCAAGTCTACAAATGCTAATGTGTCTTGCAGCGATTATGCCGAGCAGGTATGGATCTGGGAGAGCGAAGGCGGAACAGAATTCTTCTTCGATGTAGGAGAAGTTGTTCGATTCCGCGTCGAATCAGAAGAGTGGCACGACCAAATCCCCAATGCACCAGATCTTGCGGATGAAACTCCACAGGAGAGGCGCCCTCCGTATTCCATTCTTGTTGGTTTCTCCCAATCTTGGAAATGTGTAATCCTCGCTGACCATCTTTTAGGGCTCGATGCAAATGGGTGGAACGGGACCCATCACTTGGTGGTAGGCTGCTGGCACGCCATTTGATGTAAAATTAGATTGTCTTCTTGTCGCTTGACCTATCGCGGCCTCTTCTCAGCGCCCATACAATTTCCTTCATAGTCAGATCAGATACCCATACGAATCAATGCCAATGAATATCCAATATTATACATAGAGAAGTCGGTGTGCGCATTTTCAGCCGTTTTTACCTATATTTTGACTAAGAACGGGAATAAATATCTATAAACAATATTAGATATAAGAAGACATATCAAAAGACTACCCAAAAGGCTTGAGACCGCATAGGCCTATTCTTGTACAAATGAGTGATACGTAATATGTCCAGCTGACAATGTAAAGCTGCTTTATACGGGACAAAAGAAGTTGATCCAAACTTAATGTTGACAAACGAAATCCCGCGTGTTACCCTTTACCCCAAAAGTGAAGTAAAAGACATGATGCCTTTCGTGATCAAAGCAAAGGTGGGTAGTATAGTAGACCAATTAGGAGATCCCGGTACGTGCCGAACACCCCGATACTCCGACGCATCGGAGTGTCTCAACTGATTCTCCGAGAAGAATTGGCCCGGTGGAGCTCCGTCGGTCTCTCGTCCAGTCGTAATCCGGCGATTCATCGCCATCTGCCCAGAAGGGTATGTAAGATAATCTATTCCAAGGAAATTTTTTTTTTTCGGTTGAATTTTTCACGAAAACCTCCGGAAGCAGACATTGTTGCCTTTCGCCATTGATTATCAATCAGATTCGCAATTCGAGTCTATCCAATTTCAGACATTTCCGGACAAAGGGTGATCTCATCTTATCGATAAACATATAAACTACCCCTCGCCTCAATTATCCTCAATTGTCATATCACATCTTCTCTATACACAATGGGTTCCTCCACAGAAAACGGACACACTACTGAGCGCGGCTTTGGGACACTGGCTGTCCACGCCGGCTCCCCTCATGACCCGGTGACCGGCGCTGTCATTGCTCCGGTAAGCTCACCAATCTAACATTGGAGATGATAAAACGGTACTAACAACGCCCTGATTAGATCTCTCTATCCACCACATATGCCCAGACCAGCGTCGGAAACCCCGTTGGTCTCTACGAGTACACCCGCAGCTCCAACCCCAACCGGTCAGTTTACTAGTCCAAACCTTCGACACATTGACCAGGACTAATACCCCCGCAGTGATAACTTTGAGCAAGCCGTCGCAGCTCTCGAGCATGCCAAGTACGCTCTTGCCTTCTCCTCGGGCTCCGCCGCAACTGCCAACGTCCTCCAATCCCTTGCTGCTGGCTCACACGTCGTTTCGGTCTCCGATGTTTACGGCGGTACTCACCGATACTTCACCAAGGTTGCCTCGGCGCACGGTGTCCAGGTCACCTTCACCCCCTCCATTGAGTTGGATGTGGAGCAATTGATCCGCCCCGAGACCAAGCTCATTTGGATCGAGACCCCGTCCAACCCTACTCTTGGCTTGGTGGATATCCGCGCTATTGCCAACATTGCCCACAAGCACAACATCCAGGTCGTTGTCGATAACACTTTCATGAGCCCCTACGTCCAGAACCCATTGGACCACGGTGCTGATATTGTTGTTCACTCCGTCACCAAGTACATTAATGGCCACTCCGTGAGTTCTTACTTTCAATCTAGACTTTGCCGGTATCAATTTTGCTAACTAAAATCTAGGATGTCCTGATGGGCGTTGCTGCCTTCAACTCCGAGGCCCTCAAGGAGCGTCTCAGCTTCCTCCAGAACGCCATTGGTGCCGTCCCCTCCGCCTTCGACTGCTGGCTCGCTCACCGCGGTCTCAAGACCCTGCACCTGCGCGCTCGCGAGGCCTCCAAGAACGCCACTGTCGTCGCCAAGGCCCTTGAGGCCTCCCCCCACGTCATCTCCGTCAACTACCCCGGCATTGACTCCCACCCCCACCGCGCTATTGCCCTCAAGCAGCACCGCGACGGTATGGGCGGTGGTATGCTCAGCTTCCGCATTAAGGGTGGCCAACAGGCTGCTCACGATTTCTGCAAGCACACTAAGATCTTTACCCTTGCCGAGAGTCTGGGAGGTGTTGAGTCTCTGTGCGAGGTGCCCTCTAGCATGACCCATGCTGGTATTCCCAAGGAACAGCGTGAGGCCGCCGGTGTCTTCGATGACCTTGTGCGCATGAGCTGTGGTATTGAGGACTCCGTGGATCTGCACGCTGATGTCATGCAGGCTCTCAGCCTCGCTGCTAAGAAGGCTTAAACGCAACTCTTAATCAGTGTTTTTGGCTTGCATTCAAACATCATTTAGAATAGACTGCATTAGTTGTTACTTGGATATGACATTATGAGTAGACACCAAAATCATTTACAATTATTACAACTTACCCAGCTAAACCTAATAAGCCTAATCAGGAATTATAAGTACCTTCACTCCTTCCTGTACATATAATGAACAAGAGTAGACTGCCGTGTATGCGGCCTTGTGAAGTCTTTTTTGTACTCTTTTTTGTAGTTTATCTAATGGCCTCAGATATTCTGTTTACAACATAGGTGCCTTTTAAAATATTCTCTCCTCATTGTGGGTTTTATAGGTAAACGGTAGAAAAAGGCGGAAACAAAAAGCATAGTTTATAAATTTCTTATGTATAACCTTTGGTAAACTGATCCAAACTATCCTTCCTTATTTATCCCAATCTTGCTAGCCTCCATCTTCTGTCTGTCATCTTTTACATACCTGCACTGTTTCAGGATCACCCAGAGAGTCTAAGTATCAGTCGTCAAGCAGCACAGTCAGGCACCATGTCCGGTCACATGGTTCCTACGCCTCATTCAGGCCCTCTCCCTGGTCCGACAGTGTTCACGGCAGAACAGATACGTTGCCTTGAATAAGCCTCGATTTTTCTACCCGAGTCCCAGTCATAGACATCCCCAAGCACAAAAAGAAAAGTGTCAGTTGCATTCAGTGCACCGAGACCAGTTCCAAGCTCTTCGTCGTTCGCACGTTCTGCGTCTGTCAGCACTCAAGGCTTCGATCCTAGCGTCATTCACACATTCGACATTCCAACAACAGAAGAAAGTGCGGAGGTCCTCGAGTTCATCGGACTCGTGTCAGAAGTCTCTGAAGTCTCTCGTCTCGTTTATGAACGTTACTGCAACCGTCCCGATCCAGAAATGAACCCTGATGACCTGATGGCCTATGTTTCTGGACATCTTTCTGCCGTTGAAATTCCACAATACGACAATATGAGCCCCAGAGAAGCGCTCAGAGATATCGGCTTAAATCAACAAATCCGAGATGCAATTACAGACCCAGAATTTTCGCAAATCTTCGAATCCGAATCACTGTTCTATTGGGCAAAGGACACCGCCGAAATCAACTATGCTGCTCTTCTCTCGCGACAGAAACTACTCAAATCTCATGCGAACCAACTTCTTGCTCACAAAAAGAAATCCGTAAGTCCTAGATGTCATTCTGACTGATCACATAGCCAAGGCACATGTCAGGACCTAGTTAGCTGTCACAGCAACTATCAACAAGCAAGTACGGGAAAAGATACACTTCATCATCTTCCAGGCCACCACGCGTTCAGATTGATGGCTTTTTTTTATGTCAGAACACCCTTTTTGTGACGTTTTATCCTCGACTTTTTTTTTCTTTTTGTATTTTAACATAGCACCTTTTATCTATCAGATTATGATGGTATACCAAATTGAAGCCTAAGGCAAATTTTAGCTTAGTCATCATTCCACCCACTGCAATTTTTTGTATGGAGATCAGATCACAGCGTCTGTGAAAAGAAAGCCTTGAAACTGATTTACTGTTAATCAGCTAGTTCTTGCCCTTGAAGAGGATACTTCTGTCAAAACTAGTACAAACCTTTCGGCAGTCTGCAATTCCGACAAATTCTCAACATCGGGGCCACTTCAGACAACCCACCTACACAGTACTAGGTGTCTTGGAAGAAGAGACAGGCATCTTATTCAAGGGGAGATGGCCTTCAGCTTTGGGTTCTCGGGGGAGGATATCGACATTGACGACTCGGAGATCAATAAAGATTTCTCCGATGTGCCCTCTCAGCAAATCGTGGGCAATTCTCTTCCTGAGCTTGTGAAAGCGATTAAACATGATATGAATGAATGGGTAAGTGATCAAGCAAGATGTTTCATTCTCAATTATTTGTATCTTGCTATTGCTTTTGTCATGAATGTTTCGAGTTGGCAAGTATATTCTAAATCCCAATTCGGGCCTATGAGATACTGCCCTCTATCATCGACAAAAGCATCAATTCATTACGTTGGAATGTATGATACCCTTTCAACAGATTCAGAATCTAATCAAGATGACAGCTTGCAATTCTCCCCTCTCAAATCTTCTACAATAAGCTCGCAATCAGCGATACGTCCCTGGCTGTCGCTCGTCGAGAGATCTTTGACATCCGCACCCAACTCATGGCCGAAGACAGCGCAGGCCATGATAATGAAGAGCTCATTGCCGGTATTGAAAAAGGCGACATCACGCCCAATTTCTATGAAGGCGGCTTCAAAACCTGGGAATGTGCCCTGGATCTAGCTAAGCTCTCTGTCAATGAGGACATTCTTAGTGAATCCTCCGATAGCCCAGCAGACATCCATATAATTGAGGTTCGTAATCATCCGTCCTGTGGAAGCTTTCTCCGACATTCCCTGGAGAAAGAAAGCTAACATGGATAAACAGCTTGGCGCAGGCACAGCAGTCCCATCATTGACACTGTTCGCCCGTCTTCTCAGCCAATCTGAGCCCGGCCAGAGCCAAAGAAAGACCCTCTTTACTTTTGCGGACTATAACTCGGACGTGCTCCGTCTTGTCACGCTCCCGAATCTCCTTCTGACATGGCACAATAGCCGCTCCCAAACGGCTGTTTCGGCCGCGCCAACTGCGCGAGACCAAGACGAAGAGCTGGACATCACGCCTGAGCTGGTTGAAGAATTCAAGAATGATCTTGCTCAACGTGGGATCTCGGTTGATTTCGTTTCCGGCGCTTGGTCGCCCGAGTTTGTGGATCTGGTCTTCTCGTCCGGTGAAGGCGCTCGCAAGACTCTGGTTCTTGCTAGTGAGACTATTTATTCACCTGCATCACTGGTTGCATTTTCAGAGACGCTTTTGGCGCTGTTGCGCCGCTCGAACACTGTATCGGCGAGAAGTCGTGCTCTCGTCGCGGCGAAGAAGGTTTATTTCGGAGTTGGCGGAGGCGTTGATGAGTTCCTTGCTGTGCTGGGTAATGTCTGTGCTAATGAGCTGGACGTGCAACAGACATTGAATGTTCAATCTGAGGGTGTGGGCCGAGTAGTTTTGGAGGTTGTGCCGTCAAACGGGCCCTAGATCGAATTTGATAATGAAATGAATATCCAATCTTAGCATTCAACAAATGTCCAGCGAGGGTCTAGGGTTAGGCTCGAAAACAAAAGAAAATCCAATTATCAGGTGCTGGATTGAACGTCAAGTCCCAACGTATATTTACATGATTTTTCCTCCACAGGTGTCTATCTCAGACAGCGACCAAAGAAAAAGGATACCCCCATTTACTCGTAGATCGACACAACCTTGCCGTCCTTCATCCGCGCAACCCGGGACTCCTCCATCTGCTGGTTCTTGCGCTGGTAGTGAGCCACGACATGGCTCAGGTCGGCCTGCGAACCGGGCGAAACGTTGTACGGAGAGCCGGCGTTCATCATACTAAATAACAGAGAAAAAAGCACAATTAGCACAGGAACCAATGCATTTCCGGAGCAACATCATCACATACTCGGGCTGTCGGTGGGCAAAAGCCTCGGGTGGGCCCTGACTGCCAAGCAAGTGGCGGTCATGAGCAACCTGCTCCATCATAGCGGTGTGGATGGCATTGCGCTGCTCGAAGGCCTCCTGGGAAGGCGTCCACTTGGTAATGAGGTTGGAGATCCAAGACGACGAGCCGGATTCCTCGATGGACTTGCTGACGTGGTAGAGGGCGAAGGCGGCTGCGATGGAGCCGGAAGTGACGTAGAAGCTGCGCTATTATGTGGACATGGAATGGTTAGCTAGCTGGTGGGCCATTGAGGCATTTCTTGCTCTTCCAGACTCGGTGGTCGCGGGCGGGGGAGCTTACGCCGAAGCCTTCGTTCACGGGCGCGTGGGCGGCGTGGGAGCCCCAGCGGCGCTGGGTGCGCAGCAGTTGCCGCGTCGAGGGAGCAGATCGTCTGGCAGCGAACATTGTGTGGAGGGAAGCAATTGGTAGTGATCGATGACCCTTTGGGAAGCGATGATAGGGCGAGGTGGAAAGTGAAAGTCGACGACACGTGACGTCCATATTGGGGTTAGGGCCATTCTCTCTGGTATAGTGACGAACAACATCATTTTCGATTATTTAGTATCTTAGTTTATTATTAGTTTCTTATTATGAGGAATATTTTCGATAATACCTATAATTGAATCAGAATTAGAATAGATCTGTTACTTTGGTTCTCTCATATCTCTTAAGAGTCAACCCAGTTGTGCATATTTAGTATCACATTGCACCCCTATAATAGCGACAATAGTACGGACTCCCGACGACTCCCTACTCCGATGTAGTACTACACTGCACAATGTGCAGATAAAAATAAAAATCCAAAATTAAACTGCAGCCCGATCTACTTGGCATAGACAATCATATTATGTCCAATATGATGCTCGAAACCTCATCTAGTAATATGTGTTGTCCAATGTTATCCGATGACAGCCTCACTATTTGCTTTTCGAAGGCTACACTAATTGGGCGACATACATTTTTTGATATATCGCCTCGTTTGAATCCACATATAGTGTCTGGCTCTCAATTGAACATGTCAGCTTGTCGGTGTCAAGTCCCCCCCACTAAGCCTTGCCCTTTGGAATTGCCCAAACCCACAGTTTGATGCCCAACTGTCATGGCGCCTCCCAACTGGTCTCGCTTCAGTCCAGAATGCAATATGGGTGGATTCAATACTTGTGCCCTCATAATTCCATAATTTTCCAGTACTCGCGTCTAATTCACGGCCCCCTCGCACATTGGGGGGTGGATGGGTATCAACACGCTAAGGGTCGGTCCGTTATTGTGCCCAGACAACGTTAGGATGCTAATTTTTCGAGATATTTTGTGAATTTCTTTCGGGTTCATCTTTTTCTTTCCTTTTTTTATTTCTTAGGAATTGATAATTGGTCTTACTCCCGAAATACCTACATTTCGTGAATCTTCATTCGCGCCCACTTCAGTCAAAGAAGTTTCAGGTTCTCTGCCCGATCAACCGAAGCCACTCGGCTTACGCTTCTAAATATCCCAAAGTCTTAATACATCCCCATAGTCAAATTTTGGGCTATATCTTGAGGCATCGCCACAGGGGTGGTTGCAAATGTACAGTGCAGTTGTCCCATATGACCCGAACTATTACTCATATGCTCGATTTAGTACATTGATCCTATTGGTAACACGTCTCTTACGAGGCAAGAAGTCTTGGGCACGCATCACTCTACCGCCATGGCCGCGGGTAAGAAGGCTAAGGCCAAAGACAAGGGCAAGGCTGCCACCAAGAAGGTTAAGAAGGGGAAGAGCCCAGAAGTCACAGAGACTCAGACAACTACAACTACTCCAGCTCCTGGCAGCCCTGAACTTACGGCGCAGGAACCAGAGAAATTAAATGAGCCTGCTGTTGACACAGCTGAAGTAACAACGCCACTTCCTGTATCAGCATATGAGGTATTCGACGACGAGACACAAGACAGTACCAAGCCTGTCGCAGATCAACCACCTGTGATCGACAATCCCGTATCAGCATACGAGGTATTCGACGACGACAGTACACCTCAAGACAGTACCAAGCCTGTCGCAGATCAAGCGGCACCTGTACTTGACAATCCTATATCAGCATACCAGGTATTCGACGACGATAGTACACCTCAAGACAGTACCAAGCCTGTCGCAGATCAAGCGGCACCTGTACTTGACAATCCTATATCAGCATACCAGGTATTCGACGACGATAGTACACCCCAAGACAGCTCAAAGCCTGTCGCAGATCAAGCATCGCCTGTACTTGACAATCCTGTGTCAGCATACGAGGTACTTGAGGACAACACTGCACCTGAACCTGCACCTGAACCTGCACCTCAAGGCGTCCCCGACCCTGTCGCAGATCAAGCATCGCCTGTACTTGATAATCCTGTATCACCATACGAGGTAGTCGAAGACAACACTGCACCTGAACCGGCACCTCAAGGCGTCCCCGACCCTGTCGCGGATCCAAAATCGCCTGTACACGAAAACCCCGTATCAGTATACGAGGTGTTAGACGACGAACCTGCACCCAAAGACATCTCTGACGCTATCGTGGATCAATCGCCAGCTGTAGTCGACAAGTCTGTTGACGAGGCACCACACTTGGACGCACCACAGTTGGACACACCACACTTAGACGAGCCAAGCTCGATTCAGCCTCCCATCGAGGACACCGAAATCAAAGAGCCACCCGTGGAAGAAGCAAGCTTGGTTCAGCCTCCCATCGAGGTCCCAGAAGCAAAAGAGCCCTCGGAAGACCACACCACGCAAGACCAACCCAATCAAGTCGAGCGCTCTGAAGACACTACTGTAGTCTCATCACCACCGGTTGACCCATTCTCCCCTGTGGCCGCCTGTGTGCCATTGCCTTCGCCATCCTTGACCGAGGCACGGTACATGTCAAGTCCCTCCCAGGATACCCAACATTATTATCCTGGGCCATATTCACCTTACGCTTCACCCGTCCCCTACTCTGCGCAATCACCTTACGCATCACCAAACGTCTACGCGTCGCAAAACGGCTACGCCTCACAAACGGGCTACGCTTCGCCAAACGCCTACGCTTCGCCAGTGCCGTACGCTGCCTCCCCGGTGCCGTACACCTCGCCCAACGCGTATTCTTCTCCGGTACCCTACGCCTCACCTGCACTGTACGCCCCAGTGCCGTACGCTGGTTCCCCGGTGCCTTACACCTCATCCACGCCTTACGCTGGCTCTCCAGTGCCCTACAGCTTACCCGGACCCTACGCTGGTTCTCCAGTGCCTTACGCCCCATCGGTAGCTTACACTTCGTCACCGGTACCCAAAGTCAGCAGCCCACTTGCACGTTCCCACTACCCTCAAATGTCTCCAACTATATCACCCACTGCGACTCCCCCACCTCAGAATCCACCAGCTGCACCGATGGCTCCTCCAGATGCGCCGCCTTCCATGGCCCCAAGTGGACCACACTCTCTTCAATCTCCTGTCATGAGCTCCGCTGGAATGATACCTCCTTATGGATATTATTCTCCTCATCACCAATCGGAGGCCCATTATTTGAACCGGGGTTACAGCATCCCAGACCCATCATATCAGGCATCATATCAGGCCCTTCAAAACCTGTCCATGGTCAACGGCCATCCCCATGAGAATGGGTCTCCCCCAGAAAACGACAGTGAGCACATTGAGCTTCTTCAACGTATCCAGTCGGCTATTCCAGACATCAACCGTCTTCTTCATGGCTTCCGCAACACCCACAGCAAGCTCTCGAACCGGGAGGCTGAGATGAAGCACATTGGAAGCCAGCACGAACAAGCTCTAATTCACAAGGAGTATTACATTGAAGCTCTACAGTCCCAAATGAAGAAGACTGCCAATGAAAGTGCCGAAGAAGGCGCCAGATTGAAGCATACCATCAGTGAGCTTCGTCTCGAACTCGGAGATCTGCAAGAGAGGCAGAAGGACCTTGAAGATGGCTTGGCTGTCCACCAGAAGTCAAACGAGGAGCTTACTGAAACTAAGGTCGTACTCGAGGGACAAATCGACAAGCTCAATCAAACCATCAAGGAGTCAACGGAGGTCCACGAGAAAGAGCTAGAGACTAAGAAGGAGGAACAGGAGAAGGCTCTCGTGGCACAGAAGGAGGAGCTTACCGAGCTGTTCGAGGAGATCAAGGCCGAGGACGAGAAAACAGCAGCCGAGAATCTGGAGACTCGTGAGCGCGAACTTCAGGCTGCACACGACGCTAGTCGAGGCGAATGGGAGAAAGAGAAGGCCCAATTGCAGGAATCCTTCGAGGCCCAGCGCACCGAACTAGAGGCCGTCAAGGCAGAAGTGACATCCCAGATCGCTGCTTTGGAATCAAAGGAGACCGAGCTGCAAGCCCGACTCACCGAACTCACATCGACACGGGAGGAACTAGCAGCCAAACTGGCAGAGCTGGAAGAAACCCACCAGAAGAACGCCCGAGAAACGGAAGAACTCCGACAAGGCCATGCTGGGGAATTAGACTCCCTACGACAATCTCACGACGAACAGCTCGCTGCTGCTGCCAAAGAATTAAACGATAAGATCGCCGCTCTGGAAGCTCACTTCAATGAGAAAGAGCAGCTTTGGACCACGGAGCGCGCTGCCCTAGAGCAACAACTCTCCGAGAAAGACAGCGAACTCTCCAGTGCGGAGCGAGAGAAGGAAAGATTGGAAGGAGACGGAATTGTCAAAGAGCAGCACCTTCAGCGTGCCGTGGATGGGATGCGAATGACAATCGATAACCTGGGTGGTGATTGCGACAGGCTGAGGAAGACACTGTCCAGCCTGGGTGAGGCCACTGACCTCAGAAACACCAAGGGCGATAAATTCTTGTAAGTGAGCCCTTGAAGTCCTTTGGATTTGCATTTTTTTTTGGTTCTTTTTTCCATCTTGTTTTTCTTCTGGTTTTCGTCTCTTGAAGACAAAGTCATTCATTCTCTATATTTCTTTTGTTGAACTGCATCAGCGCAAAGCGGGCATACATTCTCTTATAGATTCATGTTGATATGTTGATAACGATAAATGGACACGATCTAATAAACACCTTCATCTTTAGCTTGGACTGCTTCACAGAGCTCTCGCAACTCATCCACAATCTATCCAAAGAGCACTTCGGATATCTTCCCATCGATCCCCCAAAAGACATCCTTTCCAAGATTCCATCCGAACTTCCACCTTTCCTTGACAACACCCCAGCCTCCCGCGAACTCCGATGTGCCTACATCCAGCACATCATCTCAAAAACCCTCACATTCCGAGTCTTCCAGCCCTTCCTCTTCACCCTAGGCCGGCGCTACGACAAAGCCGACACCTTCTTCCAGATGCTGTCCATGGATATCCGACGCAAGTCCGTCCGCCGCGAGGCATTCTGGCGCCAACAGACCTTGAAAGCAGCCTACACGACCTCAGACGCAAAGCAATCAATCAACGTGGCAGCAGCAGTCATTGTCGACGAAATCATCGACCACATCAAGCACTTCGCCGATCCCAAGCACCTCGACTCCCTCCTAATCGGCGTCCGAAAGATCGTCAAGCTCGCCGCCGAGACATGGAGACACGCGCGGGTTGAGCGCGAGCTCGTCCTTGCCAATTTCCCCGCCCCAGACGCAGAGAGTGTCTCGAACGAGGGCTGGCTGGAGTACGCTGCCAACAAAGATCAAAAGCCCACCCCGACAAACGAGCCCACTCGCCATGTCGTGCTGCGCACCTTCCCGCGTATTACGCGTGAGGCGGCTCATGAGGACTTTGCTAGCGATGAAGAGAAAGCTACCGGATGCACATACTCGCAGGGTATTGTGCTGTACTCCGATTCGCCGGTCATCATGGGTCGTCTTCAGGAGTTTGCAAAGAAGTCTTCTGATGCTCTGGTTACTGAGTCGCCTCCTAAGACACCTTTGGCTGTTAAGGCCATCGACAGGTTGGCGCAGATTGAGGCTTCCTCTCCGAAGGTCATGACTGTTCGGTCGGCTCCTACGAGTCCGAAGGGTCAGTTTAGGAGCCTGTGATTTTGGTCGTTTTGGTGACTTTGATATCTTGTTTCTATAGCGTCTGAGCCAACTTTCTTTTGTTTTTTCTTTTGTTTTTCTTTTGTCTTTTCATCTTTTTTTTTGCCGCACATCTGTTTTGAGATTTTATTGGGAACGTTTCAGCGGATTTGGATTCGATTCTTATGTTGTGCCTATATTTGAGTATTGATAGCTTTGTTTGAAGATTGTATGTAAACAGCAACAATGTTAGCGAGTTAGAGAATAAAAACCCACTGCATCACTCCAATATATATTTCACATCGTTTATCGTACTGATGCGATTGATCATATAACTTCACATACATCAAAGCTGAGCTCATAAATCTCGAAGTAATTAATCTGATAATCTACTTGTTTTGTATAAGGCGAGTACTGCTAGTGCAGCGTCACCGAAAAGGTCCTCCCTTTCAGAAGTGGGTTGAAGGGTTTTCTCCCCCATCCTCTCTACTCCTACTCGTCTTACTTCCATACCAAAATGCGACCTTCTTTTGACCCTCAGCTATCTGCCAAGCTTCACAATAAGATATTGGAGCATGCATGGATTGGTACCGGACGAGATATAACTTCGCAGGTTCCCAAGGTGCTGTTAAACTAGGTGGAGCGTGTTGAATCAGATCAGGGTATTGGGAAGTGAATGAGGAAGGAGTTGCCGGTGGGATTGAAAATTTCAAAGAGACGGATACTCTAGAGCATTGGCAGAAGTATCAGGTTGCGCTATTTTGGTAGAAAAAGGTCTAGCGTTTTGTCTGCTAGCTTATATCATTACTTCAAGTCGTTACAACTTCACACTAAGAATATATACTTGGTCTCTAGATGATATTCATGTATTCAATTCGATAAGCTGTATCACAAGGGTGAGTAATGCATGTTGGCGATGCGTTCCTCAAATGAGTTGAATCAAACTATTTGAACATTGAGCCAGCGCAGAGATTGAACAGCCCGAAGGATACCCACCAAGATCGATTCCCTAGCACAGTATTCAGACATCCGCACTCTTAGATTTGACTGACATGGTCAGCGACACCGCACTCCCAGTCATCTGTCCCATAGTAGATGGTGTACTGGTCATTTGGAGAGGGACCGGAGGACAACTGCTCGCCATACTGCCAGAACAGATCAGCAGCGTTACCAGTGGTAGTCAGGGCGGTCTTCTGCCAATCTAACGAGTCGGAACAGTGGTCATCCTTGATGCCATATTCCTCGAACATGCAGGGCTTCCCAGCAGCCTCGCAGACTTTGGCGTGCGCCTCAACCCAGCCATTGCCCCAAGCATTATCGGTGATACCCCCTAGGATGGGTTAGTGAATTGTGTGTTTGGGATGCTCAGAGAATATGCTTACAGTCAGCCACGTAGAGGTGGAATGTTCCAAAGTCAATATCAGGGACCGCAAGGTTCTTAGCGAAGTCGTTGCCTTCGGCGTCGGTGTAAGGGTAAGAATCATCCGATCCGACAGTTAAGCCCATGCCCTCTATATCACTGGTCAGAATAAATCAACAATTTTAGTTATTTTAATGACACAAACCTTCGCCGGTGGTGACCATATGGTTAGAATCGAGGGATTTGATGTAGGCAGCAGTCTTGGTTACCCAGCTGGTGATGACATCGGTTTTGCAGCTCGCGCAGCGAGGCTCATTAGCCAACTCCCACGCAAAAATGGCAGGGGAATCACTGTAGCGAGAGACAACAGCCTTGATGTACGCCTGGTAAACGCTCTGGATCTTCTCATCAGTGTACCATTCCGTCTTACTGCCTCCATAGGCAGTAACATAGGCATTCATGCCACCATAATCATCCCAGTAATTCACAAAGGGAATGATGAGCTTAATGCCGTACTTCTCGGCAGCAGAGACAACGTAATCAAGACGCTCCAGACCATCAGCGCCAGTGTTGATGGTACTGGTACCAGTGGCCTTGTCGTGGAGCTGAAAGTAGACAGTCCCAGACGCCGGGACGGTGTTGACATCATTGAAACCCCAAGTTCGGAGAATCTTGAGACCACTCTTCTGCAGATTCTTGAAGACGGAGTCAACGTCCGCGTTGTTGGTGAGGAATGGCAGCCAATACGAGTTCGTACCAGGGAAGTACTTGGACTCCCCGTCAATATTGAATTTTAGACCATCCACCTTGGCAAAAGAGCTGCTTCCAGTGGGCTGAGGAGGGTTCAAGGGGGTAGATGAAGGGTGTGCGGTCGAAGAAACCGCAGTCGAGAAAGTCGATACTGACGCCAAGCTAGTCGCAGCTTGAGCGGAGGCTGCTCCTATCGCGGACAGAAAAGCAATGGAGGAAATGGAACGCATATTGTCTTATGAACGATAAGCCGGAAATTGTAGGGAATGTTGTTGAGCTGGATACGATTGGAATTGAAGGCATGGCGAGCTACTTTATACGTCCTCTTGACGGGCGTATTTACTATTGTAAGTCTATCCCTGGATTGCAAACGACCCCCTTGAAACCACATTGAAGATCGTTTGAGTAAGTATCGTCGCAAACTGACAACTTGTCGAAAAGAATACGGAGTATCGAGTGGCACATGTTGACACATTGTCAGTATCCCCAGGAATATTGAATTTTCATGCAATCGGCTGACGTCGGTCTGCATGAACGCGCCCCACTGTATATGGACTGATACTGGCTAGTGTTGGTCCTTAAAGGAGATTATTCGGAGTCATAAGTGGGTTTTGGCCCTACTCGGGTATATCACGGCGGAACTCCTTGACACACCCCCGTGCCGGTTCGGGTAATTCCCGTCTCTTTGGATACCGAGCCTTGAATTGAAATGAATCTAAAGCTGAAGAGAGTATCTAAACCCCTGTTAATGCACGAGAAGGCGTAAATGCGGAGACTCCGCACGGGAAACCCCGGATTTCTGCTCAGGTCCTTGCGAAATCCATTGTGCATATTTCTGAATTTATTAATTATTTTCTGGGGAAATATCTTTCATGTTACAATAGAGAAAAATCAGATTGATCTCGGCATATTAAGACTGCAGATCGAAGTTTGGATTTCGCTGGTCATTTGGGAATCAGATATAGGGTTTGAAACATCCTCCCGAGGTCATCCCGAAACCCATCACAAACATCCAACCCTTAGAACCCGAAGTTCCAGCGCAATATACATCGGATCCAGTCGGATACAGGGTACTGTATCAAAGAGAGACTCATATTTTAGGTTCAGTAATCACCTAAGACTATTCAAGAAAGCCACCATTCTTGAAATGTCGATTTGGTCACGGATGGGGAGAAAAAGAGCGTGTTTCCTGAATAACCAACGCCACATTGGGTAGCAGGGTTAGTGCTGAAGAAATGAGTATCAGCAGCGTGGAAATCGGACAATCCAAAAGGAGTTCAACATTTAGCGCAAGAAAACATGCTCAGGCTCACCAAAGTATAATCGGGCTTCTCGAGTATAAAGTCACCCGACCTGGCCTCATTCTTGGGCAGTTCATTCAAGCGACAAGTTCTAATCATTCCACCTCACATTCTGGTTCTTTTCTGTTCAACAAATCTATAGCCCTCTCATCCATATTGCTACCCCCTATTTTCAAGATGAGATTCTCCCTTTCGTGGGCTGCTGCACTCTTAGCAACTACGGCGCTGGCTACTCCAGTGACTAATGAAGGCCTCACAAAGCGAGACGACCGTGGTCATTACACCGTTTCTGGCCTCGGGGCGCACAAGAAGGCAATTCTCGATGCTGGTGGCAACACTCTCGATATTGCCATTGCCATGCTCGAGATGTAAGTTTCCAACTATTAGATCCCACGGTATAATGCTGATAGTTAATTACAGAGAGGATATGAACACTTCCCACTATCCCTATGGCGACGCCAAGACCAAAGACGCAGCGAATTTTGGCCTGTTCAAGCAGAACTGGGGCATGCTCCGCGTCTGCGCTTCGCGCTATGGCTTTGTTGGCCAGTCCGAGTCTCAATGGAATAATGGAGCGCTTCTCAAGTAAGAAACCCATAGGTGATATGATATTAGAGCCATAGCTTACCTTCCGACAGCTCCAATGTGTGGGCAGACGTTGCCTCCCGCTGGGACTGCCAGGGCTACTACGGGTATGACAAGTGGTTTGCTGGCCACCGCAACGGTGCTTCCGGCCTTCAGAATCCTTACACTCAGGACATTCTCAGTAAGTCTTCAAAGCTATGGCGACAATTGTGATAACGACGCTGACTCCTTCGCAGACTACAAGTCGGGTGTCGAGTGGATTCAGCAGCAGATCGACAGCAACAGCGGGTACAAGTATGATGATACTCGCTTCTGGGTTGACATCCCTGCCATCTAGGCAAGATGCGGCTTTACAACCTGTGCTGGACACCTTTCGATTCTCTCTACAATCTTCACAATATGGACCTGAACCTAGTTGGGTTGGCCGACCCAAACATTCTATGGCCATTACGTAGTTCTTTTATGATTGAACAATTCCATCATAGGTGACGATGAAGTTAACGAGAATTTTAAGTGTAATGATTGTAAAATTGCCGCTTCGGGTTGCAATCGGCTCCCCAGGGATGATAGCGCGAGTACTTACCTAGCTACATAACTACATAGCTTGTACTCGACAACCTTCCTTGATTCCTAACTTGCAACAAATGCCAGATTAGTCTAGATATTTGATAACTGGTAGTTATAGCTAGAAATGAGCGGAACCAAACTTGATCTTGACCCGCATCATAATTGTGATACAACCTTGGAAGTCAATATTCCGTTTTCAGCAGAAAGTAGCCATTAAGTGGTTAAAGCTTAGAATGGCCGCCTGCTATCGAGATACCGGTAGAGATCGCATAACTGTGATCAGAAACTAGAGCTATATAATAAAACCCGCGATCCTCCTTGGTATCTGCCTACCAGTCACCCAATCACAATGTATGGCTCTACCTTCGGCAGGATTTTCTTTTCGGAATATCCATCAGTAACATACACCGACATAATCACTGGCTTCGTTGTCTTAGGAGTGTTATCCACTCTTTCTTTAGCTGTTAGCCGCCTATGGCTCAGTCCAATTGCCGGATTTCCTGGTTCCAAACTCGCGGCAGTTACCTTTTGGTATGAATTCTACTACGACTGGATTTTGACTGGGAAATACTATGAACGTATCAAAGAGATGCATGATGAATATGGTGTGTTTATATCGTTCGAGCAAATCTCGGTACCTACCGTTCTTATTGATGGCGATTAGGACCAATTATTCGCATCTCACCAGACGAACTCCACATCGCTGATGCATCATTTTATGACCAACTTTATGTCTCAACTGCAGTCAGGAAAAGTAATGGCTACCCCCGCTTCTGTCAGGGAACTGGCTTTGAAGGTAATACAATCCGACTTTCGATCTCGCATCTGCGTCTTAGAGCCTTGCTGAAACTACTCCCAGATTTGGTTGCCCTCTTAATAGATCACGATATGCACCGAGCTAGCATAGCACCTTTGAAGCCGTTCTTCTCTTACGCTGGTATCAGCCGCATTGAGCCTCGAATCGAGGCATGTGTCCTCAAGCTTGGTCAGAAACTGGAAGAGCTGGCCAGTGTCAATGCCAACCCGACAGATCCCGTGATTGTAAACTTGACGCACGCCTTCAACTCATATGCAAATGGTAAGAGATATTATCTTGAAAAAGTCACTAATATCAAATCATGGCTTGTGGCTGATGGCCTGTTTTATTTAGATGTTATATCGGCAGTTCTATTCGAAGACCCAAGTGACTTTTTGAGTGATCCTGCATTCAACGCTCCCTGGTAAGATTCCAGTATGAGGCCTTGCAGAAGACATTAATAGAATATATAGGTATCAAAATGTTAAACGAGGTCTCTTGGCCGTTCCACTCTTTGCCCACCTGCCATGGCTAGCAAGGTAGGTTAGACTCGCCCCTTTGTCAAGCAGTTGACCGGGCATCCGCCACCGACTAACTGGTTATAGAGCAATGACAACACCACTGATTAGGTTTATCATGGAAAAAACCACTGAATGGAGGATCTGGGATGATGTAAATGATTTTCCGTCCAGCCTTTTCTTAATGGGTTTTCCTCGATTTATTAGCTGACAATAAGCAGAGAGCAAGACGAGAAATCCTGAATTCGAAATCACGTCCAGCTGAGGAAGCAAAGAGCCGGGCAAATACCACGGTATTCGACCATCTTGTTCACAGCGATCGTACTGATACGCCGTACGGGATTGAGTCATGCAGCCGAGTGGCACAGGTAGGAAAATTCACCCCCGACATCCAACGAGTGGTTAATCTTACATAGCTTAGCTTATTCAACAAGTGGGAACATACAATTCGGGTCGAACCATCGAGACAATTGTTGCTTTCCTCTCCCTAGATGATGACAAGCGCAACATTTTGTGCGAGGCTCTCCGTCCGGTCTTTGCACATAGCGATTCCGTGCGGTGGAAAGAGCTCGAGAAGATTCCGTATCTTTCTGCTTGTATTAAAGAGGGTTTACGGTGAGATCTTCCCGTTTCTTTTCTCTTCGTCTTCTTTTCGCCCAGTGTCGATTTTTACTAACGATCTCTATAGACTGGCAATTGGTAATATGCTCCGAGGCCCGCGGAGCTCCAACCAGGAGTTATACTACAACCAATGGAGGATCCCCAAACATGTTCGTACAACAATCCTATATTGCGTGTTCTATCCTGCGGTCTAACCAAGCATAGACAGCGGTGTCCATGACTACCTACTGGATGCATATGGACCCGGAGGTTTTCGTTAATCCATATTCATTCGAACCGGACCGCTGGCTCAATGCTTCCCCCTACAAGCTGCAGGAGATGAAAAAGCATTTCGTGCCGTTTGCAAAAGGCTCTAGGCCGTGCCTCGGGCAACAGTGAGTTTGGAATTTGCAACCTTCTTTATACTATATTGTACCATTTCTGACCATTCGAATAATGTTGGCATCTAGCTTGGCCTGGATGGAATTGTATCGTGCCATTGCCCATCTCTATCGCCCGGGAATGCCCAAGATACACCTCTACAAAACTGACGAGACTGACGTTATCCCAATTCATGGACTCCTTTTTTCGATGCCGCGATGTGATTCACCGGGGGTTAGAGCCTTCTTGACAAAAAGCACCTCACCAAGAGGGCCGAAAGGGTTGTAACTCTCATTCCTATCAAGAATGGCAAAGTGAGATAAAGTGATCAGAAAGACATCAAGTTCTCTTATAGATTTCGTATTAATCGCGCGATACAAAATTTTACTTTAATTACTATTTTATAAAAACTAAATGGTAGAGTCACTTAATTTTTCAAATATGTATTCCGGCCATAGTTGGATAATTTAATAGAATTAGCTAATAGGGGTTTTAGTTTGCTTAGGGCTAATCGAGCTTTCAACGATGTCATGATTTAGCTTGTCTTCAAGATCCATATCGTTATTTTGGAGCATCTTGTATGGCTCGATTGCACAGCCTCGGCGAAAGAAAACCTCTTGAAAACAAAATAAATTTACTGCTCTCAAAGCTGCACGACAAAAGCTTCGGGATCACTCACCCTAAAGTGGAAAATGGTGAGGTTTTTCTCATTGCTCTATGCCTGCATCGACCGTAATGACAACACATATATATCCATCTGTTAAGGGAAAACTACGCCGAAGTTCATGGTGTAGTGTGAGAGATAGATTGAGAGTGTAAAAGCTAAGGTACTGAAGACTATGAGAGCTGACACTAGTTTTGATGATGGATACAAAGAAAGTAGTGTATTGCATCGTACCCATGGAGTTTCTCGAACACAATCAAACTATCGTCTGATCGTCCTTATCGACAGCTTCAAGGAGATCCTGGATCTTTCGAAAGTGAACCCCCTGAAAATATCTCTTCCTCTGATCCTGGACCGTGGCATCATCGAAGCAAGCTGCCCCCGTGACAGAGTAAAGTTGATATTCAGCGAAAATAGCACCATCACCTCCACTCATCGCCTCCTGTTGAATTTCCGCCACATCCTGATGCGACACAGAAAGCGCAGGATATTTCTCGGTCAAGACGCGGCTGATGTCTGCCCAGCATGTCTTTTCCCCGGTGATGTAGGTGTATTCAACCCACTTGGCACTTTCCAACAAAGCGACAAGACTCTTCGCTACATCACGGGCACATGTGACATTGAACAAGTCGCGTCCAGTACCTGGGATGACCATTGTTTGATTGGCGACATCAAATGGAAACGCAGGTCCAATATCCTTGAGATATCGGTTCTTGCTCGGGACGACGTAGTCAATCAACCAGCCAACAGAAACCAAGGTCCATTCCAACTCGGTTTGCTCACGAAGCATTTTCCGGACAGGCTCGCGTGTGTGGAAGTAGAACTCGGGCTGATGAGGGTGTGTTTCAAGGTTGCCACCAAACTCAGAGGGAATGAAGCGCTTGCAGATGTGGCTCTGCTTGCACGCCTCGATCAAGGCAAGATGTATATCGATAAACCCCTCCGAATAGTCGAGAATTGTGGAGATCATGGCTTCGCAGTCCGAAATCGCATTGACAATTGACTCCACCGAGTAATCAATTACCGCCTGTGTCACCTTTGGCAGACCTTCGAATCGAGGTTTCAGGCTGCGGGATAACACCACAACATCATGACCCTTTGCGGTGAACTCCTCGACGAGATAAGAGGCCAGGTCGCCCGATCCTGCAATTGCTAAGTGCATGTTGATAAATTGGCGCGAATACTTGGTAAAAGAAAAGTAAAGGTGAAGATGAGCAAAGATGACAAGTGGAAGTTTGAGTAATTCTTAGCAGGGTGCTTGTAGGAAAAGAAAGCATGCAATTGGAAGAGGGTTCAGCAGTTTTTATAGTAAATAGAAACATACTGAGATCGAGAAACATGATCGGCCTTGGCTGAATTTTGCCCGTATGGCCATATTCTCAACTTCACGCAATCTACTCTTAAAGCTGATTAGCAAGCTTCCGTATACAATTATCAATCCGTCCACACCGGTATTATGAAGCAAAGTGTTAATTTTAAGGAATAGATGAAGAAAGTGGAGAACGGTTGGTCATCCCATGGGGTCCGCGGATTCCGAAATGCCAAGAACAGGCATACCTATAGGAACTCACACTCCCACGTTGGTGTATATATTCTAGTTCTCTAAACAATTATTCCTAGGTGACTCGATTGGCTAACGTGCAGAGTCAACTTCATGAAATTTGAGATACTCACAGGTGTCATAAACGGTGTACACAGAACAGTTTGTACATGTCTTGAAGTGAGTCTACTGTTTCGTGTACTGAAACTACATCTGTCTTTCAAATACATCATATTATAGATCTCGTAAATTCTATAGTTACTCAATCTTTAGAAGTAATATGATGACCTGTGAATTTCCTTTTTTGGTTAGCTTTTCCCTTTTGGGCTTAGCGCCAAACCTTAATTCCCCCGGCATAAAAGAAACGATCTCACACTTTCACCCTCTTTGCTCCTTCTTTCCCTTCACCTCTATACGAGACCATGCCACAAACTCTAGGACATGCGTTCGCATCAGAGAATATCTTTCTCGACCACAGGTGCTCGGATTGGCGGATTAGTAGTCAAAGAGCCGCAGATCTGTACAATTCTAGTACCAAGCTTTGGACGAGGATCTTAAAGATATGAACAATAATTGAGCTAATCCTATATAATGGACCAATTTTCAGTCCGTCGAATTAATAGAGCTATAATCCAAATTTCTAATGCCTTGCTCTAAGTATAGAATCCTATCTAGTACGTGGGTGTAGTATTCTGACCTAATTTCAGCCTATAATCTAAGTTTTCCTTAGGAAGCCCTATATTAAGTACTAAGAATATTAGTAACTTATAAAAATATAACCTGACGGCCGAATCGAAACCTACCTATACTCTTATATTGTGGATTAGAGTAATCAGACTATACGAAACTTTCGAGAGCTTATAGCATAGCCTATATAAGTCTTTGATGAGAAATACTTATTATGGTAGAATAGCACGACCTATAAGCAATTAGCAGCCTTAGTCTAAGATTTACTCGGTATAAACACTATAAAGAAAGTTCTCTACTTCGGGCTCGGTGACTTTTGCCGCTCCGCCCCTAAATGGCTAAAAAAGCAGCATGACTCTTAGAATGAGAGGAAAATGTGATAGGCTGCATGATCCAGCATTCGATGGCTCTATGCTCATTATTTCCACCGGGTTTAATGTCTTCGATAGTAATGAGTAAGTTCGCTTTTATCGATCCTCGAGTCTGACTAACCAGGGCACTTCATAGAAAACCATTAGCAGATACTGAATCTCCGAGAACAAGATAACCGTGGCTTGATTATAATACCTATAGCCTCCCATACCATTCTGATAATATTGAAATATGCTGTGCATTAAAAGGATTGCATTTGTATCGTAGACGCCAGCAGCCTCTAGATTCGCAAGGAGCCTGAGTTCATAGAACCTTGGATATAGTGATTGTGGATCATAAACCATCGCAAATATGAATTGGATGTCAAATCGGGAATGTTATATATATGTATAATTCCTGCTACTTGGTCTCTCCCATGCCATATGCGCTGCTGTAAATTTCTTAAACTGTTCTAGGAGAGCCCGTGGAGTCATTATTCAGAAGGATCTTTATACTAGGCCCTGAGCTCGTCAGGTTATCAGGTGATCTTTATATTTATAGTAAAAGTTGAAACCCAAGTTGCTCCTTAATCATCACAAGAACCCTATTCGCTATGTCTCTTTGCCAGTCTAGTGAGATATGAGATACTGTGATTGTTCTTAAGGATCCGTGAACCATGACTGCGTCTCCCCATCCGAGATTGAAATGGTTACTAGGCAAGTCATTGGTCCCTTGTAACATGTCCAGCATTTGGAAGATTCTCGTCGCTGTCGCACGGAAAGTTGAAATGCAACGTTCTTGCATCGCAGTGGAATGAAGGTGCTGCTGATGTGAACAATCTGCTTGGCAGACGCGAAGTAGAAAGTTTAAAACGTTCGCCGAGAGATGCATTTGGAAATTTCCTTGATATGCATGCACCCCGATAGACGATATCGATGGCTGGTGTGAATCATATGAAGAACTCCAAGTTTTCTCTATCTCGTCCATCTGCTCCAATATGGACGAGTAAGCGGCCAGCATCAAATTCAAATTTCCGGTGAGCACCTTTCGGATCTTGCTACAAAGACGGGTGCAGTGGTAGGCGAAGGTACATGATTGAATCATGATAGACTCGAATGGTTTCAAATATTGACAGAGCTCATGGATCCAGCTCAGCACTTTCGTAGGAGATTCTCGGCCGGCGATAAGTGCTTTGGCTTGCTGTTGTCATCAGGTATACCGACCATAAACCTCGGTTCGGGAGTTCTTACAGTGCAATAACAGACAAACCAGATGAGATCTCTTCCATCCTGTCTACAGAATTGGTCCGAGCCCCGGAGATCAATCAAAGAGGCCATGCCCCGGCAGTGGCGGTCTCCGTCGTCTGACCCTGCAATAGCTGTGAGATGAGGGTTCGATAGGAACTAGGAACGTTGGGTCAGTTAGTCATTTTGGTCTATAATGAGGTCCCCACTGATGAATAACTCTTACCTCATACACCACAAACATCCAAACTGCTAACAATGTGTTGTCATTCTTGCATTGAACAGGATCATCTAGAGCTGCATTGACAGTCCTAAGTGCTACCCCATACGACCGGGTTCTGTTGGCAATTGCATCTGTTGACCCCGTCGTACTAGCTAAATACGCACATGCAATGGCATCACATGTCGCATAAATTGGAGATCCTTCTTGCATGCTAGATATGATGCGTGGGATGGTAGCAAACATGCTAGGATCCACAAGGCTGACTGAGAACTTGGCTAGGACCAAAGGGATCACATGGTGTCTCCACACCTGGGAAGGCTCGTATATCATCTGGACAGAGGAGATGGAGCGGTGTTGGGAAGAGTCTGCTATAATCATTGGTGGGCCGTAGCAACGCATTTTCCGATAGCCATGCCCCGTGCTCGGTTGAAACGACGAAATGGTAGCATTGCGGAAGCGCATGGTGGCCTCATCTCGATAGCCTAGACACGATTTTCGTGCTCGTAGACATTGACCACAGGATGGACGTGCAAGATCACACTACTCAGTCGATGAGTGGACATAATTCATTCGCATATTCTAGGACCACCGTACCTTGATACGTCGTTGTCGACAAGACTCACAATCTCGGCTATATTTACCTATGTTCGGCATTAGTTTTGTGTTTTACCTTGATTTTGACAATAGTCGTGTATTTAACTCACACTCCGGAGGTTGCCCTGGAGCCTCTGGAGGGGTGTCAGCAAAGTTCAGCTTTGTCCCGATTAGGAAATTCATTCGTCCAACCAATGGCAGCTGCAGCGACGATCATTAGTGTACGGAGTATACCGATGGCTCTCAAATATAAATATCTACGATCTGGACGAAATCTCCTTTTCAGTTCTCACAATTGCAATTTTATCTCACCATGTCACCTTTGCCAATTATTGCCTGTGGCGGCAGCGACCCACAGATTTTCAACGCTGTTAAACCTCTTTACTTACCTGACTACGAAAGTAAGTAACGAAATACATTCAGCCCTTGATAAAAACTAACATCATCTGTAGTTATACATAATGTCACCAGCAGCGCCTCCGGAGCAGTCGAAATACCCTTCATGCTGCGCGGGCAGGCTCCTCCCACTGCTGAAGAGCCCAACCGTGGCACCTTGAACTATTCCAGGCCACCCATCGCTGTTTTTGCAGGGGGGTTATACGGCGACGAGGAGATAGACGAGATGCGCCAGGCATGTCTCGGGCTCAGTTCTGTGCCTTGGCTGAAGATGGATAGGAGTGTGCCTAAGCCGCCGTTGGGGCCGGGGTATGCGGAGCATGTCGTGGATAGGGTCAAGACATGCCTGAAGAAGATCGAGGCAGAAGGGAAGATGGAACAAGATGGCGTATGGCTTTACTGAAAGAGGGACGAGAAAGTGTCTGTGTTTACAAACGCGACATTACATGTATGGCGAGGCTTAGGTACCCGAACCAACTTCTTAAATGGATCTGATTAGGGCACCCAGCAGCGCCTAACCTCATAAATCAAGGAGATGTTTGCTGAACTATGTGCATTAGAACTATAAATTTGACACGCAAGATGATATAGATAGAAAAGCAGCCTGTACAAAGTGCGTACATGGGTACATGGGTATCAAAAGGGAATGATTAGAGCTTTGCTTCAGTTCCAATAACATTCCGCCGCATTTGCCGTGACGATACATCGGCTGGTACCGGAGCTGCGGCATTTTGGAACAGCTTCCGCCCAACAATATCAGACATAGTAAGAACACGCGAGGAAACAGTTGCACCGTCCCGACGGTTTTTGCTGTGAAAAGTTAGTATATCGGCAGAGGTAGTGTGAAGAAAATAGACTCACCCCTCGCGACGAGACTGTGCAATCAATTCAACAAAGTCCCACAGTCGACCGCCGTCCAGAACCTTCCCAGTACCCTCGTCACGCCGGGGTTCCCATTCAGGAGCCAGCCTGAGAGACGGACCGGCACGAGATCCTTTATTCTTGGCAACCAAGATAATACCCTCTTCTTCGAATCGTTGATAAGAATTCTTGAGGGTCTCCTTGTTGACTGCCTCGAAGTAGGAGAGATCACCTTGGTGGTACAAAGTTTTACCGAGCTTCGAATGAGAATATTAACGAAATAGTCGGTATACCATGGGAAAACAAAACTCACGACCTGAGCACTATCTTGTGCTTTCTTCGAATCGATCCAAACTTCCTTCGGACCATCGAGAGGAGGTGTCAGTCCGAGAAGGGACACTGAGCCAAGCCAAGAGGCCTCGATGAAAGGCCAGATCAAGAAGCAGTAGAAATCGTAGTTCTCGCGACCACACAGTCGCTCAGACTCGCTCAACTCAACGTAGATTGGTGTGCTGGACTCATCGCGGGTGATTTTGATCACATCGTCCTTCTCCAGCCCACGCAAAGTTTTATCGAAGTTATTAGCTAAGCCCTCAGGCGGGAAAATGAATTCACCGCGGAAAAGCTGAGACAGGAATGAGACCTGTTTCTTCAAATCCTCGTAGGTGATTCTTTGATTGGCGGGACCACCACCTTGCTTGATCTTTGTGTACATAGCCACAGAAACCAGCGCTTCAGTAATGAAAAGGTGAATGAGCATGTTGCGGTAAAAGGAAAGTTGGAAACGATCCACTGCATAGTAAGTTGGCTCGACTAGACCAGAGATTACACCAACGAGTTTCGGTCCTAGTACTTCGAGTGCACGGTCAACCACCGTCTCGGTTGGCGAGCGATAGAAGTGTGCGACCCTGCCACCTTTGGCTCGCACCCGGTCGCAGAGCCAGTCCAATCGGCGTACTAATTCAGCTTTGCCGACTCCGCGGCCGCGCAAGGTCAAGAGGACGGTTCCCACAAGGGCGGTTGGCATCATCACAGAGACGTCGTTGATATCGGACAGAACACGATAACCGAACGTTCTTAAAATGCGGCCTCGGTCAGTATAGCTAAGTTTGTTATTGATGTCGGTGCTGGGGCGATCCAGTCGGGTGAGCTGCTGGCCAATGAAGTCTCGGAGACTCCATGGCTCGTGGAAACGAACATCAACTCGGCCTAGCTTCAGGGACAAAACCGAGGACGAAGAAATGAAATCAGCCAAGTTCTCCTTTGCCTTCGGTTGGCCAAGAAGCTCGCTGATGTAGGACCTAAAGAATGGGTTAGTGATAATGTTCATCAGAAAGGTTACAGTGCCAGCGGGATGTCATACTCAGTCTCAATGACCTTGTCGTACTGGGTACTGACAGGACAGATGATCAAATCTTCAACCCGACCTGATAGTATACTGTCCATGATGAAACTCAAGATTCCAAACTTGGGTGAAAGCAGTTTTCCAGTTCTGGAGCGACCACCTTCAATAAAGCATTGGAAGTTGAAGCCCTGTTGAAGGAGGGTGTCGATATAAGCTTGTACGACAGTATTGTACAAGGGATCATTCCCAAAGCTGCGTCGAATCCACATGGCCCCTACATATGGTCAGTAATAGCTTCAAGCTAATAGGAAATTGTCTTGCAACCGACCTGCGTGTTGTAGGAAAGAGCCGAGCAATGGGATATTCAGATTGTCACCCGCGACGATGACCGGTAGAGAAATGCCGAGGCGGTAACAGATAAGTTGCAGGGAGACGTAATCCACATGGGATTTGTGACAAGGAAGGAAAACAATCGACTGCTTCTTTTTGGCAGCAGTTTCGGCTACAGATCTTATACGCAAGACTTCTTCGCTGGATACGTGGATGCCTAAGGTGAATCTCGTTTAGCATTGACTTGTATATGTATAGCAGAGAAATTTTACCTTGATGGTAGGCACGAGTCAAGAGCTGTGTGCACATATAGTAGGCACCCCGAATAAACGGCTTGCTTTCCATCTTGCAAATCATGTTTTCCATCATTGTATCCACGACTTCCCGAAGATTACCTTCAATCTCAGTCCGGCGACGGGCCCGTTTGTCGTCCAGGGTTGTACCTTCGTTGATTGCCAGCAATCCTTCCTTCTCTTCGACCATGAGTCGACGATTGGCCAATTCAGTGATCTTGTTTTGCAGGAGCAGGCTGCCCAATATGGAAGTCTTCATCCTTTCCGAGAAGCCAGAATAGAAAATCGGTTGGCCGATAGGTTCATCATATGCACGCCAGCCCGTGCCGGACATGTACAGGCTCACTTCTCGCAGAAAGTCCAAGGGGTTCTCGCGAAATCGCGCCATATGGCGAACAAGGTTGCGTTCGGTGATTTGTTCATCTTGAGTTTCTGGACCTCCAGTGAAACCTGACGGATGGATTGTCAAGTTTGAGTTGACGATTTCCAGATCTGGTGCCAAGTGGTCATCGGCAATCGCCGACTTAGGGGTCGGCATTTTATAAGGGGGTAGGGTGAGAATGGTTATACTTCAATGTCAGCTCACACAAGAACGCGACTAGGTCCATGGAAGAAATAAGAAGAGAGATCAAAAGAGGAGCTCAAAAGACAAGAGGTGCGGGACCAAATCATAGCTCGAAACCCCAAGCTCTTTAAGCCACGGCCGATCGCCCCCCGGATGTTTTTCGAATTTCCCCAGGATTGAGCCGAGGCAGGTCACGTGCAGCCTGAGGTATGCCCGTAGCTCTCATCCCACAGGTTCCAACGTCTGCATCTTGGACCTTTTTCATTATCCTCACGATGTCTCGCTTGGTCAATGGAGCGAGGTCCTTTTCGAGTATGTCTCTTTTGGAAATTATAGCTCCAGATAAGCTCACCTTATCCTAGCGACCGCTTCATCCCTTCTCGCCGACGCGACCGCGGCTTCCCAATCTGTTCGCCAACCATCCAGCTTTCAAGTCTTCCGCGATGTTCCCTCAATCCGGGGACTCCGGCGCCAATTGTTCCAGAAGGACCGGACTGTAGGCTTCGTTCCTACCATGGGCGCACTTCATGAGGGCCATCTCTCTCTAATTCGACAAGCTGCTCGCGAAAATACAGACATTTTCGTCAGCATCTACGTCAACCCCACACAATTCGGAGTCACGGAAGATTTGTCCAGCTATCCCCGCACCTGGGATACCGATGTTGAAAAATTGGAAAAGCTGAATGAGGAGCTCGATCGGTTGGGAGAAAACAGTGCAAGTGCTGGGCGCATCACTGCCATTTTCGCACCGACTTCGAAGGTCATGTACCCCGGTCTGCCCCCTTCGTCGGAGATTGATGGGGATGGCTCGTTTGTCACAATTACCCCGTTGTCCACTAAACTGGAGGGCGCTTCTCGTCCGGTATTCTTCCGTGGTGTGGCAACAGTCTGCATGAAGCTCTTCAACATCACAACCCCCGACCGTGTCTACTTTGGCCAGAAGGATGTGCAGCAAACCGTGGTCATCAAGCGTATGGTAGAGGATTTCCATGTTGGTACCGAAGTGCGAATCATTGAAACTACACGTGAACATGACGGCCTAGCGCTGAGCTCGCGGAATGTCTACCTGGGTGACCGGAGACGAACCGTCGGGCTCACAATCTACAAGGCTCTGAATGCCGCCAAAGAAGTATATCTGGCCGGCAATAACAACCGGGCGGCTATCCTCGGGGCTGCTCGTAATGTGACAGATTCTGTCCTTGCCGAACAGCAATCCCTTTCGCCATCCGAGAGAGCACTTTACAAGGTCGACTACATTTCTCTCGCCGATCCTGACACCCTTGACGAGCTGGAGATCGTCGACCCGACCAAGGGTGCAGTTTTGAGTACCGCATTCAAGATGGCACCGCTGGAAGAGTCCAAGCCAGGCGAAGACTGTGGACTGGGCGATGGCAAGGTCCCCGTGCGATTGATTGACAATTTCATTTTGGATCCTCGTGCTTGATACCATATCGAACAGTAATGAACATCTAACACTTTAGCATAGCACCTTTTGCAAGCCACTTACATACATTTCTCAAAAGCAAGATAGACTTCAAAACTATTCATATATATCTCTCTTGGCAGTTCAAAGTAAACAAAGTAGGGCAAATCCTTAGGGTGGAGAAAATTTGCCTGAGAGCCTGGAAGTCTTGGCGCCGAAAAAAAGTCTCGAAAGCTTTTGGATCGCCGGTCCAACAAAAACCTCTACAACTCCCCCTCCATTTTTACCGGGGATCACCATCTTTCAAAATGGCCGACGATGGAATGCTTATGAACTTTAGCATTGGTGACTCTGTCATCAAGCCCGAAGCCAAGTTCAAAGGAGGAACATGGCGAGACCGACTGACCGCAAAGAAGCGCTCAGCCCACCGAGTCTCCGAGAAAGAAGGAGATGGAGATGCAGCAGCGCGCAATGCCGCAGCCAAGAACCCAAACCAGATTCAACTCGGTACACGGCCCCTGAAAAGACAAAAGACCGAAGACTCGTTCAATCGTCCTAGCGCCCCGCGCGCTGGTGGTGATCGACGACCACAGCATCCACGAGACCCCACCCAGTTCGTTTCCTCGCTCTTTAGTAGCAACCCTGAAGCGCGCACTGCCCAAGAGCCCAAGGAGGAGCGAGAGGCAGAAGACGCCAAACCGACGAATGCGCCGATGATCGACGGGCTGGATACCTTCACGAATCTGGGCCTGTCTCCCAATCTCGCGGCGCATCTTCTCACAAAGCTGGAGCTCAAGGCGCCGACAGCTATTCAGACAAGTTCAATTACACAATTGCTAAAGGAGGAAACCGATGCTTTCATTCAGGCTGAAACTGGTTCCGGAAAGACTTTGGCTTATCTTTTGCCGCTGGTGCAGCGGATTATGGATCTCTCAAAAGCGAAGAACGAACACAATGATACCCAAGTCCACCGAGACAGTGGATTGTTCGCTATTATTTTGGCACCCACCCGTGAACTGTGCAAGCAGATCTCCGTCGTGTTGGAGAACATCCTGCGCTGCGCGAACTGGCTTGTGTGTGGAACAGTAATTGGTGGAGAGAAGAAAAAGTCAGAGAAGGCACGGTTGAGAAAAGGATTAAACATTCTTGTCGCAACACCTGGTCGATTGGTAGATCATCTCGACAACACAGAAGCTTTGGAGGTCAGCAATGTGCGATGGCTCGTTCTTGACGAGGGTGATCGCTTGATGGACATGGGCTTCGAGGAGGAATTGCAAGGAATTGTCAAGAAGCTTGACGCTAGACAACGGCCAAGTCGCGTTCCCGGTGTGCCCACACGCAGAACCACAATTCTGTGTTCCGCTACACTGAAGATGAATGTCCAAAAGCTGGGAGAAATCAGTTTGAAGGATGCGGTACACATTAAGGCCGACCCGAACGAAGAGGATGATGATAAGTCAAATAATGACGAGGAAGAGTCGTTCCGCGTCCCTGCCCAGCTCAAGCAATCGTACGCGATTGTTCCAGCTAAGCTACGTCTAGTCTCATTAACAGCCTACTTGAAGAGAACGTTCATGCGCAAGGGATCAGTGATGAAGGCGATTGTTTTCATGTCTTGCGCTGATGTAGTGGATTTCCATTTCGAGCTATTCTCAAGGATTCAAGACCGCGATCAACAAAGGAAGAGCGACGAAGAAGAAAAAGATGGAAAAGATGAAAAGGAGGAGAAGGACGAAGAAAAGGAAAAACTATCACCCCATGGCACCATTGCTCCTGGTAGAGCCTTCTCGACCCCGACAAATCCGGTCCTCTTGCACCGACTGCACGGCTCGCTTCCCCAGGCTGTGCGAACAGCTACCCTCGGCTCTTTCTCTCGCAGCACTGAGGCTTGTGTCATGATCTGTACTGATGTGGCTTCGCGTGGTCTGGATTTGCCCAACGTCGACTTGGTGGTCGAATACGACCCGGCCTTCAGCTCTGATGACCACACTCATCGTATTGGTCGTACTGCTCGTGTAGGACGAGACGGTCGTGCCCTCATCTTCCTGCAGCCTGGCTGCGAAGAGAACTATGTCGAAGTCCTGAAGCGCGGCTACCGCGATGGAGGCAAAGCGCTCACCCGCACTGATGCCAATGAGATTCTCAAGCGTGGCTTTGGCGGCAATGACAACAAAAAGAAGAACTGGGAGGAGAAGACAACCGATTGGCAGATGGACGTGGAGCGCTGGGCACTTGATAACCCGAACTATTTGGAAATGGCTCGACGGGCTTACCAATCTCATGTCCGAGCCTACGCGACCCACACCTCAGCTGAACGGAGCATGTTCGACATTAAGGAACTCCACTTGGGTCATCTTGCCAAGGCCTTCGCCCTGCGCGATCGACCCGGTAAAATCAACGTCCCTGGTCTGCGACCTGGACAAGAAGACACCAAGAAGGACTTCAAGGCAGCACGAAACGGTGCAGGCAATAAGAGAAAGGCTGATGATGCTCCATCTTCCACAAATGTTACGGACGAGGCTGCTCGCAAGATGAGAGCCAAGATGAGGGAGCACATGTCTGGAGCCAACGAGTTCAACTTGGCTTGATCTTTCGCTCTGTGTACCCTTCAAAAAAAAGCATGGTCGCATGGTTGTTTTGTAGCATTAGCATTTATCTCAGTAGATATCCCATAATGAAATCTTCCCGTCCTTGGACCCAGCCGCTAGCCAATGAGTTTGTTGTACTTTTTGATTCCGTTGTTGTTGCACTGTTGCAAGAGAGTAGTCGCGTCCCTCTACCGTCTGTCCTGCTGCGTTCTGATCTGCATCTCGGGGTTCTTGTTTTGCAGATTCAGGCGATGAAGACACCAACGAAGACGTGTTTTCAGTGTCCCCAAACGCTACAGAATAACAACCATCCTTATGCCACTTCAGCACAGCAAGCTCTTTCATGGTTTTGCCCGAGTACACCCGAATCCTGCTGTCCCAGCCAGCAGTAGCAAACACCTTCCCATCGGACCGGATTCGCAGACCCTGCTGCCCCGAATGCTTTGTGTTGACAATCTTCAAGGGAGATTCTTCTTTGTAGCCAGCGGTCGGTATGTAACCCCCAGGCGCTATGCTGGGAATAGGATGCTTGATGACCAGAGCATCCGCAGAAGAGGATATGAAGTATCCATGAGAGGGAGCGACATCCAAGGAAAGGACCGGCTGGGAATGTGGGCTGCCAGCATACAGCTTGTCCCATTTCAAAGGGTTGTTGTTTATATACTCACGCTCAAAGCTGGCTGATTTCAGAGCTCCGCGATGAACGAAGACCATCACATGGCCATCTTCATATGCAGAGGCGATGTAGAGATCCCCAGGAGGTGACACGAAGAGATTCACAGCCATCAGCATCCCAGTTTTGATAGATTGGTCGGAAGGAATAGTACTGATCCTGCGCTCAGATGGTAGGTGAAAGATGTCGACTCCACCAGAGTCCAATGCATTGGGTACTGCAAAGAGAGTGTTCTCTGGCTTGCCACCTAGAGATGGAAGTCCAGGAAGCCCGTCGGAATCCACAAATGCCATTGAGAACGCACAGAAATTGAGCGCATTCACAGGCAAGCAATGGAGTAACCACGGCTGGACTTTACTTCCTGGCTGTGTGGACTCGGCCGCATCCACTGGAAGCGTCTTATCTAGGAAAGATTCATCCTCCGGTCTAAGCTTCCACACGCATAGTTTGTGGTCGCGGCCATGTCTATTGCAGATGTTAATAAGATGGCCGAATGGGTGGAGGGATCATCATACGTGTAAATTTCAGTTGCACCTTCGCCAACATTAAAGCCTCTCGCCTCCAGAATGGCTCCCGCGTGGGCCTTCCATGCCGTCACAGGGCGTTTGGTGACCAGGTCCCAAATAACGATCCAGCCATTGGCGTCGCCGGATACAAGCCGTAAATTCTGGCTGTAGATGTGTAGTGCATGAATTGGAGAAGCATGTCCACGAAGAAAGTATATTGGGGTGGCCTGCGATTGAGCCTGCACTGATTTGGTGTCCATCCCAAATGCCTGACTTGTAGTTGTTGCTTGTTGATGTCTTCTATGTTGTTCGGCAGAGGTGCCCTGTGGAATTGCCTACTTACACCGCCACACTTGAGCCTCAACTATATATAGTAATGATCTTGGATATTCTGGGCCAATTTTTGTATCTGTATGATTTGGACGGCTGTCTCTAATAGAGCATAAAGCAAGAAGGGTTCAGATTACAAATTACATGGACGCAGAAATCGAGCTGGACGTAAGTCTTGAAATAGTGGCCTGAGGCCTTCAACACCATATTTGTGACATATATATATTTCACACGTAATTCTTGTACCTATGGACACAATTTCACATAGAGTTGTAGGTTTTCCTTTAACTCGCGCATATTACGTTGTCAGAGGGCATGCTCCTCGATCCAGTGCTAAAGCTAATCAGCTGGTGAATAGACTTGAGCAAAGCCCTCACCTAATTTATTACGAATTTGGTCGCACCTATCCCTTGAGAACCAGGAGAATGGATGACTACGAGTCCTTGGGAGGTCGGCAATATAGGATGCGACATGCGATGAAGATGAGGAGAATTGGATGAAGCAATAGTTTGGTGGTATTCATTTCAACCACAATCGGCAACGCTCGCTGCATTGGTCAGTTGAGAATAATCCATGGATATTCATAGAGTAAAAGCACCATGGATATGAAGGTAGATAATAATAATTCATGATTCATCAAAGGGTTGGAAGCATCAAATCATATCAAATGTCCCATAGTGATATGGATTGAGTGGATGGTGGTGATGTGGTGGCACATAATATCCTCGATACGGGTGGTTCTCCAACGAGAAGTCGCCCGTAGTCAACAAGGGATTGTGTAGGCTTGGAGGTGATCCCAGGTGATTGGAGAGTGACAGAGATGGGTCTAATTCATAGAAGTGATTGTGCATCTGGGCTGGTGCCACTGTGTGGGGGTGAGCATCGGCCCAGCTCCAGATTTGTTTGAGATCGTTTTTGATTGGTTCAGCACTGCTGCCAGTCACTTTAGTGATGGTATCAAAGATGCCGAGTACTTGCTCTTGAGCTTCTCGTGTTTCTAAGCACTCTGCGGCGAGTACAAGAAAGTACAGAGATATATCGGCCACACCTCTATTCAACTGGTCAGACATTTGGAAATTTGGACATTTGGTCAGGATTTTGTACTCACCGGTCTTTGGCGTGGGAAATAAGGCCGCAAATTTCGTGCGCATGGCTACGTTGCATTTTCCGCATATCCTCATTGAATTCTGACTGGAAAGGGTGTGCTTTGGCTAGCAGAATACGACAGGCATGGTAGAATAATCGAGAAACGATGGCAGATCGGTTGGCAAGCCTGAAAAATATGAGTAGGTGGACGGGTTGCATGCGAGATAATTGAGAACATACCAAACTTCAGGAAAGGCCGAATTGGAACTTGTTTGCCATGGCTGCAAGTGACCAAGGGGGACAAGAGATCTAGGAATAGATTTCGCCCATTGGTCACACCACCGGTTGTGAATCATCCATTCATGATCGTGCTGGATGGCCTGCGCCGCATCATCACCTAAACCGTGAGATGTGCGCGAAGATGCTTGGAAGGTCATGACTTTGGCGAAAATATAAAGTATCCGATGATGCCATATATTTTGATTACCCCCATTGTTGGCATATGAATGATCCATATCCATGTTAACCCCCCAGGTGTTTGGATCCCAAGATAATGTCCAATTATATCGCATACAGTTCAGCAGCTCCGCACTGACACTGATCCTGAAACATGCTCCTCCCAATCCGGGGGTTTTGGCAGTCCAGCCACATTCTCGGATCAAAGCTCGGGAGCCTGCGCGGTGATCTCCATTGTGCCTTGATGAGGTTGGCATGGTTTCGGAGAAGCCGAGGGCAAGGGCTGCTGTTGCGCAGAGAACAGAGTCACGGTTATGATCATGGATTGCATTCAGAAGATCCCGAGTAGCCTCGTCATAATAACGTGTCGCTTTTTCATCCCCATAAGAAGGGTCTACAAAAGACAGATGTCTAGCACCACACGCAAGAAATGCCTTTAGCAATATGGGCTCGCCAATGGCAAACCCTGGAAGAATCTGGGAAAACTGTGCGTTGTGAGCAAATTGTCAAAATACAGTGCGGAAAAATATACCTACATGGTTCATTTCATCCATTATATCCATCCGGGGACCAACATCTTCTATGAAAGTTCTGAGAAGAGATACTTGATCTGGGTCAGCGAGGAAAGCATGGTATTCATGTTTCCCAGCCAATTTCTGTGCGAAATGAGACGTTCCGTGTGGAAGAAGTTCATCTCCTGGTACCAGGTGAGACTGGTGCCAAGTATCAGTTCCAACGAAATCCGCCACATTTGGATGTGGGACATCAAAGCTCAGCGGATCAAATGATTGTGCCACCGATTGAAAAAGATTTGTTAGATCATCCCCCATCATGTCAAAGTCATGGTGCGATTGTCGGTTCTCTTGAACAGGACTCTCCGGCTGGGCGGGCGGGTATATCTCGAAGCCTCCCACATAGAGAGACGCGATCAAACGCGAGTCATCTCGAAATGTCACCTTCGATCCGTGGGGCCGAGTAATTATGTGTGGAGGCGCCACAGTTTGAGTGTCAATGAAATTGAGACGGACACCACGCCGACATACGCGATCCGACTTGCGACAATTGAGACATCGTCCCACGGCTTCGTCGCATTTCAAATGTCTTTGGCGACAAGTGAGACAGCCTGTGCGGACCCTCCTAGCTTTGGTATCTGGGGCATCTGAGGATTTCTTGCGACTGGAGCGGGGGCGGGGTGTGCTTTGTGAATCGCTTGCTTGGCTTTTTGGAGTGGATGTCCTCGGGCTGGCGCCGGGCGACTGCGGCGGCGCCTTCGCTACTTTTCGGAGATTCATATTGCCCCGGTAAACTGCGAACTTGATAGCTCGGCTTTATAACGTAACTATGTTTCTAGTCTCCGGCGCCAACTGGAGTCCCAACCGATAGACGTTTCCCGAATACACAAGATGCCGTTGTAGATTCCACCCAGATGGCCATGTTCGTTGTTCAGACTTGTGATGAGAGCTTCAATATAGTATCCAGCTAGAGAAAAGAGGACTGCGATTGTGTTTGGGATTGGTATTCAAGTTTAGCTTTGAATCCAATCAGTCGGCGGCACAGGAGGGGCAGGAAAGAAGGGATCGGCGAATAATTCTAGGGGGCAAAAAAGGGTCAGCTGAGAAGTATCATCCGAAGGCACATGAATATACTTACTAGCCCCTTGCTTAACCACACAGACGTCTCGAGGTTGTGGAGAAGTGGATGGATGTTAAGTTAAAGATCGAGTCGAAAAAAAGGTGGGTCGTGTTTGCCAAGATCGCCGAGGTATACCCGTTGACCTTTGCAATGACCCTGGTGTATAGTACCTGCACATTTACATCAGGCCAAGTAGATACAGTCAAGCTTAAGTACTAAGTATTGCTTACGCAAAGTCTCTGAAACAGGCTTACAGTTGCAGCCAACATATATTCTTCGGTGTCCACTGAACCGTTTCTGAGACATTATTTACGCCTTTCTCCCCAATCGCGGTAGTCGGACTCGACCCAAAAACATTAATACAATGACTGCCCAAAAGGCCGCAGATATGAAGGTCAGTTGGAGAGCCGCGGAATATGATGTGGTGACTGAGTGGTTATTAGCAAGGTACAAGCAAGTTGACACCCAAAGAAATAGAACACACCTTCTCGCCGATGAATTGGATCCAAGTGGGCAATAGTATGAACAGATTTGCGGACAAGTGCAATAATATGGTCCTTCTCAATACCAGTGACCTTGTTGTTGAGGTGGTATATGAGACTATTCTGGAAGATCCAGCTACTGACAGCCACACCCATCACGGCGCCCAGATTTCTCCACAGACCAAGAGTGGTTGTTGCGACGGCCTGATCCTTTTGCTCACTAGTTGCGAGAATGGAAACCATCAGGCTGGGAAATGCGAAGCCCTGACCAAGACTGGAGAATGAGATGCAGATCATAGAGAGTGGTTGAGAGGTATCAATGCCCATGGATGCAGGTGCGCATCCACCTATCACCATGAAGCATACACCGACGATGACGAAAGGTTTGAGACGCCTGGTCCAGTTAATCATGAACCCGGTGCTCACACTAGAGATAGTGACAGCTATGGAAGAAGCCACGAGTCGTAGACCAGAATCGGTTGGGCTGGTCAGCTTGACGGCCTGAAAATACAGCGGAGCGTTGAACAGGACGGTGTGTATAGACATGGCGGCAAAGAAATTGCCAAAGATAATACTGGCTCGAGGATCCTTTGACATGAGCTCAATTGGTAGCACAGGTCGTGGGACGTGCAGCTCGTAACGCACCAAGATAACTGCCAGGACTACCGATGACACCAGCGATATGACAATGAGCGGATGGCTCCAAGGATAGACATTCCCCCCAAAGTTCAAACCAATGATCAACAGAGTCACACACATAATCAAGATGAATGATCCCGTTATATCGATACTCCGGACTAACTGCCAGACTTTCATGCGCTCCATTCCAGTTCGTTTAATGCCAAGGTCAGCCGGGACTGTCCAAGCGGCTGCGGTAAAGTAGACGAAGATGAAAGGCAGCTGAATGAAAAACGCACCCCGCCAGCCGATATGATCACACAGGTAACCACCAAAGGCAAGGCCGAGGCTACTGCCCGTGCCGAGACACAGGTTGATGTATGATTGGTAGACTCCGCGATACTCGAGATGTACCAAGTCACTAGAGATGATCTGACCGATAGAGAAGATACCACCCGCACCAAGCCCACACAATGCGCGAGCAGCGATGAAACTGCCGATATTTTGGGCCAAGCCACAACCTGCCGTCGTGATGAAGAACATGGCAATAGAGAAAAGATACACAGGTTTCCGGCCGAATGCGTCAGAAATGCGTCCAAAGAGGGGCATAAATGCGGTGGATGTCAACAAGAAGGCCGTTGATAGCCAGGAAGCTGAGTTGGCTGCTTTGAAGTAGGAGGTGATGACTGGATGGCTGGAGGCCATAAGGGTCGAGTCAAAGAAGCCGATCATGTAGCCCATCATGATACCGCTAAAGATGATCCAGAACCTTGTCGGCGAGATATCAATGAACCTTGAAGCGTAATCATTTTCGTGGGTTGAGATGCTCGACTCCTGGTTGGGAGAGCCCGCCCCAGAAGCTGGCTTAACATGTGGTTCTTCAGATGCAGAGCTTGCACTGGATAGACAACGAATGTTGGCTTCTTCTCCCGTGTCTTTGTATGAGCCGGCTGATTCAACATCCGTTGCGGAATCCGAGACTTCATGGTGACTCGTCTGCTGGACGGAATCATTGCGTAGGAGAGGGGTGGCCTCGGAGGGGCAAACATTAACGGATTGCCCTTCATTGTCGTTAATAGACATCTTTTTTTCAAGAAGGCACAGCCAGAAAAAAAAACAAATATATCAAGATTATGTATGTTATTTCATGGGGACGAAGATTCTGCAAGCACGAAAACCAAGTTCAACAAACGCCATCAACCCCCACCCATCGGCTTTGAAAGTAGTGGTGACACACAAAAAAAGAAAGAAAGCCAAGCCAAGGGAACTGGGATCCTTATGTCAAGGCTAGTTCTGCAATATCCCTATCTGATGCGACACAACACCAATTGCCGAGGAGTAAAGTGCATCACTTGCAGTCTAAAAATCCGTGAATATTTGACGAATCGGGAATAGCGTTTGTCAGCGGGTCCGATCTCGGGATCCGATAAGAGATAAGGAGTATTTGTATGGCCTCTCCAGGGTCTTTTAATTGACTCACTTGAGTATATTCCGATTTCATCACTGTATCACACTCTCTACTTCATATCCTGAACAATGCGTTCCCCACTCCGTATAGCCGTATTGGAATGCGACACCCCCCTTGACAACATCAACCGCCGCTATAACGGATATGGCGGGGTATTCCGCGTTCTCCTCAACGCTAGCGCCAATGCCTTGAACCAGCCCGAGAGACTCGACCCCAAGACGGGTCTGGAAATTACGGCTTGGGATATAGTCAATGATGACAAGTACCCGAAGCTAGAAGATGTTGATGCGGTGCTTCTCACAGGATCAAGTGCGTATTGACTCGGTAGGCTCAAAACATTGAATGCATATACTAAACAATGACCCTGAAACAGGACACAACTCATTCGAAGATATCCCCTGGATCAACCGTCTCGTCGAATTTACCCAGCAAGTCCTCGCACAGGATCGCGTGCGCCTGCTTGGAATCTGCTTCGGACACCAAATCGTCGGCCGCGCATTAAACGTCAAGGTCGGACGAAGCGACCAAGGTTGGGAGATCGCCGTCTGTGATATGGATTTGACCAATGAAGGCAAAGAGTTGTTTGGACGGGATAAGATTGTGAGTTCCCTACGCTTGCGCCTTGTGTAACAATAAGCTACATATGGGCCCGAGGACGTGGATATGCAGACACCTGAGCTAATTTATCTCTCACCGATAGCGCATCCAGCAAATGCACCAGGATATTGTCTTCGATTATCCCCCGAACGTGATTCCTCTGGGCTCATCCCCGCGCTGCGCTGTGCAGGGTATGTATATGCCGCGCCGGTTTATTACCATTCAGGGCCATCCTGAATTCACTGGGGACATTATCACGGAGATTATCCAGAATCGGGCCGAGAAGGGTATTTTCAAGGAGGACCAGGCTCGGGATGCTTTGAGCAGAGCTAATATTGAAAATGATGGTGTTGCTGTTGGGGTGACGTTCCTGAAGTTCCTACTGGAGGACTGAAAGCAGGAACAAACTCCCGATGCGACACAAGCGAACTGCGATTTGTTACCTGGCTGGCTTCAGGTTCTGGCGAGGACTAGTTAGTGCTGTTTCGACTGGTTTCAAATAGATCTATCTTGATGTACATAAGACGCACTGCAGGATTTGACAAGTTCATTAGATAACAAGCGCCTCTCAATGCATATGCAACTAGTGACAGGCAATAAAGTGCTACTTGGGAACGACAAGTGGGTTCCTGCTGTCACATAGAGCCAACGGTATGACTTCCACGCCTATTCACTATATGGGAAACCGGAGATTACGGAATGAGTACAACTGACAGTCCAGTCAGAAAGTGGGTGACATTGGAATCTATATTAGAATTCAAGCCACCAAACAGAGCTGTGACACCAGCTCGCCACCAACGCTGGATCATGGGCCAAGGCCCAGACTGGAACAAGAGAGCCAAAAAAAAGAGCAAAGCCTAAGGACTCTATAAAACAGTGGGGAAAAAGAAACCCTGGTATCGTTGTAAACAAGGTCATGGAGGATTGCCCCAGGCAATATCCTCATGCGGTTCATAATCAGACAAAACGCCCCCTTCCGCAAGCCCATAGGCTGCGAGCCCCGCAGGGCGATGCAATATGCAAACCCAAGAAACCAATCGCTTCATCACTAACGCCTTTTTTTTCGATGCAAGAGAAAGCGCTAAAGATGCTCAAAGGTCTATCCGGAGACTGGAGACAAGCAAGAAATAAATAAATCAGTTCGGGCGCGGGCGGGAAAGTCGTCTACTTCGACGACATTTCTTTCCGTCCGTGTCCGATTGTTCCGGGTTGGTGTTACCCGGGAGAGAGGGGTCTGTGGCCTGACCATCTTCTGTGTCAGAGTTCATCTATTAAACGGTGAGTTAGCAAATATCCCATTCGACGGAACTTTGGAGAGCTCACTCGAAGATTCAAGGAAACAACCTCGTCGTGTTCATCCCTGAATGAGATCCCAACGCCCAAGGTAAGATTGGATACAAGGCGTTTCTTAGGTCTGGTGCGTCTTGCGGGACGAGGATCTTCGGAATCATCGCTGTCCTCCGCGGACCGCTTGCTCCCTGTACTAAATGGGGAAGAGGAGCGCGAGGCCTGCAAGCTTGGTTTGATGGGTATCCCGGGAGCAGCTTTCTTATCAAGTGGTACGTCTGTCTTCTCGTCCAAGAGCGCGGCGAAGGCGCGATCGATGTCGCCACGGCATCTCTGGAGCATATCTACGATGGTCTCCCGGTCATATCGGCCCCCCAATCCCTCTTGGATGGATTTGATATCCCAAGGGGGATAGAGGTCAACAGCAAGGCCAGCATCGTTAGTGTAATCCCCAACAGCTTGTTCTTCCGATGAAGTGAATGGTTTATGATCGGCGTCTGGTTTGGGGTCTGAAATGACCTCGGGCTTAATCGCCTCCTTGATGGGTTGAAATGGCATCAACTTAGTAAGAAGTCCTTCATGGTTGCCCTCGATTCCCCGCACCGAAGAATAGTGTTTGAAATCCTGTGATCGTCAGTGGGGCTCGATGATATGCACAGCAAGACACTTACATGGAATGCTACATGCACAACATCCCGAGATTGACTTGGGAGGGCATTGACATCCTGGAATATCGAAACACCATCCATGGTGTATACATTCAAGTCGACCTTGAAGGCCTGACAGAATGCCTGGAGATGCTCAGAGCTGCCCCATTCCCCATTCTTGCGGGTGGTAGCAATCATTTCCTGGAACCGCCGTTCCATGTCCTCCTGCGTCGGAGCGGAGACGTCGGCAGAGCGAGTAGCATACGCAGATGCAGCTGCACGTTTCGGCCGGCGCCGCTCCCCGCCTTCAGCAACTACAAATTGCATGAAGTAGTCTTTATTTGAAGCCATATGATTGGCTAGAAGCTGGCGGATTTCGTCTGCATGGTGGGTGTCGCCATACAGTTGGTCGGAAAGGGAGTAGTAAAGACAATTGCCTGGGATTGGACGCGTCAGAATAAGTACAACGACGTGATGCAGTTTCCAAAGACCACAATGGAGCTTAGAAATCATGCAGGTGTAATTGGCTTACCGTCTCCCTCAGTGGGGAGTGCATAAAGGCCTCTCTCTTGGAGAGAGGCCATCTCCAAACTCGCGTGTTGCATGTGCTTAGCTTTAGAAATCTGCTGATCCTGCAACAGGCGGGGCAAAGTCGGTGGGGAAGAGATTGAAGCAGGATGAATTGGAGGAAGAGATGCATCTAAAGCAGGCACCTCGAGAGTGGGATCGTGAGAATCAGAGCCCGTAAGTATGGGCACGATTCTGCCACCATTAGTGAGGCGTGACATATTGAAAGGAAGACTCGACTAAGAGTCGGCATTTATGGGAGTGTAGACCAATTGACAAACAAATAAAGAAGTGGAGGGAAATAGAGAAAATGGAGAAATTGAAGTTATTGATCTAATGGCAAACAAAAGCCCGCAGAGGGAATTCGGGCCCTGCGGGTGGTATGAAAAAGGAAATTGTTCGCTCTCCGAGCCCATTTGACTGCCGGAAGGAGGCGGTGAGCCCTGATGTTCTGTGATTGGCTACACGTCGGTGTCTGCCCGCTATGACATCGCCCAACTTTCTTTGTATAAAACAGTCCTTTCAAGGCATTGAAATCTATATTTTGTAAATCAAAGGTTTTGCTCAGATTTCTGACAAAATATCTGAAAGAATTGTGATTTAGGAGAAGAGTGAGGGTGAATTGAAGCAATTGAAGATCAAATGTGATCGATAACGTTCAATTGGGAGTGGAGTCCGGAGTAATGGAGCGGAATTTTACGGAGCTCCTTGCTGGAGGTCCAGGTAAAATCACTTGGATAATTGAGGCCTGAATCAAGGGTCTCAAGATATTTAAGAAACAAAGGCATTGAGGTATTTCAACAGCTATATCTCTAGCTATGAATGATTTCCTAAGAAAGTACATGTAAGCATCGCCTCCGCATAAGTGCGGAGGTGTATTTTAAAAACTGTGTATCCATTCATGGCTCCACTGAAAATCTCTAGCGCGTTTATTTATTTTTCAGGGTATATGATTGGGGAATGCTATACACCGCCTCGGTAGGACTTCCATAATCGGCCAAGTATATAAGTGAGATAATCAGACCCTTACCACGCCTTACCAGGCCATACCGGACCCTGTACCGGCTAAATGTGCGAGTTGTCCCCTCACCCCGCTCCCCTTAGCTCCCCCTGTGTCAACTGTTTATGTTCCAAGCTTCTTTTTTGTATTTGCTTAGAAATTCAAAAAGAGTCATGGCGAATAACATTGTAGTTCTGGGGTAAGATTCCCCCGAGCTTCTCTAGCTCTACCCCTGGAACTCGTTCGAACCTTAACTAACGATGTAACAGTGCCGGTGTGTCTGGTTTGACCACCGCATATCTGCTGTCGCAAGACCCTGCCAACAAGATTACTGTTCTGGCAAAGCATATGCCTGGCGACTATGATATTGAATATGCGTCTCCCTGGGCCGGTGCCAACTATATGCCGTATGATCCACTGAAACCGACTGCTTGATAAAGTTCTGACTAAGTGGATCTTCTACAGGGTAGGAAAGGAGGGAAGTGCTCACCAGAAATGGGAGCGCAATACCTGGCCAGCATTGAAAGAAATTACGGACAAATACCCCGAGGCCGGTATCCACTTCCGAGGTATGATCTCTCCTTAGAATCTGATTAGCATCCGAAGACCCTCTAACAAAATGTAGGCACCTTGATCTACAACCGAAAGAAGGATCAGGAATCAGACACCGGCAAGTGGTTCTCAGAATTGACTCAACCAAACCCTTGGTATAAAGATGTCGTGCCTGATGTATGTTTTACCCGTGAGATGGTCCCACAGACGGACTGCAGACTGACGCGGTAATTCTAGTTCAAAAACGTCCCCTCAGATCAATTGCCTTCTGGAGTGGACAGCGGCCAGGAGTTCACATCTGTCTGCATCAACACCGCCGTCTACCTGCCGTGGTTGGTCGGTCAGTGTGTCAAGAACGGCGCCGTCTTCAAGCGAGCTGTCTTCAAGCACATCGCTGATGCGGCCAACGCCCACCACACCGGGCAGAAGGCTGACGTGGTAATCAACTGCACCGGTCTATCATCCAAGACCCTCGGCGGTGTTCTCGACGAGAAGATGTACCCCGCCCGTGGCCAGATCGTCGTGGTCCGCAACGACCCTGGTCCCATGATGTCGACATCCGGGACTGACGACGGAGAAGATGAGGCGTTGTACATTATGACTCGTGCCACAGGTAAGTTCTTGTATGCTGCTTTTACTGTTTGACCCTTGGCTTATTGCTTCTAGGTGGTGGCACGATCCTTGGTGGCTCTTATCAAAAGCACAACTGGGATGCACTCCCAGATATGAACCTTGCCAACCGCATCATGAAGCGTTGCATCGAAGTTTGCCCCAGCCTCGTTAAGGAGGGACAGGGAATTGAGGGGTTGGATATCATCCGCCATGGCGTCGGCCTGCGACCTCTGAGAGAGGGTGGTACTCGCATTGAAAAGGATAAGGTTGACGGTGTCGCGGTCGTTCACAACTACGGCCATGGAGGATTTGGGTACCAGGCCTCCTTCGGCTGTGCATATGACGCTGTGGCTTTGGTCAAGGAGGTCCTGCAGAACAAGTCTCGCGCTAAACTGTGAGGAACCTCGTTGTATAGATGAATTGTTGTATACTAGCAGTTTCGAACATTCAGCCTTGACATGCATCTATCGCAAAGTCTGGTCCGTCTATATATGCCATTATGACGTCAATTGAGATTTGCTTGAACACTCAGTTTGAGCACTCAGTTTGAGACTCTGCGAAAGAATCATTGAATTCCATCCATAATCATTTCATCAATTGCTCCACGATGCCAGCACACACCTCTAAAGAAGCAGCCCTGAAGATCGACAAAGTTCTGAATGAGTTCGGTAGATCTCCTCTACATGGCACAGTACTTGCCGACTCTCTAAACTCCAGCCCTGAGATAGTGTTGGCGATACTTCTAGACGCTCTGATCAAAGCAAGGCCAATCTCTCACGAGTTGACGCAGAAAACCATCAAAAAACTAATCGAAGCCGAGTACTATGACATCAACATACTTTCCAACAGTACATGGCAAGATCGAACAATGGTTTTGCAAGCCGGGGGCTACAACCGGTATCGAGAACAGTGCGCTACCAATCTCGGTGAGCTCGCGAAGCTTGTTGTCGAGACATACGGTACGCCTTCGCTTCTATATGTTTTAAATTTGTGATGTTATACTGCATGTAGAAGCGGACGCTGATGTTGCGTGAGTACAGAGGGGGATTTGAACAATCTCCTCCAGGACGCAAACTGCGAAACTGGCAAGGTTGGACTATTGTTGAAGGAGGTCAAGGGAATCGGTGACTTGGCAGTGGAGATATTTTTCAACAGTGTTCAAAGCGTATGGCCAAGTATTGCGCCTTTTATCGATTCACGAAGCTTGAAGACTGCATCTGAGATTGGGATTGGAACTGATTTAGATAATATATACAATGCGCTGGATCGGGACCCCGTACGCATGAGTTGGTTCGCTAATGGGCTCTCTGAGGTCCGGCTGGAGAAAAGACAGGAAGTAATTGAGGAAGTTTAAACTGCACAGCACATTCATCACTGTATCTTAACAAGAATGTGAAGATTATGGGGGTTTCCCCTCAGGTATACCTGCTCCAGCCCTTGACCTAGAAGATCTCTCCTCACTCAACCCTTTGGGGAAAAGCTCACAATGAAACGAAAGTACAGGGTAGGTTGAGTTCTTTGTCCCCAAATCATCGCCAGTGCTTCAACTAGGTAGCCTCAAGCACTAAATATATATAACCGAGAGATGATTTACGGGCCTTTCGGGTTTGGGGCTAAATGGACCACCTTTTGAAGTCAGCGACTATATTCAGCAGACATTGAATAAACAGACAGCCACTTACCACTGGAACTATGGCCGACGCAGTCAGAAATGCTAACATGACAGTGCATCCAGTCCATCCTAAAGTCTCATACGCGAGCTCGGAAAGCAATGGGCCGAGCACAGTGCCGGCGCCAAAAGCTGCATCAAGAAGCATATAAGCCTCAGTAACTGCACTCTTATCACCATATATATCAGGTTGTTCCTCTTGAAGGACATTGACGATGCGAGGTATCTCCGTAACCAACGGGGTCAGCGATGTATTCAGTCCTATCCCTGTTGATCGTGAGCAAATCTGTGTATAGCTTTGACGTCCATGGAATTCATGACGGAGCTTACCAACACAAGCTAATAGTATGCACGCCATGACCTTATTTAAGGTATCGTCGTGTCGTATCAGAGCGAGGAGAGCGACTGCTAAAGCTCCCACCGTAAAACCGAAAGTCGAGACCAATTGGACGCCGTATTTGTCTGAGATCATTCCAACAAATGGACCAAGAAATGATGGAATGGTTATGTTTAAAAACATGGCCCCAGTAGCACCGGAAAACCAGTGGAAATTCTGCTTGATAAAAGTCGGGAGGACGGCGTCCATGGCACTCACCAAGATCGTGTTGATGAGACATCCATATAACGCAGCAAGTATACGAGGATTTCTAAGAAAGCCTCCGACAATACTCCACCAAGAAGGATCATTCACAACCGCGGAAGAAGTATCACGACAGTGTGAGAGAAGCGGTGTTGTGATAGTTGAATCTCCATCTTCAACAGTCGATAGTCGCCGTTTTCCATTCGAAATGGCACTTTTTGTCGGGTTCCCATTTGGAAGGGAAGAATGCTCAGTAGAGCCGTTCTGCCCTCTATACTTTTCAGCGGTTTTTCTGTCAATCATAAACAAAATCAGAATCAAATTGATGAGAACGACGCCAAGACCCATGATGAAGACAGGATAGAACCCTGATTTTTCATATACGATTCCTCCAAGCGTAGGTGATACGAGCACGCCGAAATTCATGCCCGAGAGGCCGAAGCCAATCCAGGGTCCCAGCTCGTGCGACTCGATCGTATCCACCAACAGCGTTAAGCCGGCAGTGTAGACAACGCTCGCAGATAGACCCTGGAAAATCCTTGCCACGATGATCATCCACGGCTCAACTCCAAGCATGAATGAAAGGGTGGCACCGAACGCACAGGTGAGGCCTCCTAGGAATGGTATTTGGCGTCTTTCGCATTTTCCAACGATCCAGCCTGCCATTGGGGCACCGAGGACCATTGCGAGTCCGAAGACGGCTAGAGATATTGATGTCCAGAACGGGACGTCGGCTTCTGGTACTCCGGACCGAACGGTTAGGGAGAAAGGGAGCACAGATACGATCTAGAAGAGAGCTCGTAGGGTCAGTACAGCCGTTTGACAGCTAAGGGTAGAAGTACATACGATCCCGTAAAGGAATCCATCAGTAAACGTGGTTGAGAAGACAGCAAGGCCGATGAGTTGTTTGGATGAGCGCAGATTGAAAAGCCAAGGTTTTGTTGGTGTGATATCCTCCATAGTGATTCAGAGCTGACAAGCTAAGAATTACACGGAGGGCCGATTAGATTTTTCCCTCCAGAAGCCCTCGTAACGGTGTCTCGAAAACCAGATCCAAGGCGAAGAGGGAGAAGGTGTGCGGAGTAGTCAAGACAGAATTCTGACTTTGTACTTCTGCATCGAGGCTATAGGAACTATATTTAAATAAATTGGCGTGTCAGCAACGAGAAGGTTTCAATATAAGCAGTCTTGGCCTCTTGGAATATTGGTAAATCGGTCCGAGATTCAACCAGTTATTCTCTGTATACTGCCCTAGTTAGTAGATCCACATGCATGGGGATGATACATGCATGTTCTCTGCATGATTTATTGACGATCAACACAAGTGATTGGACCATTGATGATGCACTGGATCAGATTCTCCACGATCGCAAGTTGCACCAGCTGAATGATTTGCTGCGGGGAAACTAGACAGACGGAACACTTTCAGGGTCCTTTGAAGTAGCTTTGTAAGGGTTCTATGGGGACGTGGTGCATACAACAAGTGTCATTCAATGAGCACAACAGTTGACAAATCACATCGAGCTAGGTACCCTTGTGTATTTTATATGGAGTTCGGGGTCTTATCGTATTGCTGGATCCCTTTGCTTTTTCAGGCTCGATTTTGCTTTTGTCTTGAATCTCTGTCCTGTCCTTTTTGCCTCCCTTCTACAACCCTCCCCTTTTTTACGTTTATGATCTATATAATTTGATGTCACCCTAGCGCAATTTCGAGTTGCTATATCATCAACCTATTCAGGCGCAGAAATTAATTGAACCTAGGCTCTAGTGAACCGTCAAACAATGCCAGGCTTCAATTTTAACTTGCATACTTTGTTGGGATAAAGGAAGACCGAGAGTCTGCGGGTTTATGCTTTATCTATTTTCAACGGTGATAACCTAGAGCAGTCAAATTTTGAGATATATAAACCACGAATTCAAGGTGTCATACTCAATCTTCTTACAAACTGTACTTTAATCTACGTGTGGAGGCATTGCGCATATGCTCACTCACAGGAGGATGATGCACAATCCAGGTATTCTTAAGCCTGACGATGTATTCTGGGTGCGGAGGTAGAAAGCACTATATTGAGAGGGTTCGAAGTGCTTGATAGTTCTATGTTGAGTATTCTTGCAACATCTGTTTGTGTGTTCCTAAATTTTCGCCTTGTAGATCAATTATCCCTTTCATCAGCCACGGTACATATAATGGACACCTATATCTGGTGTGGCTTTCGCAGTCTTTAACTGTCTTCTCTCCTTCTTTACCCATGTTTATATCTCTGGCTATCCGCTGCTTTACAGAGACGATTGAGATTACGGTTCCATTTTAGGCTTTCAGTATACTCGATATTAAACTTATTGTTTATCATAAAGCCACACCTATCGATCAATGATAACTAATTGTAGCCCTACGTCAACACTGGGTCGAATGCCTAATATGGTATAGCGTCCGCACTGGCCTGTGTCAGATCACGTGAGCTACAAGTGGCCTTGGCAGACCCGCTGCTCGCGACAGCGCAGCTCTCGACGCCCTCATTTCCATTTTCCCCCTGTTCTGCTTCATACAAACCCTGGCAAGCTTTCTGATCATAGGTATGTTCCTCATTATAGCTCCCTTCAGATCCACCATTTCGTCGCAAAGGGGTATTTCCCTTTGTCATAGAATCAACAACCTGAGGTCCAGGCTGGCGAACTCGGGCGAACCTAACCTCCACCATCACTTGAGCGATTTGGCAAGACCAAGCACCATCGATCTTCGTATCATAAGCTAACCTAGCACTCCGGAAGATCCAATTTAGTCAGCCGATTCTTCCTTCGAAACTTTGCAGCCTAACGACTCACCCTCCGCATTATTGAAGATCACTTCCATCTCATACACCCTTCAAAGCCGTCGCAATGGATTTCACAAACATCTTGTATGTTGGCTCTTCCTGGGATACGATGTGCCAGTACTGATTTAATACAGCCGTCTTGTTAACATCGCCGTGGGCGTGTTTATGGTGCTCGGTGGCATCAGTAACTTCTTCAGCGGCTCCTTCAGTTCAATCATCTTGGGCGCATACGTAGTTGTCTTCGGTCTCGGTATGTCCCTATCATGATCCAAACTCACGCCAATCGACAGCGCTAACATGACCATAGTCATCGGCGGACTGGAGTTCCTGCCTCACGTCCCGGACTACGCGTACCGTTATGCGTCGTTCCTCTTCTCCTTCCTTGGCCGTGGTGTCTGTAAGTTATTATCCTGCCCCTATATCAGAGGGAAATCAGGGGCTAACAAATCCCGTCATCAGTCTACATCTTTATCGGTTCCATTCTGCTGCACGATCATGTGCTGCGCATCATTGATGGTTCGCTGGTCGGCTTCATCGGTCTCGGATACGTTGCCCTCGAGTTCATTCCCTCCATCGAGCCTCCTTCCAACATGCGCGAGTCCGATCAGGGCTGGGGTGCCGAGCAGGTCTAAATTGCTGCCTGAGTAGGTCGCGATGACCATTTCCTGTCACGTGCCCAAACAAGGCACATCGACACTATGGATAATGTCTGTTCCGGCAGTTTCCTTCAGCATGCGATGTTGAGTGCAATGCCAATGACTTTGGCATGTCCTTGAATCTGAAATGGGTGAGGGATGTCATTATAGAGAAGGGGGGCAATTTTGCTGGGTCTCCGAGATTTTTGTTGATACCAGCGTCAAGGGAGAGACACTTGTACTATATTTGGATGCTAGCATTGTCCAGCAATATGGTCTAATGATTTATTGATTTCTAATTACAGTATCCGGTGAGAGAGATCATCTGATCTGATAATCAACTAGTGCAGGGACTCTTCTCTTAGACCAGTAGGAATCGGCCATGCAATATATTAGACTGGACGGACCAAAAGTACAGCGTGGCCATATCTGGCCATATCGCTTCGGCATATTCCATGTCCGAGGGACCAATCGGAATATCCACAGTGTTGATTACAGTCTTAGTCATTCCCTTTTAACCAATCATCTCCATGAGATATCTGATTTCCTACCATCGCCCCACTCTCACCTCACAGTTTCCACCTTTTTCCACCTTTTCCACTATTTTTTCACTTTGCAACTAAACTTCATCAGGTCAGTGGAGTTCTGCATGAGATATAGAAATAGTAGAGAAAGAGAAAGAGATTTCATTGAATTGCCCAGGTGTAGAAGGAAAGTAAAAAAAAAAGTTGATTAGATGCGATCCTCGGGGTAGATAAAAAAAAAGTGATAGATTGATATGCCCGTCGATCCCCCCTTAGATCGATAAACCCCAATCCCTTTCTTTGGCGATAAGCAATTTGGTCTCGCCTCTTTTGTCTCTCTCCTTTTCACCTTTTTTCATCTTCGGCTATCCACATATTTCACCCTTTTAGATCCTCGACATCTCATTCTCGAATCCCCTGTTCCCCTCCCTTATCGCCTCCATCACATCTGGTGTGCCCACTTTGCCCAGTGACGCGGAGTGATCACCATCTTGCAGCTCCCTAGCCTCTCAGCCAATCCCTGCTTCGCGAGTCGTCCTTTTGCACCGGGCCACCCATCCCCGAACGAAACCGTCCCCCACGATCGCTTGCTAGTGAGACCAGACCCTGTGGTGTGCTGTCAATTGTCGCAATAACCATCACCTGACTCTTCCACGCCGTTCCGTCGCCACTGTTCCATACTCGGTTACTATCTTTTGGTGGCGCGTTCGACAGGTCTAATCTACTTGACATACGATTTCCTGATTATCTGTGTGGCGGCATCCGAATTCACTTCTGTTCGACTGCGATCCCGACACATCGTCCTGCGATCCCCCCGAGCCTGCAGCATCGTGGCTGCAGATCTGCCTGCTGGACTGACTTTCCCATCTCTCTCCAACCATTAGCTTGACCGACATTTGGTTTTTGAGTGATACGGTGCATTCTGCTCTCGACTGTGGTGCGACATCGCTCTCACATAGGATTTTCACTCTCCCTTTCGATTTCGTTTTCCATATTCGATCCTCCCGTTCTAAGGATCACCACGGCCACAGGATTCCTGGCCCGGATCACACATTGTAATGTTAGCGTCGATCCCACAAATGGAAGCCCTCCACTCTCTGCCTCGAAATCCGGACGTTCCAATGCGCCAACCGTCAGCGGAGGATTTGGATGCTGCGCAGCAGTTGATCTCCTCAGCGCAGGCAGGTCGTGAACATCTAGCGGATCACTACCGGGAAGAGGGCATGCAAGGATCTGGTCAACAGGGATCAAATCAGTGGATTGGACACAATGAAATCCCCAATGAGAAAACATCCCCCGGCAGCCAAAAAGACACAACGTTCCTAGGGCATTCATGCAGGTGAGTCTCGACTGGATGGCCTCGATTGATACTTCGGTTCTTAGTGCTGACCCCATATCTTTTTTTTAAGCAATTGCGGCACAAAAAGCACACCTCTCTGGCGTCGTTCTCCTACGGGAGCGATGATCTGCAACGCCTGCGGTCTCTATCTCAAAGCTCGCAATGTTGCTCGCCCCACGAAACGAAACCGGATGCAATCAGAGGGTGCTGAGAAGCCCCCGCCGCCTACGAACTCCCACTGTGGGGGTTCCTCAGAAGGTGGTGGTTGCAAGGGGTCATGCCCTGGTGGTGGGAGTTGCAATGGCACCGGCGGCGCAGAAGGATGCGATGGATGCCCGGCATACAATAACCGGATATACAAGTCTGCTCCCCGAGGAGCGGCTGCCATCCAATCCTCGTGGGGCCGTCCAACACAAGAGCTCGAGCCTGTGACGCAGGAAGAGCCACCGACGAAGGCCCCTGCTCCTGCCGATGGACCTAATACTCTGGTTGCTTGTCAAAATTGCGGTACAACTGTGACTCCTTTATGGCGGCGCGACGAACAGGGTCACCCCATTTGCAACGCTTGTGGTAAGTTTGGGTCCCGTATAGACTTGTTGATCTGATTTGTCTAACACAACCCAGGATTGTACTATAAGCTCCACGGATGCTATCGCCCCACTAACATGAAAAAATCCATCATCAAACGCCGCAAACGCGTTGTCCCTGCCCTACGAGATCAGTCTCCCACCGGTGCTACCATTTCTTCTAATGGCTCATCGGCATCTCCAGAGGCATCACCTGCTACCCTGGCGCATGGCCATGACGATCACTACCGATATATGAGCAACGAGCCTGCTGATCACTACCACATGATGCACGGGAAAGCCGAAGATACCCCTCGACCTTTGCCTTTTGCGCCACCACCGGTTGATTTCACCGGTTACAATGCTTCATCCGTGCCCCTTACACATGGTCTTCCCATCTCCCACGGCCTACCCAAGCCTTTGGCAGTGGAGCGACTGGGACATTCGCCCGTGTCTCAGTACGGGCGACGTTCTGCCTCTCCAAATTCCCTCAACCTTCCTAAGAAACGAACATTGGCCGAAACCGCGACCGAAGGTCTAACGGCCCCGTCTACATTGGAAGCAGGATCAAACCAACTACCTCCGATCATGTCTTCCGCCAATCCCACTTCCCCCGGTCGTCTCAGCTCCATCTCGTCCATTCTGAACCAATCAGATGTTCGGGGCGAGTCTCGCTCGGATACCAATCTGGGACGTGCACCTCCTCTCCACCACTCTATCTCCCCTTCGCCCCACCCGTCGCAGCCTTTGCCTGGCCTTGCATCTCTTGGAGACTCCGTTGATCGTCGTGCCCGGCTTGAACGCGAAGCCGAGCAGATGCGCGAGATGCTCAGAGCCAAGGAGCGCGAGCTGGCAGAGATGAGACGATAAATTCGCCGTCCGCCCAAGCAGTGACGAAAATAATGATATTCGGATAATGTTTTGCAAATCGGTGTTCTCGTGAGATAAACGGCGCACAAAGATACCACTCACGTTACTGGGATATCGTGTCCTAGTTGTGTTATTATTAAAAAAAGTGTGTCCAATGAATTGTATTTTATAATGTGAAATCGCTATCCATTTACTTTGATTTACTGTTCCTCAATGCCCATGTAGGTAGGTAGAATGTATTTTACCTTGACTTCATGAGGACCGATGTCATAATGACTTCTCACCCAACCTCGACCAACTCAATTGAAAACAGATCAAATTCGCTCTAAACAACCTCAATTATTCAAACCAACCAATCCACAATGTCCACCCCAAAAACCTTCACTCTTACATTCATAGGCGATGTAATGCTCGGCCGCCTACTCGACCAACTAATGCCAGAGCACGTCACCAACGAGCACGACGAACGCATCGCCACAACCTTCATAAAAGCCCATCCAACCCTCCTCGGAAAGGGAAAATACACTCCCTCCTCGCCATGGGGCACAACCCTCCCCCTCCTCCAATCCTCAACTTTAGCATGCATCAACCTCGAAACCTCCGTAACAACAGCCCCAGTCCCATGGCCCAACAAGGTATTCAACTACCGCATGCACCCAGCAAACCTAGCCCCGATCCTGCACGCCGGCGGTATCGACTACGCTAGTCTGGCCAACAACCACACCCTCGACTTCGGAACCGAGGGTCTCACAGAGACCGTGCAAACACTGCAACAAGCGAACGTCGCTTACGCAGGGGCAGGCGAAACAGCCGACGACGCACGCAAACCTGCCGTGTTACATCTACCCAGACTCTCAGAACCCGCAGACGAAAACCAACGCTACACGGTCCATGTATACTCCGCCTCCGACCATCCACGCGTGTGGTCCAGCGTATCGGGATTCAACCTGTTCGATTACACGCGCGAGACGCGCGCTCGATTGCGTGAAATGCTTAATGCTGAACAAACCAAGCCTGCGTTGAAGGTATTTTCTGTTCATTGGGGACCGAATTATTCGTGGGAGCCTGATGGACGGATTACGTCCCTTGCGCATTTCTTGATTGATGAGTGTGGGGTTGATATTGTGCATGGACATTCGTCGCATCATGTTCAGGGTGTTGAGGTTTATCGTGGGAAACTTGTTATCTATGGGTGTGGGGATTTTGTGGATGATTACGCGTTGAATGAGGAGTACAGGAATGATCTCGGGGCTTTGTGGAGGGTTGTTGTTAGGGAGATGAGTGGTGGGGGGATTGGGTTGGAGAGATTGGAGATCTTTCCTACGCGGGTTGAGAGGTTTAGGGCTATTTTGTTAGATTATAGGGATCCGGATCATGTTTGGGTTCGGCGGAGGGTTAGTGAGCTTAGTGAGGAGTTTGGAACTTCTGTGAGGGCGGCGCTTGGGGAGGAGGGGGAGGTTGTTGTTGAGTTGTCTGGGGAGTAGTTTTTGAGGGTATTTAGTGGTTGAACTGGAGACTATGTGCTTTAAGTGTCCATGTGGTGATGTGATTGAATCGGAGACCATGTGCTTAAAAGCGTCTATGCAACACACGCTATTGGATATGATTTACATGGCTAAGAGATAGGGCCACTTTTATCGAACTCTTTCTAGATCTCTGGGTCTCTCGGCCTTGGGAAAGTGATATGCAATCAATCTATACGGTAGATCTCAACTAGCTAACATCAGATCCATGGATGCGTTTCATTCTATGAAGTACTAGTCCATCACAAGGTTCTTATGACAAATATTAAACAAAGCAGAAGAGCATATGAACGTCCCTGAAAACATAAGATAATAATTAGCTATAGAAGTACCCCTAGGAATGCGAACAATAGCATAGAATAGACATGTTAGGCCTAGCATTCAGTGATATAAAGCCTGGACCGTAGATACAGCTTGTCAATGTATAACCAGGAATGTGATAGTGATATGTTTGCATATTGAACACTACTAATAGAATGGCACGAGCATCGTATATTGTACTCGGCGTGCCGAGATAGAACCGAGGCCTGCACTCAAGTACGACGCAGTCTATCTCTGTCGATCAGCTTGTCATTGCGCCTTAAGATATCCCGAGGTAACCGATATGTACGTGATGCGACACAGTTATAGACGGCGTTTAGCGGAGTAATAATCCGTGGCCAGCATGGCAAATTCCGTGCGCTGGCTCATTCCATGGCTCTTTTGTGTGGAGGTCATCCACTTCATCATTGAACTGCGACGATCTGCGTTGTTTCACAACTCAGCGCCCTGCAACAGAAACTCATATTTTGACGGCGGACTCTGGGACTGTTTTCGGCGACAACGGAGTGTTAGAGCAGAGTCATTTGAGGGACAATATTCCAGTACAGAGTACAGAATACTGAGGTAGCAAGGTTGAATAGTGCTGGAGATCAAAATAAAGGAGCAATAAGGGGGACATACCCTAGCCCAATTAGGAAGTGATGCGAGCGATCATGTCGATCAACCACGTTCTTCCCTTTCCTTTCCACCGAGGTCCTCTGTCCAGCATCTACGAATTGTTCAACAGATATAACCTACCGTTCTACTTGCAAGATATGTAGAATGTGTTGCAAAAATACACATTCACCCAACACCGTGCACTATGTCAATAAACAGACAACACCGCCAGGAGTGCCCCCGGATCATCCAGCATGCATCATTAACATTATTAGAATGATGACACTACGCCAATGCCACCCCACCCTGCATTAATTTCTTTGGGAAAAGGACATCTACAGCCAGTGAAAGCACCGCAGACTTGCCACCCAAGTGGGTCCTATGGACGGACACAGAGGCCCGTTCTCACCTTCCATACCCAACAAGGGAACTTAAAAAGATAGCTCGGATTTACCATGATCGACTCGGCCGCGACATGTCTATCTTTCCTCCATTCTGGGAGCCCCTCGCCTAAAAACATTCAAACTTCGCTCCACGGGGATCCATATGTGCTGCCCATGGTGGAGACTCGGCCACCATTTCCCACGCTAAAGCCTTTCCTAGAAGTTTTCTCTGTGGGTGTAGGCCTTCAGACCACATGGCATATCCCGGACCCATCGCTTCGGTGTGCCAAGGCCTCCCAGCAACCTGGATGGGAGCATGGGATCATCGCCTAGTGCTGCGCTATTGAGCAGACTATTCAAAATCTATGGGTGTTTCCCGCGAACAGACTACCGAGACTGGGTCGTACCATGCATGAAATAGTTCTCCGCAGTTTGCGCAGACATTGATCGACATTGAGATCATGTTCAAATGAATTTGTCCCCGCTCCCTGTCTCCGAGAAGGATTGTTTTCTACTCTGATATCACACTCTCTTTCCTGGCACTCTCAACCCCAAGTTCAATGCAGTGAACTGCATCGATTAGAGGTCATTGTGAAACCGCTATACTGGACATGATCGATTGAAACATCTGCACATCATAATACACGTTCATTCTACAACTACTCTCGCTACATTTGGTTCTTGACTTCAATATTCAATATGCACGATTTAATTCACACATTGTTTTCTCGAGATGATGATAATGGAGCCTCTCACGGTCGACGGGCATTGGTCGTGACGGCAGTACTGACCGCTATCTCCACTGTTATCGTCGCAATGCGGTTCTATGCGCGACTTGGATTGATGAAAATCACCGGCCGTGAAGATTGGGCTATTCTGATCTCTTTGGTATGCTTTTCGAATAGCTACAATTCGAGCTACATGGTCGGCTTGCTAATAAAGCATATGTGCAGATATTTTCCCTTGTCTACCTCGCACTCGTCGCTGCCCGTAAGTTCACGATGCACCAGTGAATTCAAGAACCACCCCATTAATATGAATGACAGAACTACATTATAAGATGGGCGTCCACTCGTCGCTGCTTTCTAGTCATATCTTGCAGCAACAACTTAAGGTACGCTGTATTCTTTACTTAGCTTATATTTTATTGCAAACTAACCCGACTCTTTTCTCAGTGTTTGTGGGCTGCAATTCCCATGTACAACGCTAGCTTGGCATTCACCAAATTCTCCATTCTTTTCCAATATCTGCGCATCTTTCCCGGCAAACCTTTCCGCCTCGCCTGTTATTTCATGATGGCAGTCGTGGCTACCTACTCATCGTGGGCCATTGTGAGCGGCTTCGTGAATTGTGTCCCCGTGGCCAAATTTTGGAACAAAGACTTGCCAGGAAGCTGTCTCAACTTCGAGGCTGTCTGGTTCTTCAATGCTTCTATGAACATTACAACGGATATAGCGCTATTAATGTTACCCATGCCACTACTTTCCAAGCTACAGCTGCCCCGCACACAGAAGATCGCTCTAATGGGCGTCTTTGCCATGGGTATCTTGGTCGTGGTCACCAGTATTCTCCGCCTGTCAAGCTTGCGTGAAGTAGCAAAAAGCCCCGATACATCCTGTACATCATCTTGCCGATCTCTCCAATCTATTGATCAAAAGGCTAATCCACTAAACAGACAGCAACGTCGCAGCCGCCTACTGGACCGCTGCAGAATGCAACGTCGCCATCATGTGCTCCTGTCTCCCATTCTTGCGACCCATCATTAGCCGCATCTTCCCCAGGCTTCTCTCCGCAGGTAGCTCCAACCGCTATGCCGCCAACAAAGCGACAGTCACAAACCTGACGGGAACTCGCACTATGACACGTCATACTCAGTTATTCAGCCAGAATCATGATAAGGACTATGATATGTACTCGATCAATGTCTTAACTAAGCCTGGTGACCACTCCAGCCACAGTTCCCTCGGTGGTATCGAGGTTACCACCGAGATGAGCGTTATGCAGGAGGCAACTCCGACGATGAGTCCCAGTGAGCGTAGGCTGGTTATGGATGCTTGATGACGTTATTTTCTTTCGTTTTGATACATGTTCTTTATCTTTGTTCGGATATACACGCGAATTTTGCTTATTTTCTATGATTGCATTGGGACAGGATATTTTGGCGGAAACTTCTATTTTTCTTTTGTTTATGGGCTTGGGTCGGAATTTTGATATATATTTCTGGGAGATGAGTGGACCACTGTCAATTCTGTCTTTCTATTTTTTTTAACAATGTCACTACATAAGACTTTTACAGATCGAGAATACAATGACAAAATATACTACAGATGATACCAGGAAAAGGCCAGGCAGTGGATGAGCGCTTTATATTAAATTTTGTATCAACGACTAGAAGCTTCACCAGCAGTTGCTGATTACATCCCCAAAGAATTCACTCAAGCTGTGGGTACGACGATGGTCCTTCTCAATGTCTTTCAAATCGTTTGCTATGAACCAGGTCTTGATACCCTGAATGAATTCAGTAGTCGTTGTAAACTTTGATCTCTTGATATTGATGAAGCGAAGCATTGCTGCGCTAAGCGCTCCGTGCCCCTCGCCTCTCATCTGTTTCTTGCAAACATGCATAAAATCGTCCGCGCATGTGGTCCTTTTACCAGTCGACGTGACATTCTTAGCAATGTCGGGGTCTAAGTCCAACCCACAATGAAGCCAAGCTCTGATTTGCATACTGATCTTCATCCATTTGTCGGCATTCACGGAGTTTCGGTCTGGTTTATCGACTTGCTTGTTGATCAGGCGATGGAGGTTGTGACCCCGAAGGATCTTTGTGACGGTATCGAGTCAATTATCGAAGTCTTCTCTTTCTTTGAGCACTGGCTCAATCTTGTAAAGTACGAAGCTGCCCATGTCAGGCCAGCCTTCGCCCTGATCTCCTCCAATTGTCGACTGATCTGCGTCTTCGACGAGCGTCCAGTCTTTCCCTGTTGTTGCAATAGGGCCCCACAGCGGGGTTTGCGCCATTGTTGTAGGGTAACGACGTTGTTGTCGTAAGGTTCTTGTGGAGGAATGAAGGTATCAAGATATGATGGTGGGATCAAAGGCCCCAATAAATCTCTGTTTGTTGTAGGGTAAGAACCCTAAAAATATCTATCTGTGTGTGATTCTCGAGAATCAAGCACACGAGAATTGGAATGCGACAGCGAGATATGGTTCCCTCGCTGTAAATCGATCTCTGTAGAATGACTGGAGTCAAATCTATACGGCAGTGGGGCCTCGATTCTCGTCCAATGGGGTCATCGTATCAAGATCCTGGGTGCGACTCTCTCTGCGCAACCGAGTACACAATGATAAAAGTAAAGCCTCTGTAATTTAATTGATCGCAATGAATAGCGGGTCAAAAAAGATGCTCATAACCTGTTGGGACTACAGAGTAGGGCACGAAAGTCAGGAGGAAGAGAGTTGTGTTGGAGAGATGGAACCCCCGGGTTATCTACTCATCTGAGTGTTGATGTCTGATTCCTCAGATATCCACAACAACAGTCTTCAACACCAGCGAGCAGACCACGAACCACCACTCAAGCAACCACGCAAATGTGGGCATCCATCGCGAAGTCGGCGGGGTCATAATCAAAATGCTCAGCTTCATCATTGCTTTCATAATTGAGCCAAAAGAATCGTGCCCAACTAAGGGATAAGAGAAGCTCCTGACGATCACATTCGATTCCATCCTCGAAATCACTATGCGAAGGGTAGACATAGTCCCACTGATCACTCGCTCCATGTTTTATGTCTGCTCAGATGCTCTGCTCAGATGCTCTGTCGAAGTGATCCAAGGTTGGAATGTTTAGATATGCGTGTCATAGACTAGAGGTTGACTCGCCTATTCGAGCGCAATTCCGAGGAAGAATTCTGAGGATCAAGACAATTACTCGTATAGATCATTTTCACGATATATTGTCTGAAAAGAGCATTGAGGGGAGACAGGTCTCGAACTGGAGGCCATCATCCGGTAGATTCTGTATCTGGTTGGATGACACCTTGATATTACGATATTATTGGCGGGGAAGGAACTGGTTGCCGTGACGAAAGAGCTGGTCGTAGCTCTTAAGGACCTGATTTCGGAGAGATATATGTCGTGAGACCGACGAGATAGAATGGGACTCAGCGCTATAGTATAGTGGATTATATAACCTTGTTCAGCTAGGTATGAGGGGGTGGTGGTGAAGAAGGAGAAAGTCTCTGCTATACAATCTATGGAGTAACAGGGTATTTATACCATGCTGTCTAGCAAGCAATCACCAAACAATCGCTTAGTCTGTGAGCAAACAGATTAGCATCAATGGGATGGTCACACAAACCTAACGTGGGACCACCGACAACATGGGTTTTTATAGAGGGTCTTTGAACAAGGCAACGAGCCTGAAAGATCCAGGGGGACTAGGATGATAGTAGAAAAAAAGGGGTTCACAACCTCATGCACGTACTATTACGTGTCTAAAGAGGAAGCAAGGAAGCGATAGACAGAATGTAATGATAATGATCTACCTACTGCCGTGAAGGCCCCTAAATATCTTTATAGGAATAATGTAATAAAGGCATGAAAGGAGCTCAAAATGCACGTAAGCAAGCAAAGCGTCAATGCACATGCAACAACAATTTGTATAAGATTGGGCTGAAGTAGTGTAATGAAATGGTGCTGGTCCATGTGGATCAATTACGAATATGCGCTATTGGCCCTGAATGCGGGAATATTATATATCAAATGGAGGTAACATCCAAGCCCTGATCTAAGACATCTATAAATAAAACAATCTAGTAAATAAATCAAGTAACGTGCTCCTTCTCCTCCTCCTTAGGAATCCTGACCCAAATAATCGTGACCAACGCAGCAAGCAACTGCGCTGCAAGCGCAAACCACCAAATAGCATGCAAACCCTCAAGACCAATTTCCCCATCCGGGCCCCGACTAACACGGGTACCAATAGCATCAGCAACACTGGTCATAATCGCCGATGAAAGATTCTGATTCGTAACCAACAAAGCACCCGCACTCCCCTGATACGAGCGTTCAACATTACTAGTAATGAAGATGGATGCCGCGGCAAAAGCAAGATCAGGCCCGAACGTGACCAACGAGATACCCGGGAAGGAAAGCGCCCAGTAACTGGTGTTTGCAGTCTGCGGCAGGAAAAACGCGGGTCCAAGCGTGAAGGCAAACATAGAAACCGCGTAAATATAATGACCCGGAACGAGGTGCAGTGTGCGAGCGACGATCAACGTCGCCAGGACACCGACTAGCGCGTTGGGGATATGATACAGAGCGACAGCAATGGGGGTAGCGTGTTGGATACGCAGCCAGAACTGGATTGCGTAAAACTGCCAGCAGCCGAAGTAAGACCCGAAACCAAGGAAGTACGCGATCATCAACGGAGTGAAGCCCGGTGTGCGCCAGAGACGGTTAGGGATGAGAGGACGGACTGCGTTCCGCTCTGCGAAGAAGAGCCCGACGAATAGCACGGCGCTAACGATGATCAAAACGTATGTGTAAGGGGACCAAGAAGCGACGGGACCCTGCGTTAACCCGAACAGGAGACACACGCAACCGCCGGCAGCGCAGAAACCGCCGATATAGTCGAATTGCTTGATTGACGGGGCTTCCTTTCCGGAGACATCGGCGATGGGTTTGAGAGGTGGAATAGCGAACCAAGCAGCCGCACACAACAGCACACAGATAATGGCGTTCGAGCCGAAGATCCATGGGAGGTGTTGGTACAATGCTCCACCTTGCAGTGCGCCGAGAGAGAACCCGAATGGAGCGGTAGCTGCCATTGCCGAGAACACACGGTTCTTGCGTACACCAGGCGTATAGACGCGGCCGAGGATGCTCATACTTCCTGAGACGAGGACGCCGATGGCGAGACCCTGCATTGCGCGCATGACGAAAAAAAGGACGTAGCGGGATGGGTGGAGAGTAAATGCGCCGATAAAGTTCCACACGGCTAGCCAGGCGAATGCTCCGACCATGAGGAGTTTCGGTGGCATTAGGTCTGTTAGTGAGCCAGAAATGATTACTGAGAGGCCGTTTGCTGTGTTGAAGGCGCCAACGACCCAGGGGAGTTGGGTGTTTGTAATGCCGAGGGCTGTTTTGATTTGTTCTTGTGGGGCGAGCATGTCGCCTAGCAGGAAAGAGAAGAGCATTAGGCCTGCTGAGCAGACGAAGATTAGGATGAGCTCGGCTGTGAAGCTTGAGAGTTCGGGCGGGATGCCTTGTTTGGTGCGGGTTGGGGATCCTGATTCTTCGTCGCTGTCAGGATGAGATCGGGATACTGAGTCTGCATGTTTTCTGTTTTTCATTTTGCTTGTTGTATCGAGGGCATAACTCTCGTTGATTTCACGGCCGATGTTACTGATAGAGAGATCTTGGAGCGCGATTTTGTCCACGATTTTGATGTTGCCCATCAGTGGATCGGGAGTTTGTGCCCCGGTCGCTGGTGTTGAGTATGTCCTTGTGTAGGACATTGAAGACCGGCTTGATACTGGCGCTGAGTCTTCATAGCCTTCTGGAGAGGTAAGATCGAGATCTTGAGGCCCATTGTCGCGGTGGGAACCCGCATGCGGTTCAGACATTGTCAATTTGTGAGAGACACGATAGTTATAGCTTTCTATGGGTGTAATTTGAAGAGTAGAAGAAAAGAAAAAAATCTCTTAAGAAAGCCAAAAAACGGCTAAATTAGTGATAAGATGGAGTGGAGTTGAAGTTTCAATTTATCCACAAAAAATGTCAACTCTTTACTTCATCGATATCCAAGGCACCTCTGCATATAATCTACGCCATCGAGCTCATCTGAATCCCTTGCGGAAGCTTGCGTATACTCTTGAACGGTGGATCTAATTTTTCTTTTAAGAACGGGTATGTCTACTGTATCTAAGTGATTTCTTCCCAAGCATATAGTTATTCCTAGATTGAACCCCGAGATCTTCTTTAGAAAAAAAGAGAGGGAAGATAAGAAAGGCTCTCATTAATAAAGTACGGGAGAGCAGTAGATCAACACCCGAGATTATCTTGGAATGCTACTGGAGAATGAATTGCGAATTCAATGTACATCATTGTCCTTGATCGTCTTGATCGTCAGTGATTGACACGATAATTTGATGCCCAATCCATCTCTGAATTTTCCATCCAATCGGATGCGCGGCACGGAATCCGATTTCCGAGGCCGAAGGGGACGGGACCTTGCAGGCTAATCTTCGGGTATTTTCAGACAATTCCCGTTAGATTTCTGACCTGTCGATCTTCAGGGTCTCACTATGAACTGTGGATGTTCGACTAAGCTTTGATCGGGATCACCCTACATGCATACGACGTCATATCATGCAGGTCCTCTCCTTGCCGAGGTGGGTTTGGACCATGCAGTACGTACGAATTTTGAGATCTACAAAATTGTGCTAAAAACTGAAAATCCAAGTCATTGCTCTTTCATTCATGATGCTAAATTGAATATGCGGTCTTTATACACTTATTTGCCGAAGACCTTGAAGCGATCCTCAATAGGAGCGAAGGCCTTCTCTGTGGGCTCAGAGTTGGGAACACCAAAGACCAGCTGGGCGTCCAACTTCCATGAGGCGGGGATACCCCAGGTCTTGGCAACCTGCTCATCGATCAGGGGGCTGTAGTGCTGGAGGTTGGCACCGAAGCCTTCAGACTCAAGGGCAGTCCAGACTGGATGAACGTTAGTTTTAAATTACATGTTGATCAAAGTCCGAAGAAGAAAAGCACATACCAAGGAACTGAGACATAGCATTGGACTCCAGGGCGAAGGGATCGAACTTGTCGGCGTAGATGGCGAACTTCTCCTTGATACCAGCGAGCGACTCATAGTCGACGAAGAAAAGGACCTAGATTAATGGGTAAGCTGGTTGTTCGCTATTTTTGATGCTAGATATAGTCATATTAGGGAAAACGCACGGTCCCGTAAGCAGCGCGGAAAGCATTCAGCTTGGGCTTGGTGGAGTTATCGAACATCTCCTGAGAGACGTGGCCAGCAGCGACCAGACCCTCCATAATCTTAATGGCAATATCCCACACCTTCTGGTGCTCCTCCTTCAGCAGTAGGACAACACGGGAGGTCTGGGTATTGAAGGAGCTGGGAACGTGGAGGACGGAGTCCTGAACAATACGCTCAATGACATCGTCGGAGACGGGGCTCTCGCCCTTGAGATCGTAGTAAGTGCGGCGAGCCTTGACCAACTCGAAAAGAGTGGTAGTAGCGGGGTTCTTGAATTCGGCCATCGTGAGAGTGTTGAGAGGGAATAAGTAGGTGATTAGTTGCGGAGTGAAGTGGTATAGAGCAATTCCAAGGAGAAACAACAGGGTTTTATACATCTGAATTTCGACCCCATAAACGTGAGATTTTAGAAATCTTTTTCTATCTATTGATTTCTGTAGAGGGGAGTAATATCGCCACTTATAGCCAATCACAGTTTGAGTGCGGAATGGACGGTCTCCGCAGGCTCCGCTGTGTAAGCGCAGTGATTTGATGAGAGAATATTAATCAGCTTAGTTATTATTAGCATGGATTATCAATACGTTACCAAGCATTTTTATACAATCAATAGATATGTATAGTGCGGAATTTATTCCATATGCATAATGACAATGACATTCATTGGAAACCAATCAAATACCTAATTCTGTTCCTGGGAACCTATCTCACCATAGGTTCCAATTTTGATATGGTTACTATCCAAATGGCATATCCATTTTGATCAAAATAAATCCCCCTAATCCAGAGGCATCTCGCGTCTCACAAGTTTAAATCCAGAACATAGCGCCAGCCATAAATCCAATCAATGCCACGGGCGCAGCCTTCTTGATAGCATGGTTTTTCATCGCCAATGGGACGGTAACAGTGGCCCGAGCGCTCTGATTTTGTCTGCAGTCACACTCACAGTGACACGGAACAGAAGTAGCAAGAACAGTCACCGTCACTGTCGAGATATTCTTGCCACCCGGTGAAGTCCCATTTCCAAAATAGGTTGGAGCACCAGTTGTCATGGCCGTCGCATTCAAGAACACAAATGGGGGACCGGTTGCAGTCACAGTTCCATCAACGGAAGAGGCAGAGTTAACATCAGCTGTCGCGGTCGCAGGCGCAGTCAAACTTCCGTCAGTAGGTGAAACATCGGAAGTGGAAGAAGATTTGGCTTCAGTCGTGCTAGTGGGCGGGAAATCTCCGGTATCCGTTACGATCAAGGTTGCCGGGAAAATCCCGAGAGTGGAGTCGGCTCCAGTGGCTGGAACAAGCACTGTGGCCGAGTTGACAACATTACTTTGATGCGATGACTTGGTTTCAGTGCAGGATGCCCCTGTGGGTGTTGGAGAGCCCATGAGTGTGCAGCCTGAGGTAAAATCAAACTTGTAGCCGCTGGCAACCATGTCATATGCTATATCTACCGTCAATATAATGTCCTGTTTGGGGGGCTGCTATCCTCAAACTTACTGTTGGGTCCATAGATAACGGTCAGATCTGGATTAAATCTGTGGCAGTCTGGTTTGTCAGAGAGACAGTTGATTCCATACGTTGTTGTTGCATCTTTCTGCGTTGGTTGTTAGTGATGGAGCACAGGAAAAGCAGACATGATACAGACGGCGCCAATGGCCTTGCCTCCATAGCCCTGGAAGTAATCGGGTGCATCTGTGACCCACGGGATAGTCTGGCTTTTGTTAGATTCTTCAGTAGCGTAGTGGTTCTTTGTGGGAGGTAAACAAACAATTGTCGCGTCTTCGTGAGCAAGCCCGAGAGCAATCCAGCATAGTTGGATCACCAACGCAAAAAGATATCTGAATAACATAATGTAGATTATTGACGAGATGTCGAGATGCGTTTCTTGGAGATACTTGTCAACAGAAGAAATTTCTCGACGCGCGAGGTTTTTATTCGAAAGACCAGGCCGTCCGAAACAATGTGTAAACAATCGAGCAAGGCAAACAGAAAAAACAATAGACAATATAGACGGAATAATAGGAAAGAGCGAATCACATCTAGACGCCTGAACAGTAAGGCGAATATACTTCCTAACTAACTAACTAACTAGTTTGGTGTATAGTTACAGAGTTCTCGGAAAGAGCTCTTATTATTGCCGCCCATGCAACACAGCCCATTCCTGCTTCACTGAAATCCCAGAAGGTCCGTTCTGCTTTTGATTCATATCCCTCCTTTCTGCAGCTTCAAGGGATTTCTTACCCCTACAGCATATCTTTCTCGTATCTGTGAACTTTTCAACTGCGACGCCAACCTCATGCTTGGGCCCAATCGGCCGCAAACACAGCTCACTCGAGTCATCCTGCAGGGGCTGAAACTCGCTATCGCCAGTGGACCCAGATCTTCTAGACGGGGCCGAAGATTTATTAGATGGGCGAGCTGTCAATTCGGGTGTGTATGTTGAGCGCCCCAGGAGGGGGCGCATCATAGGGACGGAAGCGAGGATGACAGCAAGACAGGGCTCCAGGCCACTGAAGATGTTGGCACGGGGAATTGAGTAGGTGATGTCGGTGAAGTCCATTGTGGAGAGTATGGAGATACGAAGAATGCTGATGATGCATGTGCTATATTTCAGGGTTAGCAAAGACCATCTCGCGATTCTTTCATGGGTGACGGTGCAAATCTTACACTGCTCCCAGCCCGAAAATAGTGATGAATGTCACTTTCTTATAGCTAGCCATTTGCAGATTATACAGCAGCGGCATAGGTGTGACCAGCACAACAACATCGGTAACAAGATTTATAACTCCCGTCACCGTGAATGAGGTCACCTGGTCTCCGCATGATCCCCCGGGAATAGTTTGGTCCCAGTTAAAGGCAAAGGGCCGACAGATCAGACAGCCCGCCAGTATTGTCCCAATAGTCCACGCTATGATCACACCGATTGTTGTCCAGGAAATTCGCACAACCCAAGTGACGGGGAAGATGCGAAGATATAGCAACAAGATGGAGACTTTTGTACAGCTCAGACTGAGAACCCAGAGAAATTGCAATGGGATGATCAATTTGAGAAGTTTGGTGATAGGCTCGAGTCCATATTCGCCTGCAATTGTAGTGACATGGTCATAACCGATGCCCGCTTGTATCACGCCGGTGATGCTAATAGACTGGAGGCCGACGGCGAATATCTGGATCGATTAGCATAGTTGATCTTATTTGACTTGGGTAAATACTCACAGCGGCGGCAATTATGAAATAATCACTCGGAATCCATTTTTTATGCGCAATCTGGTGAGCTAGCAGTCGCAGACATACTGCGATCACGGCGAGGATAGAGAAGGCGATAGCCACACCTAACACCTGCCTTTGGGCCGGCGTCTCTATAGGAAATGTCACAACCATCTCCCATTCTTGCAGACAGAAATGAATTGCTAAAGCAAGATAAAGTGAAGAGTAATAAATACGTAATTTGACACCCAACTAGCAGGGATCTCAAACTTAGCCCGGGGATTTGAATCCTCGGCCCGCCCAGGGGTATTCCTATTTAGTTCGGGCTATTTTGGCATCAGAAAATGTACGGGAATAAGGAAATAAACCATAGTATGAAATAGTAGCCTGATAAATTGGTCTTCATCATCAAGCAGTTTAGATTAACGGGGAGGCTGAACTAAACATATCCAAATTAACAATAACCTGACCGTTAATGAAAAACAAATGCATTGTTCGGCATTTGAAAGCTCAACGTTTCCTCATTGGCAACATCCTCATTGGTGCGCCAAATGCCGCTTATGCACCAAGAAGGAGTCGATTTATAGTCCGTCGTTTTTTTTAGCGTGTTTTGGCCCTTGCAGGAAAGTCTAGCACAAGAAATACACCTTGGCACCATAACCGAGTTGTGCATATGGACGTAAATCCCAGTTCAAATATCCTCTGCTCCCCGCATTTCTATAGCCGATATGGCTTCCACTCCTGTCGCCGTCGCGGTCGCATTAGGCCTGTTGACACTGTTCTACATTCTCAAGAGACAAAAGGGAGATGGAGAGAAACCCCTCCTCAAGCTTCCCCTAATCGGCGACCTCCATAGCTCCCCCATTGACAAACCACTTGTAAACTGGGACGCATGGACAAAGGAAAATGGCCCGATTGCAGTACCCAAACTCTTTGGGCTCATTCCCATTGTGGTGTTGAATTCCTACGAGGCTGTGACTGAGTTGTTCAGCCGGCGCAGCCAATGGTACAGCAACCGTCCGCCCTCCGTCAGCATGGAGATGATTACAGGAGCTGGGCCTGGACAGTCCAAGTTCACTCTGATGCACGACTACGACGATCACCTCAAGTTCCACCACCGCATTTTGGCCCCCAGTCTGGGCGCTCTCGGCGCCCCACAGTACCACCCCTTAATGGAGCTCGAATCCAAACAGTTATTATTTGATCTTTCAAAGGCCGCCCGGCAGTTTCCCGACGGAATCAGCACAGATACCGTCTATCAGCTGCTTGAGCGCACTCAATCCAGTGTCATACTTGCTCTGCATTATGGCCTGCGTATTCCAACCTTTGAAGATCATAACTTACATGAGATCATCGATGTTCAGACCAAAGTAACCTACCTTGCTGCGAACCCCGGTCTTCCAGATATTATCCCGCCTTTGCGTCATCTGCCGAAGTTCTTGTCGCCATGGAGGCGAGCGGCTGATAAGCTGTACACCGCGCAGGTGGACCTGTATATGCGCCTCTTCCGGCACGGGAGGGACTCGGCAGGCTGGAACTCCACCAAGCAGGCCATCGCCACAGCGAAGAAGTACTCTGACGATGGTGTTCCGGATCTCGACCTCGCTTTCACCCTTGCAACATCCATCCAGGGAGGTATGGAGACTTCGCCGCGGCAGATGTTGTGGCTATTCATTGCCGCGCTGCACCAACCGACCTTCATGGCGCGGGCGCATGCCCTGCTCGACGAGGTCGTCGGGCGTGGCCGTCTCCCCAATTTCTCTGACCGTTCGGCGCTGGCTTTCATCGATGCGATTATGCATGAAATTTTCCGTTGGCGGCCTATTTCACCGGGATCGATTCCTCGTAGGGCGGATCGGGACGACGAGTTCGGTGGTGTGAAGATCAAGAAGGGTGTCACTCTCATGGCAAACGCGTGGGCTATCGGTCGAGACGAGAAGGTCTTTGATCCCGCGCTGGGGGACACTCATGATTTCGTGCCTGAACGGTGGCTCCGGCGTGATGATAGCGGAGAGGAAAGTCTGCGAACGGACCTTCCATTGCCGGTGTTTGGGCAGGGTCGCCGCATCTGCCAAGGAAAGAGGGTCGCTACGGATGGCTCTTTCTTGCAGGTTGCTTGTCTGTTGTGGGCGTTTGATATTGAGCTTGTTGATGGGGAAGAGGTGGATCCGTGGGCGATGGTCGTGACAGGTTTCATGACAGCGCCGAAGGATGTCAAATTTAAGCTCCGGCCCAGGGGTGACTGGGTAGTCGATGTTATTAACAAAGAGTGGGAGACGGCGGAGAAAAGCCTTGGAAAGGTGATGGGAACCAATGTCGATGTTGAATAGATGATAGGATGCCGAATGAATGTTTCATGTTACGATTATATATATACCAACTCGCCCGCAGTACCCCATATAGGATTACGTGAAAAATTTGCCAAGGTAAGGGAACTGCTACAGGTTGGAAACTCAGATATCCTTGATATTGGTGCCATCCATTGCGATGTACTCAAACTAGAGAAATGAGAGCCTAGCTGCCACCGTTTTACTTCGGACTTGGTACACGGTAATCTTAGGGAATTCCTCAATCGAAGTACGTACACGTCAAATATCGCAATTTGCAGCATCACTCTGAGGGAAATTACTTGAGGCTATATATATGAATAGAACATTCGAGAGAACTGCCAGAGGATGCCATTCATGCCTCCATGTGCGATCTAATTCCTACATTAATCCTTCCTTTATTCTGAGCTAGACGCGAGCGATGGGAAGAGCTAACAGTTAATAGTCATGAAGGGGATCAAAGACTACTCAGCGTAGAAGTACGGATTGGACAAAAGGAACAGTGATTAGATGAATATACGGTACTAAATTTGTCTTCTTCGAATCTGTTTCGGATTCCTCTACTACAAGATGGGTCTCTATATCAAGTTATGCTTCCAACCTATGTATTAGGCTATGGAAGACCCAAAGCACTTGAATTGTATGCAGGTAGCACACGTGGTTGACCTATCCATGAGGGCCTATTGTTGCTTTCTTCATGGCAAAATTTGATTCTCATGTCGAGTAATGCAGGCTTCCGCGAAACCAACATCCTCGCTCTTACATAAAGTGCCATATGACTCGTGTAATAGAAAGGAGTACCTATAGCCAGCACTGCACTGAGTCAGTTAGTGCCAGATTTGAGACTCAGCACCGCTTTTCAATTAATCTATCCAAGACTAGCACGAAGCTCCTCGTGTAGACCTTTTTTCCAGTGTAGAATTGGTAGTATAAAATATATTACCAATGGCCTCTCAGCCTTTATTCTCTGAAGTGAGCAATAATCAATAGTCATCCAACAACAACAGTACTAGATACACATCAAATCTCACAGCCTTTACTCGACAAGCTTGCCAAATCATGAGTTGGCAAAAGTTTTAGACAGTTTATATTGCAGCTAAATGAATTGTCTCGTCTAGCCACCAAACTCCACTTTGATTGGCGGGTATCGCATCCCCCGGGGGCAGTCCCCACCTACTTTCGGGGCCAAAAGACGGTGCGTGCCGGTATATGCCCACTAATGCTTCTAGTGTATTATCTAGTGTATCTTTTAGTGGAGTTTGTTCGGTCTACTTCTGGCCGACGATCCAACAATATGAGGTCTTGGTTACAGTACCGAACACCCGGTGGCATTAGCTGAATTGTCGGAACTTATAATGGTAGGAAATGCCCCGGAAATCTTACTCCAGACGGTAGCAAAAAGTCCAAGTGAGTCTTCACACATTACTCCACCATGCATATCACTCCCACTGTTGCAGCCCTCTGCATCGGTGCTTTATCGAAAGCTGCTCATGCGACTACATCCCAGAATTGTGTCAGTTATTCCAAATGATTATAAAGAATACAAGCAAATCAGCTGACCAAGTATGAATCGAATAGTGCGAAGCTTTGGAAGCCACTACCCTGAAGAGCCAGGTCGCCTACCCAAACAGCGATGCGTACAAGACCTCGATCGGCTCGTACTGGGCCGAGAACGTTCAGCTCGAGCCGACCTGTGTTTTGCAGCCCCGCACTGCGAAAGAGGTTTCTCTCGCCGTTTCCACACTCGTTGCCGCTGATGGCGGATCTTGCAAGTTTGCCGTTCGCGGTGGTGGCCACACTACCTGGGCGGGAGCGAGCAATATCGCCGATGGCGTGACAATTGATCTGTCATTGATGGACACCACCACTTACAACGAAAAAGCTGGCATTGCTTCTATTCTGCCTGGATCTCGCTGGGGAGGTGTCTACAAGACTTTGGCAAAATACAATGTGACGGTGCCCGGTGGCCGCTCTAATGTTGTGGGTGTTGCTGGATTTTTGCTCGGCGGTACGATACAATTAGACAAGTTGTATTGGAAAGTGACTGACAAAGCCCTTTACTACAGGTGGTAATACTTTCCACACTTCACGTGTTGGATTTGCTTGTGACAACGTCGAGAACTACGAGATTGTTTTGGCTGATGGAACCATCATTGAAGCTAACAGGGATTCTCACGCGGATCTCTTCAAAGCTCTGAAGGGTGGATCCGGTAACTTCGGAATCGTCACCAGGTATGACATGAAGGTCATCGAAGGCGACAAGCTTTGGGGTGGACTTGTCACATACGACAATAGTACTAGCTTGGAGCATCTCGAGGCTGGCCACGAGTTCATCAAAAATCAAGAAAAAGACCACTACGCTTCTTGGATTGGTATGTGGGAGTACTTGTCTCTGACCGACCAGAATATGGTTGCCAACGCCCTGGAGTATACCACTCCGGTGGCTTACCCCCGGCCTTTGACAGCTTTACCTCTATTGCCAATACCAGCAGCTCGATGCGTATTACCAACCTTTGGAACCTTACCGAGGAGATAGTTCAGGCATATGGCTACCGGTACGTTGCTCCTAACTGTTCCACTACAAGATGAACCACTGACCTATTACAGCGACATTTTCGTCACTGCTACCTTTGTGAACAACCTCGATGTGATGAAGAAAACTATCGATATTCACAACAGAATGATTGAGGAGGCCAGGGGAAAGGCCAAGGGCAAGGACTACACCATGTTCACCATGATCCAGCCTTGGCCCAAATTGTTCACTGAGCACAGCATTAAGAAAGGTGGTAATATGCTAGGCCTTGACCGTTTCGATGAGAACTTGTTCCGTAAGTCTCCCTCTGATATATTTTGTTTCCACTGTCTAACACTTTGACGCAGAGGTCCTGGTTGACTACTCGTGGAAGAATGAGGCTGATGATGCCTTGTTCAACGGACTGGCCAATAGTGCTCTTGAGGAGTTGGTCAACTACTCGAAGTCAATTGGAGCTGACAATGAGTTCATTTACCTGAACTACGCCAACAGCAACCAAGATCCTCTGTCTAACTACGGCCGCGAGAATGTGGAGTACATGCGTACCGTCGCTAAGAAGTACGACCAGACCGGTGTTTTTCAAACCCAGGTGCCTGGCGGATTCAAGATCAGCGCTGTGGGCCAGTGAAGGAGGGGATATAAACTTAGAGGCAAGTCGGGTCATTCGAGATAATTTTGTCGATCTTGTACATTATAAACTTAAGGCATGCAATGTACAACATACGATACAGTATACCGCGTAATATCTTCGTAAATGCATACCTGACTGGCACCTCGGCTAGACGCCTCTCACTATGAATTGGAGAACCATTAAATGGGCCCACATCCCGTGTGTTCACTTTAATCCCTGCCTAGCTTTCACATATGTGGTAGTCTATTATGTTGATCCTGCCAAGCCTGGCTAAAAGAAGGGCCATGCGGAGTAGGCCGCCTAAAATATAGAGATCCGAAATTGATATGCGGAGTTTATTCCGAACTAGGAAGCGGTTGTGTAGATCCACAAGCGGGTGGCATACGATCTCATCGTATCGTGCCGGCTGGAACTTTACGATCGGGGCCCCCGGGTCACGGTTAATCTATGGTGTTTCATGAAATACGCAAAGGAGTTAAATACAATTAGCAAAAGGTGGATATTCCCCCGGAACCAATGACAGCGGGGCTATCCGAATGCCCGTATGGAATGCTATGCACTATTAACAAATGAACAATGCAATTCTTGTCGCCCCCAAAACGAGCCCGGCATATTGCATTTGAAAGATAGCTTGTTTCAGGAGAATGGCTGCTTTGGCTACAACTCACGCTAGATGAACAATCTCTGTCCCTTTTGCCGTCCATGAAATCTGGTGCTGGTTGAGATCTCACTGCATCATTGATTTCAGAATGCCTCGTCATGTTGGGGTAGTTGATCCTCCGCCGGGAGTCATAGCCGACTTCGATTACTCGAATCCATGGCTTTACAAGGTCAACATGACCCTGATCGGCGTCGGATTGGTCTTAAGCTTTTTATTGCTCGTCCTTCGGATATATACCAAAACGAAAATATTGCGCAAGTTCGGATGGGAAGATGGTAGGAGACGTTCTCGGGAAATGAATAACTATGGGAGAGATTTACTAACGCGGTCGAAACAGCATTTATTGTGCTCGCCTGGGTAAGACTCGACTTGATATCACTGCAATCTTTACTTACACATATGAGCGTACAGATATTTTCCCTTGGCACACAAGTAGTTTCCATTTGTGTGTGCCGGTCATTGAGGATTGGTGATGCTATTTTAGACTTTTGCTGACAGCGATTCTCATCAGATGGATACCTATATAGCGGTGTTGGGGTTCATATGTGGAATGTCACCGAGGAGATGTTTGCGACATACCAGAAGGTATACGACGATTGCCCATGAATTCCAGTCAAAAGATGCAGGAGCTAATCTTCCTCCCAGGTCATCCTCGCTGCCGCCGTCGTATACGTCCCCGCGCTCGCCTTTGCGAAAATGAGTCTCATCTTCCTCTACCGTCGAATCATGGAAAAGCAGGAGGCTTACAACTGGGCACTGAACATTATATCTGCTATCGTATGTGGTTACAGCCTTGCCCTTGTATTTGCATTGATCTTCGCATGCAATCCCATTGCGATGAGCTGGGATTTGAGCATCACAGAGGGGACTTGCATCAGTCGCCAAGGGTTGTATATCGCAACGGCCGTGACAAACATCGTCACCGATTTAGCATTGATCTTACTCCCAATCCCTCTGGTTGTTGGACTTCAGATGCCAGGAATCCAAAAGTGCTATCTGATCGTCGTCTTCGGTGTTGGTTGCGCGTAAGTTTTTCACCATGTTGCACTCACACCCCCTCCAGCCGCTGACCATTCTTTAGAACCGTCGTGACCAGCATACTCCGTCTAGCAACATTAGTTCCCTTCCTTACTGCCTCGGATGTCACCTACGAGTTGGCCTGGCCACAGCTCTGGATGTATGTGCAATCCCCGACTTCAGCGGTATGAAGTGCTTTGGACTAACAAAAACACCTTTCTCCAGTAACGTGGAAGCAAATCTTATCATTATCTGTCCTTGTCTGCCGTCACTACGGCAATTTTTGAGACATCACGCCCCAGGATGGTTAGGCGAGGCAGGCAGCAATGCACGTCGCTACTTCACGCATTCGGGCAGTGCTTCTCGCAACCGATTCAAGTCATCGGGGTCTCGTCAACCGGATGAGATCGCACTCACAGAAAACGGCGGCAGTCTCGATAGCCGCTCCCGTATTGTCAAAGAAGTCGCATGGAATGTGACGGAGGAGCGGTTGGATGAAGACTCCGATGGTCATGTCAAGGGAAAGCCTGCCAATTCCTTTGGATATCAATCTTGAGGGGTTTCATGGATTTCAAATTGTCCAGGCCGCTCACTTGGCGTGCCTCAGGTATCAAAAGGGCACATGAATACCCTGTACACTAATTCATGGGTGGGGCTGCTTTTTATGGTCGTTGTCGGGTGATCGGCGTGGATGGGACGGTGTTTTGATGTTAATATTAATGGGGTCATTCTTTGGTGTAAAAAAGCCAGGGAATGAAAAAAGTGCATATATCAATTTATTCTGCGAGGCCAGGAGTCGAACGCATGACTTGAAAAGTTGGGGTTTCCTCCTATTGTCGTTCCTTCCTAAAATGGCTGTCTGAATAGCTTCATTTTTTGAATTTATATGGAGGTACCCGAGGGTCAAAATAATTTTCAACCCCCACCATCGTATATTCAGATTGGTTTGAAACTTGCCAGAGGATATTCTGACTATCTCTAGATTCTCTTTCTCAAGTTTGAAAGCATCACGATGCCGGGAAGGCAGGAAAATTGACGTTTGAATATTGGCAAGTGACATCTCTTCTAAATTTTGATCCTATTTCAACAAGACAAGAACTAATATTTCAACCAGCCCCCCCAGTGGCCCAGCGGTATTATGGCCGGGGCATCCCACACCAGGATGTCGCAACGGGTTTTACTTGCTCCCCACTGTCGGTCGGACTCCTATGCACCAAAGCTCTCCCGAAGCACTACGCTAGGTAAGCCCCCCGCGGACTGCCACACGCGGCGACCCCGTTAGTTAAGGGGGAGACCGTAGTTAGTACGGTGGGTGGAGGTGTATAGGGGAATGGCCGGAGGAGAGGACCATGTATATCGAATGACCATATTCTGTACATACCCTCCTGAGGTCCAGGAACGGTCTGGATTTATGGGGACTTTTTTTGCTTCAACTTTCTACTTAACCTTTCCTTCCCTAGTGATGCTATTTAGCTTGCTTTTTTCTCTCATTCATGTTCCCTCTTGACGCTATCTACCATTTTGGCTTCATGCTTTCTTTCTCCCACGATTCCATCCGTGGCGCTGTTTACCTTCTTTCCCATCTTGGTGCACATCCCATCCTTATCCAACATCGTTTATTTCCTTCCCTCCTAGTACCCTTTCCATCTTGATACCAATCCTATCTCTTCGCCACCCAAATGGAGATTTGTTCACCTCCATAGGTTTATCTTTCCCTTCTATGGTGATTGGACCTGATGCTTCTTTATATCCTTCCTTGCTGTACCAATTTTCCCTTTGGCCCTTGAGCACTGCTTGCTTCCGTTCCCATATTGTCTTGAAATGCTAACGCTCCATTTCTGGTCCAGCGCTCCATCCAACCACTGTCACCATTGCTCGCGTGCGCTTCTCGCTATCTGTCCCTTGAGCAAAGAGCACACGACATCTTTTGTTCTTCATCGCTGTGTGACATTTCCCTCAAGGAACTACGCCCCTCGAGTATACAGCGAGAAGTATGTCATTTGAATGATTGCGCACCAGTCAGATATCCAGCGAAAGAAAATACCAGACGCGGGCCAATATCTCTCGATTTCATGGCGGTTGTTTGAACATGGTGAGCCACTTCGACAACTCGGCATTGTTCTGCTGAAATGATTTCCACTGACGGACTCGGCGATATCATGATTGATGCGATATCGACAAATACATACTTGGACTTCAGCTTAGTCAATAGTTTGATTCCCACATAGCAGGGTCAACCGTGGCGGGAATTGAACAGTGCCTGGCGAAGGCGTGAGGGTAGGAAAACTTTCCTATTTTCAATCGCAATGTCCACACTATTACTCCGTGGACAAGCTACAGACGCACAAAGCAAGTCGAGCACAACAGAAGGTTGATATAAGTATCGCCAAATCCCCTTTTGGTCCGCTGAACTTTGACAGGGTACAAGAAATCGGTTAGCGGGATCTCGTTGCTACCCCGTAGCACCTCGAAAACCAAATGTTTCTCCTGGGACTGAAAGCTTTTTGATATGGCAGGGGCTCACTGGGTATCATCCATGCAGAGCAATCAACTTCGTATCCAAGAGTTGAAAATTTGCAGTTTTGATTGGAGGGCATCTTGATTCAGAGATTCCCCATGTCATGTACAACAGTCCCAAGCCCAAACTTGGTTACACGCAGCTGCGAGTAGTCAATCAATATGCGTCTCAGACTACTGGAATAGCTCTAGATCATACCACTTACCATCCATCTAGGTCAGATCCCACTGAGCAGCGGACACGACGGTGGGATTAGCGCAGATACGAGCGAACTCCAGATGACCGATAGATTGCTCGAGCATCTACTCCGTATGGTGTTCGAGTTTGAGGCACTCGGTGCTATTGATCATCTTTGGATCTTATACCATTGCAGGGAAATTGGCTGCTTTGTCTTGGTCTTGTGGCCTGTCACATGTCACAGTTAACGCGTTGTCCTAGTTAGGAAATATATATTGTACAACCCCTCCAAAAGAAACCGCTCAATCCCGATAGAGAGAAAGATTAAGATCAAGATATTGCCCTAGTTGCCATCGATTTTGCGAAGATGGTCAGGGATTATGTATGGAATAACCCAAATATATGTTTGCGATAATCTATGGCAGGCCAAAAGAGTGAACTATCTTGAGGCGAAATGGAGTAACTATTAAGGTGAAATATATGATACGTGCTCAAGCTATGACCCCACCATGACTCAGAATTCCCATTCACTTCCCAAATGTTCAGTAGACGTAACGGAAAGAAGGATTCTCCCTATCAGTGAGCCCAGCCCACTTGGTCTCATCGACCATGTTCTCATCAACGCTGCCCTTAGTCTGGTCTCTGCGACGGTTTTCCCACTTGTAATAGGCAAAGAGCACGACAGATAGTACAGCTGCTGCTGCCTGTGTTGCAAGAACAGCGATCTTGGCCGGTTTATACTCCGGTGCATCGCGTGCCTGGAATGTCTGAGGACCAATGATGTTTCCGACAGAGAAAGATCCAGCAACCAATGCGCTAGCAAATGCACGCTTGGTATGTCCGGCGCAGTTGGCCATGGTCCACTGGTATAGAATCGGAAGAGTAGCTACAATGGCGTTGACAAAGTAAATACCGATCAGGACACCCGCTTTGTTGGTTTTGGGTAGGAAGGAAAGCAAGGCCGCGCCGATGATTCCAGGAATTGTACAGAGTACATTCCATGCCCAGCGATTTGAAGTTTTCCTGATGCCGAAGCCCACGAGAAGTGTGAAAAAAATGCTAATGATGCCTCCCGGGGTATTGAGAAGGGCTGAGATCGGACCTGAGAAACCAAATCCAGCAATTAAAGTTGAAGAATATGTCGTCACCACGCCACTTGACACGGAGATCTATGCAATAGTGGTTAGTAAAACTGCAGGGGGTATTCGGAGCAAGGGATGAAAAATGGAATGTGAGACACACCAAAACTGTAATCACAGTCAGGATCCACAGCTGAACATCGAAGACAGCCTCTCGGATTTGTTTCAGGTTCAAAGTTGTGCTCCACACTCCGGTCTGGTTCTCACTGACGTGTTGGAGGAGAGCAACCTTTTCGCTATCAGATAGCCAGGGTGCCTTCATGGGTGTATCCGGGATGAAGAAAAATGTCAAAACGCCGACAACAGCTGTCACCAACCCAAGAACGAGGAACATAATCCGCCAGCCCTCCAGTGAGGCATTTTGCACATGCTGGAAACCGAAAGAGATGAGACCTCCAATGATCTGGGCCACACCAAGACCCATATACCACACAGTAAACCGAGGAGCTTGTTCACTTTTGGTGTAGTACTGGCTGCTAATGAGCATCAGGGATGGGCCTACTGTCGCTTCAAAGATGCCCAGGAAAATTCGTGCTACCAGCAAACTGCGATATCCTTGAGCGCCGGCGGAAGCGGCAGCCGCGACACCCCAGAGGAAAACATTTGCTCCGAGCCATTTGGCAGGCGGGGCTTTTTGTAGGCAATATACTGCACATTCACATTTAGCAGTGATGATGAAGGGAAATGCTGTAGAGGTAAATCAAAACACTCACCATTTGGTACCTCCGCGATCAAGTAGGCAATGAAGAACCATGTAGCGACGTTAGAAAAGTCATTTCCGACGAGTCCCAAGTGTTTTTTAATGCCCATAACAGCCGCATACTGCATACGCGCATGAATCCTCGCGTTAATGAAATGGCCCATGCGAGTGAGTTGGAAGTGAAGCTTACGTTCAGCATGACCTTGTCCAGGAACTGCAGTACATAGCAGCAGAACATATAAGGCATCAAATGTAGATCGATCTTACGGCGTAGAGCCCGCATATTGACTTCAGAGCCGGGCGCCACATTTGAATGCCCATTGAGATATACCACAGCATCATCAACTTGATCGGAGGGTTCTGCCACCACCTTGAGTTGTGATTGACCCATCGCGGCTGGGCAACAATATGGAAACAAAGAAGAAGGTCGACAGGGGAGTTGGAAAAGAAAAAAAAAAAAAAAGGAGAAGAAAAATATGGAAAGGTTGGGAAAAGAATGTGGGATAGACAATTCCATGCGACCAAAGCCTAAATAATAACCTTGAAACCGTGGAGATTAACAACTGCGTGGCTACACGTATTTTCTAGCGGCGAATAATTAATAATTGATGACCCTAGTACCTTTCCTTGTTAGGAACTTCAAGTGGAAGGGATGGAGCTAAATATCAATACCCTTGTAGGAATAACCTCGAAACATCGGGAGAGGACGGAGTCCGGTGTGAGCACAAAGTACACGACCAGCCTTATCGGTCTTAGTTCGAAATGAGGTTCATTGTAATGAGAGTTTTGGGAATTATTAGAATTTAAAATGGTCTTTGTAGGTCTGTTCTCCCTGGTAGACGCCAAATTGACTATGTCCTCTTTTATAGTCTCCCTACTCCTTCCCTCGTTCTCTCCCTAACGATGGGTTGGGTACACAATGCCTCGCCGGAGGTTGAAGCTGCATCGCAGTACCGCCTCATCCTTGGAATATGTCTGACTCTCAGTATATTAATGGTGCTTACGGTTTCAATGCGACTTGTCCTTCGGGCGCGAGCCAGTCGATGGGCAGCGGCAGATTATGTGATGGTTGTTAGTATGGTAAGTTAACTGCGACCTGGTACAAGTTATAATAACTGATTATTGAGCAGACATTTTGTGTTATATACAGTGCACTGTGCATTGCTCGTGGGTACCGCCATCCCTCCCCTTGCTGCAAGAAACTTACTCATAGTCACAGAAAGTCGGTATGGACTAGGACTTCCATTGAAACTTCGACCTGAAGCAAATTACTCGAAGTATACAAAGGTCAATATTTTTCTTGCCTATTTCAATTCGATTTGTGTTTGTTATATTGGGAAGTTGACAAAGGGAAAATAGATCAACTACGCAGGACGGCCTATTTACCAAGTTGGCATCGCAGGGTTCAAGGCCTCGCTCTGCCTCAGCTATCTGCGACTGATCTCTGGGACGTCGAAGTCTCGTTATCGTGTTGTGATCTGGGTTGTGATTATAGCGTCTACGTTGGGTCATTTCGCTGGTGCTCTGAGTCTTATGTTTAATTGCACACCGGTAGGCAAAGCCTCTGTCCACAAGAGACGCATACGAGCACATGTTAACAATAACTCATATGGACCAGGTTCGACGATCATGGAACGCTCACGTACCAGGCACTTGTCTTCCCGTGGGGGGCCTGTTCTACGGTCTCGCAATTTTCACCATTATCACCGATGTGATAATTATCATCCTTCCGATCCCATTGCTAGTGGGACTCAATATAAAAACCGCCCAGAAGGCTGGTGTCGTGTGCCTTTTTCTTCTCGGCCTCTTCACCACGATCTGCTCTATCATGCGATTGACTCAAATTCAACGTGTGGCATTCGGAGATGGAAACTCGACAATGCTTGTGTTGTGGGGAACGATTGAGTTCAACGTGGGGGTAAGTGAAAATGACTCGTGTGCGAACTAAAGGCTGATTTTATCTGTATTAGAACATTGTCACTTGCATTCCATATCTGGCGCCTCTACTAAAAGGGTTCGTGCGTGGATTCGGATCGACCGGGGGAAAATCGAGGAAATATTACTACGGCAGTCAAGGCAGAAGCTACGCGATGGAGAATTGGTCGAAAGATCAGCATTCCCACCTGCAGTCGTCTGCATCCGGCCCAGCACAGCCAAAGCGAACGCCAAGCGAAGAGCTCATATTGGATAGCCGCGAGCCTGTGCATGGGGGTATCGAGATGACGATAGAGTATAGAGTTTCTTTGGAAGGCCGATCAACCAAGCAGGAAACTTGATCGGCCAATTTAGTTTACTCTTTAGGAAGTACTCCGTATAAAACGTATATTAATTCAATAAAGTTCCCAACTACTTCAAAATTGGTTTAAAGAGTTTTTGACTTTTTCTTTTCCTTTCTCGCCCCTTTACACCCCTGCTCTATGTGGCATTTGAGATAATAAGTATAGTTGCAAAATCGGTGAAACGCCAAGATCTCCAGTAGTAATGGCCAAGGGGGAAATTCGCATGAATTTCCGCATGGTATCCTTCTCGAAGACTTGTTTCAAACTGGTTCGACCCTCATTTAAATAGAAGCGTAGTGCGCGGACCGTCGGGATCCACATCAACGGGAATTCCGAAGATCCGCACAAGTACTTCAAGGGAAATGCGTCTAGCAGGACTGGATCGAATATTCAGGCAACGACTTTACCTTCTCTCTAACAAATTCACCCCGATATTAATTACAATGGCCCGGATATGTCCTCGAAAGGTACTTATAGTAGGGAGTGCGAGCTATATAATATCTACATGGCTCCCAAGGCTTGCGATATTAATATCAGTTATATTGACCTAGTTTTAATCATTTAACCGCTTTGGCCCCCTATAGAACCCTCGTTCCCGTATGGCGCAAGCCCAAGGATCCAGCCCCTATAAGATCTTAAATTTCGGCTTGGGCGATAGCCGAAGGATTTAGATACTTTTTTGTGTCTCAAGTTAGGGTGGCACGACTGGACACAAGGGTAAGACATAAACGGAGTGAAACTGGACTCGAACTACACACCTTCATCATGTCTAATCCTCCCATTCTGATCATCGGCGCAGGTATCAGTGGACTCATACTGGCCCAATACCTTCGGCGCAACAATGTTGAGTTCAGGATCTTCGAGCGCGACTCCGCAATCGATGCCCGCAGTGGTGGATGGGGTCTGACACTGCATTGGTCACTCCCTGCCCTGCGTGAACTATTGCCAGAGGAGATTGTTGAGCGCTTCCCGGAAACCTTTGTGAATAAAGAAGCTTCCGCCAAGGGCGATGTCGGTCGCTTCCAATTTTTTAACCTCAAGTCGGGAGATGCACTATACAATATTCCCGCCGCCGAGCGCATTCGTGTCAGTCGCGTTCGCTTGCGACAGTTATTGACTACCGGCATAAATGTTGAAGTGAGTCGTGATATTATTATTTTTGGAATGGTCTGATCCCGGATGTGCTCTTGACGGGTGCTAACGCTGTGTTTTCAGTGGAACAAAGCCCTTGAAAATATCGAGTCTACAGCCGATGAAATCACCGCGCACTTTGAAGATGGCACAAACTACACCGGTCGGTTATTGGTCGCATGCGATGGTTCACGGTCGCGCATTCGCGAGATCCTCTACCCAGATGCACAGATGAACCAGTTACCGGTTCAGCTTCTGGGTGCATCGACACTGTACACCGCGGAGGAGATGGGCGGTGCAGAATCAATTGATCCTTTCATCTTCCAGGGCTCGCATCCTGACTCGAACGTGTTTCTGTTCTTCAGTTGTAAGTCCGCCAATCTTATGTTCCCTCCTATGCGTTACTGATGTTATTACAGTGCTGGATACCCCAAACAATTTTGAGAACAGTAGCAAGGACCGTTACCACTGTCAAATCATCATCTCCTGGGCGGATTCAAAGGGAATCTCCGTCCCAGACTCGAACGTCGATCGCATCGTGCTGATTAAGAAGTTGACCGAGAATTGGTCGGAACCATTCCGCTCGCTAGTACACAAGCTTCCCGGCGATGTGGAAGTGCGCTCGATTCGCATTGAAGACTGGATGTTCAGTTTGGGCAGGGCGCATGCGCATCCCCGGGCGGTGTTGATGGGCGATTCGGCTCACACAATGACGATGTGTATGTCCCTCTTTCCGTCTCATGATTATGTGCTCGTGGCAGAACGTGCATCGCTAACTTGGACCAGTCCGCGGAGAAGGCGCCAACAACGCGATCGTTGATGTGTTGGATCTCGTGAAGCGTGTCGATATGCGCCAGCCGAGGTATGAATATACTCAAATTTCCAACTCTCTTTGGTTAATCCCATGTTAATCAATGCGATTCAATAATCAGGTCCTTCGAACCAGAAGCCTTGAAATCCTCCCTCGAAGCATACGAGAACGATGTCTTCACACGAGCCGAGCCTAGTTTCCTCAACTCTAGACGGGCATGTTTGGATGCTCATGACTTTTCTAAAATTGATGGAAGTCCGCTAGTTGGGTTACGAGATTTGAAGAAGTCGGGCTGAAGTTATGGTGTTGTGTGCATGGCTCGAGGTTTATGTCACTGAACGATTTTGTAGACAACTCGAGTAGACGTTTCCGTGGACTCAATATTTTGCGCAAAAGAGGCATAAAATACAGAATAGTATGTGAACTGGCTGATGTCGAGATTAAGACCTCGGGATATTATTTGTCGCCCAGATCGAACTGCTTATCAGTGCCAAGGCCCATACAATCTCCCGCCCCCGACCTCTCCACACATTCCACTTCTCCTGGCACCAACGGAAAAATCTAGTGAGGTATCAACTCCTCAAATTGAGAAAGAAAAAGGCATGCAGATGAAAGGCTAGCAATGAACGTTACTGCGTCAAACCCAGCGGCCAGGGTCCGTGTATCGCAGCGTCAGCCGCAAGCCTGCCGAGGTAAATGCCCTCTGCAGCAACTCAGGTCTAGGCGACTGACATGATGCAGAATGCACGAAGCGCAAACGCAAATGCGACAAACAAAATCCATGTTCGAGATGTAAACGCTTAAATCTGAAGTGCTCGATAGAAGTCGTCCAGCTTAGACGCAACGCTGTGCAACACGGGTCAGAGATCCAGTTTTTGCATTCGCTTGTCGCAGACCTCGAATCCTCTCCATCTGATACAGTTCCCCTTGTTGTTCAAAAGATCAAAAATCGAGTATTTCGCCTGGAGACTGGCCAGGATCCAGCTGAATCAGATGTATCCAACACCCCCTCAGCACAACCGGAATCAAGTACAACCGAGGACCGTGCACCTGGAAAAGTGTCAGTCGGTTTAAGTGAAAACACCTCGAATCAAATTGATTCGTCACTTCTCACGGCTATTGAACATCTTGCTTGGGGTCGTAATTCTGCTGGATGCTTCCCTCACAGGACGTGCTCGTGCCAGTATAGCAAATATGGACTCCAATCGCTATCAGGCACAAGCCCTTTCCTAGCCCATGGTCCTAGTCTAGAGCTGAACTCTGCTTTCCCCAGTGCTACGGACGCCCAGAAGTTGATCAAGTTTCATCTATGCCATCTGGCTTGGCATCACAATTGCATTCACGGTCCAACATTTCTCGAACAGTGCGAGTTGTTCTGGAAAACTGGGACATTCGATGATCCTCTGTGGCAAGCGCTTTACTTTTCTATCTTGAGTTCCACCGTCAGCTCAATACAGGATAGTGCGAAAGTAAGGGAGCTTGTTGATGTCGACCTACAGGCAATACAATCTACACAGCAGCTGTTCTCTGCCATGGTGCAAACACTCTACAACTCACATTTTCTCAGCAATCTCTCCGTATACTCTGTTCAAGCAATCGTCATATCGACCGAGGTCGCTCATAATCTTGGCTTGAGCCAGCTGAATGCGACTTTATTCAATGCTGCAGTACGCATTGCAGAGTGCCTTGGGATCCACAAAATTCAGGATCGATCAACGAAGGTTGCCCAAAACAAAGATCAATGGGATGAGAATATGGAACGAGAAAATGTGGAACGAGAAGTGGGAAAGAGGGTATGGTGTCAAATGATCATCCAAGACCATTTCGCCATTCCCTTTACCGACACCTACAGTATCTCCCCAATGCATTTCTCGACAGGTCGCCCCATGAACGCAGATGATTATGACTTGACGGATATGCCTATCACAACCCCCACAATAAGCACTTACATCCGTGTGCTCGTGAATTTGGCAGAATTGATGCCCGGTCTAGTTGACGGACTCGGTCCAATGAAATCCAGAAAGCCTATGCGACAGCAATACGAACATATTCTGGATATAGATCAGAAAATGAGAGGCATTGTGAAAAATATACCCCCTTTCTTTCTGCGTGGAGATAAAACAAAAGAAGCACAAATCCCATGGCTTGCTATCGCTAGACGAAGTCTCGCCATCACGGCGGCCGAGAAGATCATCATGATCCATCGCCCATTTCTCTTCCGCTCTTTCAATGACCCCACATATACCTACTCAAGACGTACCTGTGTCGCCGCTGCAATGACAATTTTGCGTGAGCACGAGGTAATCGTAAGAGAAGGGGATATTTCGATATGGACCCATACAGCCTTCGCGATTACCGCTGCTGTCATTATGTGCTTTGAAGTTTATGCAACTGCAGAGAATCAAGCCAATATCGCGCAAAGCCACAAAGATGCAATAGTTGCGGCTCGCACCCGCCTTGCCGATCGAACTAATGACGTGCTTGCTCAGCGTGGCGTCGCGTTAATTGATGCAATTTTTACATCCGATACAGCCTCAGGCCCTGGACCTGGAAACAGAATAATTGACTTCGGTCAAATTCTGGCTAAGTTCTCAACTTTTACGAGGATGAATATAGGCCCTGAAACCCCTGACACATCTGTTAGCACTGGCAGATTCTCGAATTCCGATCCTCAAGATGTGATCGGTGCCCATTTTAACGAAATGCAGCCAGCTTGGGATACAGCGGAAGATATCGATTTTGATGCATGGTTCACTGGAACATTCCACACTCTACATGATCCTCTTCCGTTTTGAGAAGAGCGAAAATTCACAATTGCCTAAAGCCACTCTTTCATTGAGCTATGCTAGCCATCGATATATCTTTAATTTATGTCCTCACATAACCCGTGTCGTTGACTCCCTCGTAATCCCGGAAGGGCTTGGGGGAGTTGTGCTTGTCATTGTGCATTGCCAGAGCAACCTCCTCTTGTCCTCCTCTTCCTTGTACTTGGCCAATTGGCCAGTAATACTGTGCATGACGCCCCGATTGTGGAAAATGACTACATCGCCCTCTTGCCAATGGTGGGCATAAATGTTCTCAGCGGCATATATCTTACTCTGCATCTTGTATACCACTTCTCTGACTTTCTCAACATCATCTATCACTGTGGTCTCACCCGTTGCTGGGTTCCGCGTAGTGAGCTTGTAAACGCAACAACCATGCACCTGGAAGAATGGCCGATCGGGATTGAGCGGGTTTCGCCAGACCATCTGAGGAATGTTGTCAGCTGGTACTCATTTGTATTGTGTGCAATTGGAACAAAACTTACCGGGTGCTCGGCGACTTTGTCCCAGGACCATTCCGACAAGTTTTCCACCGGTACCTCCCGTCCAAAATTGGGGATTGTTAGACCATTTTCGGACGCTTTGCATTGTCTGATATACTCATATGCTTGAGGGGCATAGGTGACTGTGGTATTAAGAGCAAACTCTTGTTCCTCGGGCGTCAACAAAGAAAATACGCGAGCGCCAGAAAAGACTATGTTCAGTCAGTGGGTGGACCTATGTGCGATTCTTCAGTTTACTCACATGCCGTGGCTCCAGCACCGACGGTCTTCTCTGTCCCATCAGGGAACTTCATCTTCTGATCTGGTACATTGGGAATGCGAATTGAGTGCAGGATAGTCACTTCACCTGGCAGACGTTCATAGAATGGGGTATCCATATGCCACCGGTATGGACGAGTATAGCCATTATCTAGTTCATCTTGACTGAGAGGCTCCTCGTGGAACAATGTGTGATCCTGTCGAGCTGGTCAGCGAAATGAAAGTCGAGCAGGTCGGTTAGACGGGGGACACGAACAAGATGCACGACCTCCAATTCTTTCAAGCCCTCGTAATATTGGAACCTCCCCGAGCCAATAATTCCAACTTGCGGTGCTCTGGGGATTCTGCCTGCTTTGTATGCGGACAAGATGTTCTTGGGGTCGCTCACGGCTTTCTCTCCGGCGGAATGGACGTCGGATGCATTAGGATCGAAAATCTTAGCCAGACTTGGCAAGACGGTTGGGTCAATCCCTTTTTGGTTTCTGATGACGATGACTTGATTCTCGAAGAGTGCTTTTCGGAGAGTATTTTTGTCGTTGTCGGTTAGGCGGTCCAAATCCAGCATGGGCATTCCCGGAGGTAGTTGGATTTCTGCACCAATGGCGGAGCTTTGTCTGATTTCATCAGAGAGAAGGTCGAAGGTCAGGCTTGTTGATTCAGGCATTTTGTATTTGGAAGAAACGTTTGAACTCTTTTCAACGGGTGATGTTGGATATATTGTCGTCGGTGAGTATAGCGCTGCCTTTAAGCAGGGACGGGAATGGAGCAGAGCGGACGAGTCCACTGATTTGTGCCACCATTTTTGATAAGAACAATCTCTCGACTTGCTGTGTTAGAAACGAATAATATTTTTGGTATCCATCATCTCAACAGGGGGATTGGCAACGATACTGGCATCGTATCTCCGGGGGACGGGTCAGCTGCGGGATCTCACCCGCTCGATCCTGATTGGCTCTCGAGGTACTATGTACAACCTGGGAACAGAACAATATAAAGCACATGCAGTCGCTCAATAGTGGTATTCATATCGATCTCATTCTCATATTATCTCAGCTACTCTATTCACAATGGCTACCATGACTCTTTCTTGCAAGCCTGTCACCAAGCCCGATGATTCTCGGGTAGACTTTGGTGCGGAACTGACTGGTTTTGACATTGAAACAATGACAGGTAAGCAATGCCCGAAGCAACATCCTTACTTTCGAATGCTGACTATGATAAGATGACGACTTTGATTTTGTTCGTCGTACCTTGTATGAGAACCAAGTCGTCGTGATCAAAAACCAAGGCAAACTCTCCCCACGCGCCCAGTATGAACTTACTCGACGATTCGATCCATCTGCCGGTGTCTACAGTCATGGAAAATCAATCGACAAGCGCAGCGTGCTTCACGCCGACTTGACAACCATCCCTCACCAGCCACAAGTTCAAGTTATCGGCAGTGGCTTCGTCGAAGAGTACGAGGGACTGTCGAACATCCGTCTGAGACACCCACACCACAACACATTCCACAAGAACCCCATATCGCCCGAAGAAGATCACGAGTACACACACTTCTACCGCTGGCACATCGACTCGGCCATGTACAACCTTGATCCGCCCTTGGTTACCACGCTGCTAGCCGTCAAAGTCCCCAAGGGCCGTCGCCAGACCTGCCGCTACGACGATGGCACAGACACCACTCTCGACGTGCCACTTGGAACGACGGCATTTTTCAGTGGTTATCGTCTTTACGATATGCTATCGGAGGAAGATAAGCATTTCGTCCGCACCAGCAAGGCGGAATACGCGCCTCATCCATACATCTGGATGAGCAAGGCCAAGTCGCGCTCCAATGGGTTGGGGATTATATCAGAGGGATTGGAACTTGCTGAAGACCAGTTGCCTCCTTTTGAGGATTCGAAGATCAAGGTATATCCTATGACTTGGAAAAATCCCGTTACCGGAAAGCTTGCTATGATGGTTTACCCAACCTGTGTGCGGAAAATTCATCTTGAGAATGGGGAGGTTCTTGACGATCTTGCGGAGATTCGAGAACGTCTTTACAAGATGCAGAGACGGGCTATTGATCCTTGCTATCTGTATACCCATGACTGGGAGGAGGGGGATTTGGTGCTTTTCAACAATCATGGTGTGATGCATTCAATTGTTGGTTCGTTTGCGGAGGATGAATTGCGGGTGTTCAGACAATGTAATATGGGTGCTAGTCGACCCCCTTTGGGGCCTCAAGATAATGTGGCTAATGTTTAGTGTGTGCATAGATTGGAAAGTCTATATTGAGCTTCAACTTGTGAGATATCTTCATTACAGCCACAGGAAATCCCGAGCATGGCGAAAAGTGACGAGCGAAATAAAATGTGGAAGTAAAATTGACAGAAAGGATTATAGCGTGGTACTAAACGCAGGATATAACCGGATTCATGGACAAAAAGATATGTACTTCGTTTAAGCCAAAGATCGCTGAATTGATTCAAATCCTCCGATCAGCTTTACATGGGCTAACATGCACAACCTTGGAGTTCTTCTCAATGGAAAGCGCAGACTCCTCCAATACTGAGTCCTTCACAATACTATTATTTTTTTAATATATCAAGCCTAACAACATCTTGGTTGAATATGATGAGACTACGGAGGGTCAATTAATCATCAAAACTGTTCAAATATCAGATCTCGAGGATGTAGTCCTTACTAAATACATAATAATGTCTTGTAGATGATATATGTTATAGTCAATGAGATGGTATTTCGCGTAAGCGATTCCAAACTTACTGCGGCGGACTGTTGGCGCTACATTCTCCAAAGACTTGTATCATATTTTGCTCACGAACAAGCCCTCGATGGGTTCCTGCTAGCTCCATGGCGCCAATTTGGTTTGGTTATAAGTACGCATACCCCAGTTCTAGTAATAGTATTGAGTCGTTTCACTATCCTGTCCAATTGAAACTCGCATACTTTAAATTTATTTTCCGGGAATCAAGTCGACATATTCAGTCGTATGATTCTTGGTGACTAGAGTTCTCAAGAGCGATGAAACAGATATTCACCTCATCAGCCTCACTAGTAAATAGTTTACAGACTTCTTGTACTTCATAAGAGTTGAGTGTTTACTGACAACCGATCATCGATCATACAAATGAGGGAGAACCATGGGATGGAGCATCGCGCATTCAGCATTCAGCCAAAGGTCTTATACAGAAACTCCATTCCCCGCCCTACATCTTGCCCCCTTCCCCGTTCAATAATCCTCGCCCGACTTTCCAAGAGACGCGTTGAAATCTCTCTCTGGTGAAGGACCTCGCCTGGCCTTTCATTAATCCCATCGAGGAGTTGTACGTCAACCAAATTTCCGCATTCCTTCCTTACGACGCCGTCAACAACCACGACCTCAATATCCCCCACGTTCGCATGCAGCAACACCGCAGCGAGTGGATTTTCCTTAGCAGCACAGACCATACTTGGTGACGTCGCATTAAAAATCACAATATCAGCTAATTTGCCTACCTCGAGACTCCCAATTTTGTCAGCCATATTCACAGCACGTGCCCCTTGGATTGTACCAAGACTAAATATTCTTTCAAGTTTGATGTTGACATTGGGATACTCCCCATTTTCACTCACTTGCACATTCTCCACACCGCGAGCGTGCTGCATACCAAGCCGGAGCTGTGTAAGGATATCGCCCGAGTTATTCGAGTGGCAGTCAATTCCAATTGATGCGTTGGAGCTCAAGTCTGGATTGAATGCAACAGGCTCGCCGAGACCCATTTGGAGTTCTGTTTCTGGGGTCGACGAGAAGTGCGCTCCGTACGCGAGGAGGATTTGGGCGTCTGACTCGGCGATCCCGTTAATATGAGAGAATAGGATTTTGCTGTTGAGGAGGTCGTATTCCTTGAGCAGGGAAACGGAGTCTAGGACTATGTGTGAGTATTTCAGAACATTCAGGTACATAGAACATGGTAAGGATAATTGAGGGAATAAGCACACTCTTCATATAATTAGCCACATAATGCGTTGTAAATAGGTTTATACCAAGCGCGTGACATCTAGCCCAGAGATCCCGCACTGTCTCTCTCGGGACTTTGAAATCATCGAAACCTAATCCCAGACGAACCCGACCGTCTCCAAAGGGCGCGGACTTCGCGAGCAATTCGAGCGTCGATAACCACCATTCTGGTAGTAGATCCTCGTCGAACTCAATAGAAGTATCAGATGCCCAGTTTTTGATTCGCTAGATGGGCGTGTAGCGGAAGAAGGTCCGCAGTCCAGAGGATGCCGATGCGCGTATGGCTTCAGTTGCTAAGAGAGGTTAGTAGCCTAGTCCGGTAACCGAACGCATCAAGTTTTGAAGTAAAATAACAGACGCACCATGCTCAGGCGACTATGTCATATGCGCATGATCCACAACAGTAGTTACTCCAGCGTGAATGCTCTCTCGACACCCCGCAAGCTGGCCCCAGAAGATATCCTCCGGTGTGTAGTTGAAGGACTGCATTTAACCTGCAACCATATAGTCCATGAACTTCATGTTACCAAACCAACCTCCCATCTGTATTGTCGGATAAGGAGTCAGCAGGTGAAGAATTGATTGAAAATGTAAAAATCAAGAAAAATGCACCTGTGACTGCCATAGATGGTGATGCGTGTCGATAAAGCCGGGCGAAACAATCTTGCCTTGGCAGTCAATGACCCTCACGGCACTTCCATCAGGCAGAGTCAGTCCTTGGCCGATATCTTCTATCTTATTCCCAACAATGAGAATATCATGGTCACAGAGCACCTTGACGAGGTCGCCCTCGTGGGCTAATACTGTGCCTCCTTGGAGTAGGATAGCGCCCATAGTGAACAAGTAAAGTTGATTATCTGATTCATGCTTCCATGGAGGAGGGCGCCTCTGTTTCTTTTATGGACATAATGCCTCCCGGGGTCCTATGGTAGCGCTAGGAAAATTCTCATCACATTCAGCACTACGAGGAGCACTGCCTGGAACCAAATAGAGCGATCCTGGATTGACCTAATAGAAAGCATAACTTTATCAAACCCGGGGCGACGGCCCCAGCTCTTAGAATCACTGGACATTTTGTAAATGGTTGTCGAAAGATTCTACCCACTCCCTTGCACATGATGAGCTAGGACTGTCTTTGTATGCACCTGCTAAACTAAGTACGTCAATACCCTAGTCTTCGGGTTGTTATCTCCTTATCTCCGGGCTTTTGGCACTACCATAGGGCCTCGGGAGGCATTAGGTCCAGAAAAGAAATCTTCGGGGTGTTATCTCCTTATCCCCGAAATTTCGCTGAAAAAAATCGGGACATTAACATGTACATGCATGGAGTCAGGGGCGACCTCTAGTGTCACGTAGCCCTTTACAGAGGTCTAATTCATGGCCCCGTTGATCGGTCTTAGTTTCAAAGAATCAATGAAAGAGCACATAAGAACTATTGATCACCAAATTTAGAGGCTGTAATCATGTAGCCCGTCCTTCTCTCCTCGTCCAATTCAAATTGATTCAGTCGCAACGCTATCAGATACAATTTCCATCCGTTACCTCATTACATCCACTAGACCTTGCCAACTCCCACCATTTGGTTCCATGGGACCACTCCCATGGGACTATAAACAGTGTAAACATAGGTAACGCAAAAATTATAGTGTATTAGTATAGAAGCTATATATATCGCCCATAAAATACTAATTTATAACTAAATAACTAGAACTTTATAGCGACGTTATCGGGAACGGAACTATCCGGCCGCTTACCGCTAAAGTCGGGTCACTATAAATATAGCCGCGACCGAAAATGGTGTGTGGGATATATGTCAGTCCACCGAGTGTGGCATGTCGACAAAAGACTTTCTAATGACGATGGCGCCTACGACAAACGCAATTGACGCTGCCTTGGGTAGCTCGGTCGACCTCATATAGCCGTTAGTGCAGCGCATTAGAGTGTGTGATTTTACCGCTCAGAACCACTGTGTCTCGGGCGATCACCAACAGTTGTAGACCATAGTCGCGGATTAGCTGAGCGGATTCCGGAGCCGTGGGTGTTGCAAAGGACCTGATACTCCTATTGCCGTCAAGGGAACCTTTTATTCAGGGTCTCATTCGACATATCGCTCTTGGCGGCCAGGTATGTCAGCTCGTCGGATAGCTGTGTTCATCTCGGAGAGGTCTCATTCAACCATGGTCTTCCGCTTGAACACGGTGACCAGGGGTGCACTAAGCTCCGCTCGCTATCAGCACTGACGTGCGGGTCAGTTGCATGGTGGCCAGAGCTCCACGTGGGCACTCTAACGTGGTATTCTGCTGGTGTGAAGCGTTCATTGTTGAAGGCCTTTTCCTGCGATTTCCCTTGGGGATGAGGGGAGGCGGGTAAAGGATACCGTATGTCGTTCGGGGGTGGTGGGGTGGACATGTTGTGTTTTGGTCACGACAAAAATGGACCGTATTTTGTAATCTCGATAGTGCTTCCTGCCGTTGTAAATGCATGTGTTAGAGGTTGATAGGGTCGAGAAAACCGGAGTAAAAGTTGGTCGTCATTTCCATACACCGTGATTTCCATTAGGCGGAGACAGGAATAGAATCTTTCAAAGGGTAATAGTAGCAGAAAGAGGTCTGATAATCCAAGTGAAAAGTGAAATCGTAGCTTCTGATGGGGTTTCACATATCTTGCCACACATCTTATCACCGTTGCTGAATATAATGGTGAATATAAATTTGCATCACAACCTGCGCTATCATAATGGTCTGTGATCACATGCGCAACAAAACTACAGCGATTTTGTTTGCTACCCCTGTGATATTAAAGGAAATCCTCTTCTTCTTTCTCTTTATTCTTTCTCTCATCATCCCATCTCGCGCCGTGGTCTTCTCACCTGATCTCTTACTTTCAAGCCAGCAAGATGGGCCTGTAAGAGATAGGAACTCTGCACTATGCGTGATATATCTTGCTAACTGACATGAATAGCTTCGATGAAGACCCCGATCCCAATGCAGTCGATCCCACACTTCCCACTGCCACTTCTGCTGCCAAAAGCCCAGCTCCGGGTCAAAGCCCCGAGATTCGACGGAATGCAAGTGACATCGAAATCCCCGCTATCACCTGGGGCACCGCAGAGAAGCCTCCAGGCGCCCTTGCCGCTCACATCAAGCGCCTCGACTACAGTGTAGCCCACTCAGGCGACAGTGGCCGGCTTACGTCCGAAGCCCTTGCATTTATGAGCCTGATGCCGGCGCAACGTGATCTCGTCCTTCGCCCGAACGTGTCATGGATGCGTGTCATATTAGAACGCACTCTTAACAGCAGGATTGAGAACATCGAGTCCGCGCTTCTGCAAGTTGTGGGCCTTCGTGCAGAGCACCCATGTGTCCCCTGCCAGCGGGGTTATGGCCCATGGAGCTTATGTGTGGTTCTAGAAGGCAAGCCAGACTTCACTGCATGCGCTACATGCCACTTTCGGGGAAACGACAGCAGGTGCACTCATTACCAGCCACCCCCGGACAGAACAGAAAGCCCGCGCCAAGGGCATACAGCAAGCCACCGAACCACCGAAATCAACATTAGCCGTAACAGAACCAGACGAGAGATCGAAGTCCTACGTCAGGCCACTGGGGGCAACACGGCAGCCGACGAGACTCGCCAAAGAATTGCAGTGGTAGCCGAGGGCTTAAAGCTTCAGTGTCAACAACTATCCCATATTCGCGCCCACATCGAGTTGCTTCAACAGCATAACCGGGAGCTCCAGAGTTTGTGCCGCAACGTTCAACGGCTCCAGCGAGAGGAGGCCGTGGCTGCTGCTGCTGCTATCTTCACCGACGCGCGCGGCCGCCATAGCCGTGGCCACCGCCGTCGCTGAGTGGTTCCAAATTGTTTACGCAAATTCTTGTTTCTCTTCTCTTTGAACCCACGGCTCACTGTACTAGAGAGATAAGTCGGAGGTCAGCATAACGAGAAAAGAACTCTTTTATTCCATACTTTTCACTCTGAATATGTACTATCAAGTATCATAACCTGCTTGAAGACTATTATTCGCCGCCAGCTTTGGAACCTCTTTATGAATATTCCTTTGGATTCAGTTTCTGTATTTTTGGCTTCTGTACGTTCCCATGACAATATTCTGATATTCATCATCACCTAGCCATTCTAAGAGATTAGCAAGAGGGATTCAAATGTGAAATTATACTTTGCTACGAGGTAGATTAGACTACGGAGTACAACCGCGCTAATACCGCACTGGCCGCTTCATTGAGTTCATATCCGATGGAGCCATACGGATCACTCTGAATTAGGAGCTGCAAGCCGAACACTATATAGATTAACAAGACGATATTCAGCAACTTTAGTGAGGCAAAATGTAGATATGCTCAAGAATTGAATAGATCAATGCAAAAAAAATCATGCGGCCTCTAATTCGTTTCATCAGAATATCATGTTGTTCCCCGTCATAAATGCCTTTGTAGTGGACCATGGAGAGACGCGTAAATGTCCCCCATAATTACACCTTTTCCTCGAAATGGCATAAGCAGCCAATGAATTTCCTTGATTGGTTAGATTTAAAGGCAAATGCACCAAGAGAAATATAAGCTCATCAAGCCGTCTCGGCACGCCATAATTTAAGCACTTGCCACCCGGGGACGCCGAAGTCTCCCCGAAGATGGGCCTTCGTACTTGGCATTGAGTAAATTGTGAAAACATATTCTTATGGGTATCCTTTTTAGTGAGGTATTTTGTGCAAAAATTTTGTTGCATTGATATCAGGAGCATGATAATGAATAATGTAAGGGGTAGGAATGCTGTGAGGCAACCCTAGCAACACGGTAAACAATATGATATTTGGGGGCCAGGCTTGGTATCTTGACCTACCAGTGTGCGTCAGCAAGTGTTCATAGCTCAACCGGGCATACCCCATTAGTATGAAACTTGGATTTAGACTAAATTTAAAGCCTTGGCGTATTTCTGTGTCGTAGCAACTTGTTGCCATTCTGGGTGGATCTATCGTGACCTTTGCATACTGGCGTGGCTTAAGTCACACGAGAGAAAGGGCACCAGCTGCGAACTGATAATAAGTTCTCAGCTCCCAGTGTTTTCTATCTCTCACACCATCACTTTTATTTTACGCAACGCAGCTTGAAACTATTTGAGCTATGGCGAGTTCCAAAGGTCCTGCCAAAGATCCAAGTATATCGGAGGTGCCGGCGCCAGATCTCGAATCCGAACACACCAATCAAGATCCGGGAGAATGGCTGTACAAATCAGATAGAGCAGAGCTCACAGAGCTCACACCAGTCGAAGCGTTCAAATGGAATGTGGAGGGAGACCAGTCACCTTGTAGGTTGACCCATATATCCCAAATAGCCGATGTTAACATTGCTTAGTTCCGGAGGTTGCGGCTTGTGTGTCCAACAAAGATGATCACACCATCGCTTGCAATAGTATGTTATTGATCTCATCGGTTATGTGGCTGAATTAACTCTCCGTCACAGCGGTTCGGGCCTGGATATTGATGACGATCTTTGTTATACTTTTCTCCGGAGTCAACCAGTTCTTCGGCCTACGATATGTATGTTTCAATTCGCTTAGTTGATATTCACTAACATCTATTAGCCTTCACTCACAATAGGCTATGTAGTCGCACAAATCCTAGTTTTCCCAATAGGCCGAGCATGGGAAAAGCTTCCAAGATGGAGGGTCCCTCTAGGAAAACTTTCATTCGACATCAACCCAGGAAAATTTACCATCAAGGAGCACGCCTTCATCGTTATTGTGAGCAAGAGCAAATTCTCACTGTCGTGGAAATCCTATAACCTTAAATCACATCTAACGAATTACATTAGTGCGTCAATATAAGCGCTACCACTGCTTATGCGCAAGGTGCCTTGGTAGCAATCGTCAGTCCTGTATATTGGAACCGCGACCTCGGAGCCGGCTTCTCATTCCTATACCTTTTGACCACTCAGATGATAGGGTTAGTGTATCTTGATTTTCCGTGTTATCCAGTCACTGATTTTTGCTAGATTCGGTCTGACAGGTCTTGCCCGCCGTTGGATTGTGTATCCTGCTGCCTTGGTCTGGCCCACTTCGCTGTCATCCACTGTTCTTTTCCGAGCACTACATGAGCCGGAAAGCCGTACACCAGCCAATGGTTGGACTATTAGCCGGTATCGCTTTTTCGCCTATGTTACAGCATTTGCATTTGTGTTATTCTGGTTCCCGGACTACATTTGGACAAGTTTGAGCACTTTCGCTTTTGTGACGTGGATTGCGCCTCAAAATCAGAAGGTGAATACGATATTTGGAGTGAGTTTGCAAAGATTCTGGTCAATTCCTACATAGAACTGACCCCGTTGCGCTTAGATGAATTCCGGATTGGGGCTGATACCTATCAGCATCGACTGGACCCAAATCAACTACGCTGGGTTCCCCCTCATGACCCCCTTCTACATCACATGCAACGCATTTGCTGTTGTCGTGTTCTTCTACCTTTTCTTATCGCCGATCCTATACTACTCTAATGTGTGGTACAGCGCATAGTGAGTTTCCAGTCCAACTGAGGGGAATTTCATATCCTGATGATCTAGTCTTCCTCTCCTCTCTTCAGGCACGTTCGACAACACGGGAAGTTCATACAACGTATCTCGCGTGCTTGACGCAACTCTAGACTTCAGTGAGAGCAAGTACAAGGAGTACTCTCCTATGTATATCTCAATGTCTTATTCTCTGACCTACGGACTGTCTTTCGCCGCGGTTACCGCAATCGTGGTGCACACCTACCTCTACAATGGCACTGAAATTTGGGCCAGGCTTAAGAATCCACAGCATGGAGGCGAAGATGTTCATCGTCGACTGATGCGCCAATATAAAGAAGTTCCAGAATGGTGGTACGGAGTTCTCACGGCGGTCGTGTTGGGACTTGGTGTCTTGACGACCAGATACTGGGACACAGAGCTGCCGGTTTGGGGATTTATCGTGGTTTGCTTTGGATTGGCAGTGCTTCTAATTGTCCCTGAGGGCATTTTGCAAGGAACGACAAACCAGCGCGTATTCCTAAATATCATTACGGAGATGATCGCCGGATATGCCTGGCCCGGAAAGCCCATCGCGAATCTGATGGTGAAGTGCTACGGCTACAATGCAGTCAAACATGGCATGGATTTTGCTCAGGATCTGAAGCTCGGGCAATACATGGTGTGCTCTTTTCTCTTCGAGTCGTGGAATTATACTGATTATTTAGAAAATTCCTCCGCGTGTTCTGTTCTTTGGCCAGATCTATGCAAGTGTTCTAGCGACAGCAACTCAAACTGGAGGTATGATGTTATGTACAATCTGTATTACGATCTTGAGCTAACCAGAACAGTCCTGCGATGGATGATGGGACACATTTCTGACCTTTGTGAACCAACTAACAAACAACGGTTCACATGCAACGGTGCCAAAGTGATGTACAACGCTTCCTTAATTTGGGGCACTATTGGTCCGCAGCGGATGTTTCAGTCTGGTCAGGTGTACAATGGGCTTGTCTACTTTTTCCTCATCGGGGTGAGCTTTCAAATATATTGATTTGACTTTCCTTTACTGACTCTCTAGCCCGTCGTTACTGTACTTGTGTACCTCACTTACCGCCGCTACCCTAACAGCTGGGTTCGCTATATCAACGTACCGATTTTCTTCAATGCGGCAGGTAATATTCCACCTGCAAACACCAGTATGTCTGTCAAATATCTCAGGGAGGAATTATTTCAATCTAACCAAACAGCCCAATACTCTCTTTGGTTCATCGTTGGATTTGTCTTTAACTACCTGATCCGCAAGCGTGCATTTGATTGGTGGAAACGTTACAACTGTGAGATCCCACTTCCTTCAAGTTTTCTCTCCAGAGAATAAGTCACTAATTCACGACGTGCGTAGATTTGCTCCAAGCGGCCATGGACACTGGCACTGCCATAGTGACGATCATCATTTTCTTCGCGCTGGGGTACCACGCTATTACGTTCAACTGGTGGGGAAACACGGTGGGATCCAATACGGCCGATGCGAATTCCGTCCCTTGGTTGACTGTTCCCAAAGGGGGCTTTTTCGGAAAGGGGCCTGGCGAGTTTTGATTCGAAGTTTGTATAAGATTGAATCCTACAACGAACGATCGGCGCCAGGAGACAAAGTTATTCACGGGCCAAGGATTGAGGTATGTGGTTATAATAGCTCCACATCCTAACCTTGGAAGTAGAGTGGTACATTTATACTTCTTCACTAGTTGCTAAGAAATAATGCTATGGAGAGACCCCTTTGTGGAGCCAACTACAACCACCACCCCATCCACTGAAATGAAGATCTTTATGCAAATTTATGCATCACCACATAGTGATGCATAAATTTGAGTTGAGATGCAGGATCCCGTTATGCATGCGCAATACATCATGGCGCGTACATCAATGATCTATTGCCAACTGGCGTAGATATGCGGGCCACCGTGGAATACCTGAGGAATCTCTACTGGTCGCCATGATCTAATTTACCTAAATCTACCTATGTTTTGCATCCAGATTGTCATATATAATTCCTCTGTATTCCATACTTCTGAATGTAGAGTTCTCGCACTTTACATCCATGTGATATACCTCCTCACATTCTATTCGTCAAGTACGACTAGAATTTCTTCTGGTAATTCAACTTCTTCAGATCATCAACATCCTCGACCCAGACGCGCGAACTGCGGACTTCGGGGGTGGCCAGGATCATCTCGTACACATTCCCAAAGTCCGATGCCTTCGTTACCCCATGCTTCACAGCGAGCTCGTCTATCTCAACACGGAACCCAAGGTAGATTTCGTTGAAACGGACGTTCGTAGACTCGTTCTCACGGGCGGCGGCCTTAGTCATGGGAAACAAGGCCCCTTGCGTCATGGCCGGCACTGGGTGAGTTGCCAAGTCGCCCTGTGACCCGGTGCAAATTGTCCATGTGCTAGCAGGGTTCTTCTGCTCCAGCAGATAGCCAATGGTATCCCGATAGGCGACTGCAAAATTTACGTCAGAAGCTGTAGGAACCTAAGTGTTAGGAGGGCTTACAGAAATTGGCTTCAAAGGAGGTGTTAAAGTTCCTGCGTAGCTGGGCAGTGGTGATCTCCGGGAGGGGAGTTGTAGTGTACTCGCCGCCAACTTGATTATGTCAGTGAATACTGAGTGAGAGGGCTGTAATCAACTAACCGCTGGAAAACACATGCTGGAATGCTGGCAGCTTGCCCTCTCGGACTTGGTCAACGACACCCTTTACCCCCGAGTCCGAGAGAACATTGGCTTCGGCGAAAGTGATTCCATCCGATGAGCCAATATACTTCACGAGTTTGTCTGCCGAGCTTTGGTTGCGGACAACAGCTAAAACGTTGCGCTTGGAGCGCAAGGCAGCGGTGACGGCTGAGACGCCGATATTTCCAGTGGCTCCGATGACTAGAACTGTCTCCATGATGGCTTTGAACGATATTGATGGCAAATGAAAAGATGGTCAATTCGATTTTGTATTACATTATTTTGTCTTCGGATGTCCATGGAGTTTTGGCATTCTTGATGACACATAAATCCGGGTGTCGGTGATAGTCGGTGTTAGAAAGACGCGAGCCCGGCTGGCGATGACATATCGATGAGAGTGACCAGGATGTCTGTGACATCTCCCCAACTTTTACCCCATACGATCTCAAACACGCTAAGCCCAACACGCTATATTAGCCTATATTTACTGTGGGATCAACCTATAAATTCCTAAGTACGGGGTAGAGCCATACATATTGGTGCCTGACTGGATTCTCGAAATACCAACCGGGCCCCCGAAGATCTTTTATCTTTCACTATTTCAAATTCCCAATAACTGGTAACAGTCATTTAGACAATCTTAGATCGGGGTTTTGCTTTAATTTAGCTAATGATTTATCCTTGGGGGATTTTATGTTATTTACGAACTAATTCTTCATAAGATTCCGCTTCTTCCATTGCATCTAGTACTATGTAAGGTTTTCCATTTATTTCGTAGAAGGTTTTCACGCCACCTACCATTAATTCGGCAAACTTCATAATCTGTATCTTAGTTTCCTCGATTAGTTAGCAATCTCATCTCACATTGTACCATGGACCTAGGCGGCATAATCAGGCATCGCTCGTCATTCTTTGCGGTGTTGTTTGTCCTTCGTTCTTCCGTTCTATCATCGCTCTTGTTTTCTTTTTTATTGGGGACTATTAGACCAGCAGTGCAGCGCGATCATTTTATACACGTTCGTTGCTCGGTACCACCCACCCACCATGCGCGCCTTGTGATGTTTTTTTTGGGGTAGTCTTTTTTGATGTTGAAGAATAGTGGGCGCTTATGCCTTCTGGTGTTTTCCAGATGCATTTACTCTTATATATTTCCTCCCTCTTTAGTTTTATGGGCGGAAAATGGCGGGAAATGGTGGGAAATTCTTAAAGTTTGCAGGTTACTTTTGTATCTATAGTGTTCTATATGTTATCTTAATTGTTTGTTGACCTAGATCGAATGGCCGTTTAGCCAAGGATCTTGCAGTAGTTCCTTGGCCGTTTTTCGATCTTCTGGCTTCCATTGAAGCATACCCTTCAGGAACTCCAAGAACATCTCTTTATTTCGACCACTCAGAAATTCTTCCGAGTTATGCAAGGACACACCTTTCGAGATCTCAATATCACTTTTCCAATACCCTAATGATTTTATAAGCCCCATGCATACACAAGATTATTATTGCCACTTGAAGGATAGCCTTGGATGACATACCATCTTCAGTGAAGAACTCAGGACTTCGCGTCCCGCGCCTAACTAGGGTCAAAGGAAGCGGCCCCAAAATTCCATTAACTTCAGCAAGGTGCGCACGCGTGGAATACCCTTTCCCATCAGAATCGTCGCCATCGAACAAGTGCTTGCCTTCAAATAGGTCCTACGCCTAATTTCTCAGAGGCATTAATTTTTTGAACTTGGCACGAGCAGATAACAAAAAGGGGATAAGAACATACCATGACACCAACGTTCCATATATCAATTGGATAGCTCCATTCAGCCTTTAACATAACTTCCGGTGCTCTATAACCGTTGGGCTGAGGGTTGTGGTTTCTTGTTTCGTCTCCTTGTACAGCTGAACCGAAGTCACTGAGAACTGCCATGCCAAACGCTCTAGGCAAATCGAACCACCGAGAAGCGTAAATCGGTATAGTAATAACGTATTTTCGAGACGAGGGGTGCTCCTTCTCGGCTATAGAAAAGCTGTTTAGGATAGACGTGTCTTCTATTTCCTGGAGAATATTGTCGCTCTTGATATCTGCGACGGCTGTGAGCGATTCATTTTATATCTCGTTTGAGATACGTACTTGCATGCACGAGTTTGCATTCCCTATGGAGATAATCAAGCGCGAGAAAGACTTGTTTAAGCCCAGCCCTAAGAAGGTCTTCTGTAAACCTATGTGTTGGGTTACGATAGAGCAGGTGTGTGAAACTCTCCCATATAGGCTTCTGGACAAGGCAGTGATGGTGGTTTCCCAGATGCGGAATGGTGAATCTGTCTAATGCAGTTCCCACGTGCACATAGCCAGGATGTGACATATCGACACTCTCTAGTGTTATTAGTGTTGTTCATGTCGAAACTTCAGAGATATATAACAGCCTCGACTTACTCGAGATCACGAGCGAGCCAAACAGTGGAAGTGACACCAAATCCCAGTTTACCGACAATCTGGTATTTGGATCGCAGAATCTCGCCAATGTTGGCAGGATAGTAGTGCCTTTTTTTTGAACTCTTCAAATCGTTCTTCTTCGAGGATTTAGGATGGACTGATTATCTTAAACCCGCTGGTTGGAAAGCGAAGAGGAGGTGAAGGGCCTCTTCGAAATACCAATTTACCCCATTTGATGAGGGAAGCCATAGTTTTGCATTGTGAAAACGAGAAAAAATAATCTGGAGTGTGTTACAGGCTAGAATGGGAAGGCGATAGGATCTCAACCAGGCAGGTGATAGGTAATCTCCGCAGACCCCTGTGATCCAGGTCCCCCCTTTATTTACCTGTGCTGCGCATCATTCATGTCCAATGAAATTCCCTCTCGTTTAATTTCCACAGTCTCTGTTTTTCGTTTGACATAAAAATCCCACTGAGTTCCATCATTTTTAGTTCTGCATTGTAAAGTTCAGCAAAAACTGGGTATGGTAGCGGCGATGATACTAAGATCTACCGCGGCCACCAGCGCGACCGGGAAGATGATGCCACCCGCATATTTATAAATCGCCCTGTTAATGGAGCTGTCTACATATTAGAGAAGATTTTATACAACGTGCGCCAAAACCCACTCGACCCACATGGGTTAGGTTTTGGGTCAGCTAGCCTTATATACAAGGCAGCAAGTGCTACACATGTACCTCTACAGACAAGTATTTCCAAATTCAGCCATGTATACTTCATTCGGGGGAAAGTAACTATCAGTCGTGTGTTGAAAAAGTAATCTTTCGACGATGGATCATAGAGTACTGAAGGCACGTGATCGTCGAGTACGGGCCCGGAGGCTCAGTGATGATTATATAAGCAAGCACCAAGGTTTCCAAGGTTCCGAGGTCCATAGTTCCCCGGAATCTGGTCATCTTTATCTTAACATCGATGTTTAGGTGCAAGGTCATCTAATGAATTGACATGGATTCTCGAGACCTATACCCCAAGAATAATTGACTTGGTACACAGGATCTCGATCTTAACTCTAGATTCCCATGCAATGCTCAACGCAGTCGAGCGCGTGCCAAGCTAAATATATATTCTCAGATATTGGATTGATTTAGACGTCTCGCTCAGGTTCCGCAGAAAATCAACATTTCAATCTAGATTCTGTTGCAGGATTTTCTTGTTTATTGTATGGGCACGGCAAATCTCCGAGTCTCAAGCCAATTGTGACGAAGTTCTGGATGGTTGTTGCTCATATGGTCCGAGAAACGCGCAATTGCGGCAGTGATGTCGTGATTCACGGATGGCTCCACCCACATGGCTTAAACTGCCCGACATACTCAGGCACGCCATTATACCTATTAGAAACAGTGTACAGTTTTTGATAGAATAGAGTATCGAGAGCAGTGCGTGTTAAGTGGCCGACTCGAAACACCTAATTTGTCAATCAGGACGCTCACTGATACTTGACGTTTGACTTGCACGCTTGTCAAAACCAAATATTCTATATTACCACAGAGACAGCTCCCATGGAGCTTAGCTTGAATTTTATATCCCCACTTTGTCCATAGAACCTTCCCTGCTAGGATACGTGGGCCGCAGTTTCAACTATTACTGTGCATTTATCCACCTGAGCCGTGCCGTCAATAAATCGCTAGGTCTTATAAAACTCTGCCTCTTCCTGTTTTTTCTTTTATCTATATCCTGTTGAGACCCAAAGACCCAGCAAAATAGACAGAATGGACCTGCGAAAAGAAGTTGAAGCAGCGGTATCGCCTGCGATCTCATCAACCACCTCATCAGAACGGGATGAGAACTATGAGTTTTACAAACAACACCGAGGTCTCGAATACACAGCAGAGGAAGCCAAAAGGGTTCTGCGCAAGATTGATATACGCCTCATTCCATTGTTGTTCTTGATCTACATGTTACAGGTGAGGATATCGCATGTCTCGCTCGTTGCAATTCAAGTACTAATCCCATGCAGTACCTAGATAAGAACAGCATCAACTTTGCGTCTGTCTACGGCTTAAAGGAAGGAACACACTTGAAGGGACAACAATATTCATGGCTCAGTACGTTTTTGATTCCGAGGACTTCTACTCCAAGTCACTAATTAGATCAGGTTCCATTTTCTACTTCGGATACCTCATTGCCCAATGGCCTGCGGGGTTAGCATTGCAAAAGCTGCCCGCCGGCAAGTTCCTTGCCATCACCACATTAAGTAAGGAATCCCATATAAGAACCAGGAATGTTTATCCACTGCTAGAACTATGCTAATAAAAACAGTATGGGGTGGCTTGCTCATGACAACACCTGCGTGTTACAACTTTGCTGGAATTGCAATCAACCGCTTCCTCCTAGGAATGGTCGAAGCAGTTGTAACTCCTGGATTTGTTCTAATGACCGGAATGTGGTACACATCTGAAGAACAACCCCTGCGACTTGAGGCATGGTACTGCACCAATGGTATTGCGACGATGTTCGGAGGGTGAGTGAAGAGCACGATTATACTGGAAATGACAATGGGAAACTAATCAAATATAGTCTTATTGGCTATGCGGTCGGACATATTACAACTGGACTTCCACGATGGATGTACGTCTTCCTCATTTTTGGAGCCTTCTCCGTCGCAGTAGGAGCTATTGCCCTTGTCTTTCTCCCCGATCTTCCTTCAACCGCCAAATTTCTCAGCGAGCGCGAGCGTGCCATTGCTGTTGAGCGTGTTACCATCAACCGCCAAGGTGTCAAAAGTAGTCAATTCAAATGGTATCAGGTCCGACAAGCAGCCGAAGATCCGAAGACCTGGCTTTTGTTCGTGATGGCAATTGGCGCACAAGTCCCGAACTCGGCATTAACTAGTGTATGCCTTCCTAGATCGCGAGTCGGATGTAAGCAAAACTAATAACTAGAACAGTTTACTTCCATCATCGTTGGCACTTTCGGATTCGATACGCTTGGGACTCAATATCTGCAAATCCCCGGCGGTGCTGTTCAGTTCATCACTCTCCTTCTCGGGGGCTATATTGCAACCAAGTTCGATGGCAAATTCCATTCACGATTTGCATGCATGATCTTTGCTTGCACGGTCTGTATCATTGGATCGGGTCTTCTCGTCGGACTATCGGACACCAACAAATGGGGCCGCCTTGTTGCGCTTTGGTTATGTTATTTCCAAGGCTTGGGATTCAGCATGAGTTTGACAATCGTCAGCTCCAACATTGCTGGATACACTAAGAAGCAAGTCACCGGTGCTCTATTGTTCACTGGATACTGCGTGGGAAATATCATTGGACCTCAGACTTTCAAGTCCAGCGAGGCCCCTGGCTACCACAGTGCTTACATTGCGTATGTTGCCGCTTGCGCTTGAGGACAATGTTCAATTCACTGATGTTTTCTACAGGATGCTCGCTGGCTATACAGTAAAGCTGGTTTCTATTGTCGCCTTGTATATTTATATGTACCTTGAGAACAAGCGCCGGGACCGCGAAGCAATCGATGGCCAAGACGTTGAGGCAGAAGGTATTGAAAATGGCATGCTGGTGAGTTTTGAGTTCCATGAAGCCTTACGATAAGCTAACTCATATCTTCCAAGGACAAAACGGAGATCGATAACAAAGGGTTTAGGTACGTCTTGTAAACATAATATATTTATGTTACTATGATTTCGCTTCAGAGACCTTTATTGCTCCCTTTAAAACATGCCAGAAAAGCTAGAAGTAATAATAACATGAGGAATGAAGTAAAGCAAATTGAAATGTAAAGTGAATGTCATTTGAAATGACCCGATATCTCATTGCAAGTCAAGTAAAAGAAAGCCCAATCAGGATTTAAATCAGAATAAAACCTTGAATTTGCAGAGGAGGATGTGATAACCAAATGAAGCTTAGGCCAATGGAACGTGAGATAAATCAAGCCAACCACTCTGCCGAACATAATTCCAACTTCCACCCCGTAGGTTCTCAATCTTCCTCCAGACTTTCTTAACAATGTTTCTCCACTTGTCTCTCTTCCTCCGAATCAGTAGCTGGGAAACGTCGGCATGCTTGTAAGAGGTTTCGGGGTCAGAGGTTGTGAAGCTGCTGAGTGGACTAACTCTGTTTGTGCTTAACTGCGTCATAGACGAGTTACTCCCTTTTCGAGCGGGAATTGTGTCAGTCCTCGACGCGTCGACCCTCAAGGCCCGAATACTAGTTGTTCTTCTCGGCTTTCCAGGAGAGCGGAAGAAACTCTCTGAGTTGTCAGTTTTCACGAAAACGTTCACCAAGCTGTGACTTGAGGATGTTTGAGAAAAAGCGTAGTCCCCTTCCTCCTCAATCGGTGGGAGGGAAGGCTCAAACATAGAGATTTGTCGGCAAAGAAATATGCTCGTGGCATTATTACCTTCATGCTCAGCAATAGCTTGGGCAATGGCTCGAGTGATAGGGTGGGTATTGGGTTCAGGTACGGAGTTAAGGGCACCAAACGCATCTTCCACATCCTCGGCCCAGTTCAATGAGGATGGTTTCAGCAGATCGGCCAGACTCTCGGCCTATATTGCGAGATTCTGGATTAGCATTCATCACACAACGTCAGTAGTATCACAAGAGCCAGAGAACCTACATCCATGATTGAAGTCATTGTTGCTGCGATGAATAAGTAGAAAGAGGTAGCGTGAGAGAGTTTCGAAGGGGAGATCTCTGATAAAAAGAAGAAACGGTATTGATAGGGATGATTGGCTGATGGGGAAGTGATTCGGTGGTTGGTGGTGATGATGGGTGATAAAATAATGGAGAGAAGACGTGTAGATATGATGTTCTTGAACATCGAATAGGTAAGGCGTTGGTCATTTCGAGAGTCCAGGAATCAGTAAGTAAACAAGGAAACTATTTGCTAGGTTTCTGCGTTTTCTCCTAGCTTTATAACACTAAAAAAGGAAGGAACAAACAAGCGTTAACATAATTTATTGAAGACGAAAAGCAGCCAGCGTACGGAACTCTTCTTGATATAGGTTAGTATTAAAAGAGTGCTATAGTACATATTGCCAACCTGGGGATCAACTTAAAACGACAATCATGGATGTGGCCAGTGTTGAATGTTATCAGCTTTCGAAGCACGGCTAGTGGCTAAAGGTCTAGAAATCAGACCATTACCATCGACTCCATGATGACTTTGGCCTTCACCTTCACAGTGAACGTGGAACAAACCCCCGTTTCTATTCTAGTATTCACTCACCCTGGGATGGCAGCTTCACATTATTGTATATAATGGTTATAAATGGACCCTTTGATCCTAGGCTTTTATTCCGCTTTATTCATTCCAGACTCTCCAATTTATCAAAGGGTCTTTCATATGCAATGAGGTTGAAACAGAGCCATTAGCCCAGCTCTTTCCTACATGTATTCTACGAGCATAGATTTTCCAAATATTTGTTCCCATGAGGCTTCCTATACGCAAACATACATCTATCAACATAGGGTAGCAACCGAATGATATAATTTAGATGAATGTTTGTTAGGAGGCAAGTGCGTGATCGAGATCCTTCCTGTTTGGGATTGTTTACTGTCATATAAAAGCATCCTCAGCAATTGTCTCTGTTTCTTCCTTCATACTACTAACACATCACCATTTCACCAAGAATCTATTATCTTCATCTACAATTTTTTCATCAAGTCATCTGTCATACTTCGAGTAATCTATCCTTTCTTCGAGTAATTCATTATCTCGTCGAGCCATCCATCATTCGTTCAAGTCATAAAGTCATCTAAGCCTAATGGGCCAGTCTACAATGGTATTTTGACCCGAGTTTAGTTAATCTACTGTCTGAAGTGATCGGATACTAACAACGGATACACTATATAGGGCGATCCGAAGGCTAAAGCCCTTTGCGCAAAATCCACCGTCCCTATCACAGCTACCAAGATGGTATTTATCCTCACTTCTACCTCATTTATCTATTAGATACTAACGATAGTATACTATTTAGGACGTTAAATATTCTCATCTCCTTGTCCGCGATCATTTTGACTGGTGCGAAGACGTCGAGAACCACATCGCTGCGAAGACTAAATCCCATGCCGTCCCTATCACAGCTACTAAACCGGTATTTACTCCACCGCCATCTCGCCTATATATTTAATACCTTAGATACTAACAGTTGATACAATACATAGGACGAGAGATATCAGCACCTTCTTGTTCGAAAGCAGTTCGATTGGTGGGAGGACGTTGAAAACGACATCGCGATGACGAGTAAAGCCCTCGCTATTGCTACTATCACCAAACTGGTACTTGTTTAACCCCGCTTCTACCTCGTATTCCTTCAGACCTTAGATACTGACGGTAGTTACACTATATAGGATGAGAAGTATAAGCGCCTTCTTGTTCCCGAGCGCTTTGATTGGGGGGAAGACGTTGAGAATGACATTGCTATGAAAGACAAAGCTCTGGCCATGGACAAAGAAATTTTCAACATGAGCAATGGAAATCCCGCTACAAACGGCCTATTCACAGCCGAAAACTTGGTATTTATCCCCCACTGCCGGCTTCCTACCTCTTTGAGAACTGAAAGCCTGACTATGATTACACCCTACAGGATGACGACGAGGCATTCCACTCAACCGGTGGCTTCAAGGCTCCCCTCGGTACGAACACAAACATATTCAACAATGAACTCCTTCCTACACTCAAGGGCACTACCACAGCAGTCATATTGGTAATTATTCCCACTACTAGCTCCCCTACATGTTCGAGACCTCGGAGACTGACTATGACTTAACTACATAGGATAATGTACGAACTCACCTGTTCTCCTGTAAGAAATCTGATTCAAGCGATGTTAAGGCTACCCTCTCTATTGGTTATCGGCCCCAGAGAAATAACATTACTCAGTCCTCCCATGAGGCTGTCGACTCCCCACACCCAATCAGCTTGCCACAATCGCTCGAGCTCCCATGTTCCACCGACCTCTCCAATATCATTACTCATCCATGCTCCTTCGCTGCTCCAGGGCCGATGATCACACTACCCGATTTGGTTAAAATTCCACCTATCAATAAGTACACACAGCCCGTCGACCTATGTCATGGACTCGAGCTCCCAGACTTCAACGAGTGCTCCAAAAGAACTAGTCGTTCATGCCCAGTTTCTGCTCTGCCGCCGACCATAGTCCCAGAGTTGGTCGAGATCCCACCTCTCACAAACTGCATACAGCCCGTCGACCGAATCAGTGGCTCGAGCTCCCATCTGCCATCGAGTCCCCCATGGCCTTTGGTGTTCCGGCCTCAGTTCCCACTGCAGAGTTGACTGAAATCCCACCCGTCAACAACTACACATTCACCGTTGACCCATGCCAGGGGCTGGAGCTTCCAGTTTCCACCGAGATTGAGCAGCCACCGCAAATCACACAGTCAGCTGAGCAGTTAGAGCCATTCGGTCTTGGAGTGTGCGCTAACGAGTACGAATACCGCTCAATCGTTGGGGATGGAGATAAAACCATCCACCACTGGAATTGGTTTGGTCAGCCTGTGTACTCACCAACAGCAACCCCGCCGGCAGTTTCAGTTGCCTTCATATACAGGCCAAGCCTAAGATACCACCGGGAAGTGACGAGCTTCGTGTGAGCTCCATTCTGAACCGCGCAATTCATTGCATCGATCCCGTAATTTTGAGAGTGGACAGGGGAAATGAAGCAGTTCTGCAAATGCACGGGTTTGCAATGATCCAAGCATGCGATGGAATTACGTACAATCATTATTCCCCCCATGGAAGCTGGACCTAGGATGATATATCCGAGCGGAAAATGACTGTTCCTGATATTGGTGTCCCACTGGCATCACCAATCTTTGCAGTTGGTAATGGAATTACTGAAAACGAACAATTCATCACACGAGGGCAGTGGATCGAATGGCGAGATCAGTTATTTTCAGTCGCCCAGAAGCCTGTTTGTGCTCCACGGAAACTGAGCTGGAAGATGACTCCTTCCAGGTTCAAGATCGGTAACTTTCCCAATTGGGATCATTCAAACTTTGACGAAGAAGACCTTTGCCTACACTACTCGCCACCAACCCTCTTGTTTCCCATTCGACATCGTAGGGATGAGCTTCATGCGGGCCTGGCACATGGTAAAAGCTATTTTCAACCCACATGGCTTTATATCGGGGGTTATTTCATCGCTGTCAATCTAAGACAGTTTTTCAGTTGGATTTGTATTCAAATACGTCAATATGGCATTGGTGGCAGTTGGAATCAAGGTTATTTTGCTTTCAGGACGCTCTCACTCTCAATTGAAAAAATAAAAATAAAAGGAATTTGTTGTTCACGTTCAATGTTTGCTTCTCTTGTAGGTTTGCTAGATCTTTCGTGCTCGAACAGACATGCGGGATACAATATGCTACATAGAATATGCGCATAGCATTAGGCCCGTGCTTTTATATCCGCACCAAATATGTCAAAGGTGTGAGCACAGATCTATTCGAAGGACGATCAGATAGACTCTTGAGGGAAACGACTGTATGATACACTGGTCGAGCATCGTTTGTATGCCAATACCAGGGTAGTCCCTGATCAGCCAATCTACCTCTGACATAATTTCAGCCTTGTTCTAACTGGTTCAGCCCACCCTGAGAAAAGCAACAATGCTGCTGTAGCCGTCCCTAGGCTCGGGCACTGCACAAACTCCCACTGGGCAGAAATATAGATAAGTGCACTGTCGGCTGTACCCTCCCTGATTTAATCTAACCCACAGCCAGTGCCAACTGTGATCGTAACGGCTCTTATGAAGTCTCATTTCCATCGGTATGAACTGACCGTATTCTCGCTATAGCTCATGAATCATCATATCAACTAAGTAATGAGATCCTAGCCGAGCGTAGGCACTTTCCCCAAAGGACCATTGGATTATCATATACAAGCGTACGGAACAAAGCCAGAAAATAAATGAATATCCGAATGTAGCATCATCCTGAAGTGCCCAAAATATCACTTTCAGGTGACAAATTCCGAAAACAACGCCTAGCATTTACCCACCAGAGACACACTGATGTATTTGATATAAAGTCAAAAGGACTTTTTTATTGCCGAACAGTGAAAGAAGCTCTGGTCCAAGCCGCTAGGGTTTTATAATTTTAAGGGAAAAATAGGAGGTGTAAAGGCGATTTGATGATCATTAGCCAGCTACTCGGATGACATGGACACGATCTTGCACCTGCGCAGCGACAAATTCCATCGTAGTTGCAGGGAGGAGCCAACTCGCTTCTGAGTGTCGGCAATCAGTTGATCTTGGGCCTCCTTAACACCGCCTCCTTAACACCGGGTTTGCGCTCGTCCCCCATCGTAGTGAAATTAGGACTTGGTCTGCTGCAGACTAGTTTTGTGCAGACCATCGACTTCTGTTAGTGATAGGTGGCTAACACTAATGTAATATATAAAGCCGGCTTCCTTGGTTTTAGGATGTCTCTAAACGAAATAGGATATCAATTGAATCCGGCACTTTGATAAATCCCAATGGGCTGGATATTCTTCCTGTAGCACCATATAAGAGAATGTGATATAGTGAAATATCCACCAAGAGGAAGAATGTATATAACTTTGTAAAAAAAAACAAAAGATATGGAGAAAGATAGAGAGCCGGGTGGCAGGGGGGAAAGACCTAGCTGCGTTATGTAGTAGGTCCTGACCCCACGGGTGCCTTAGGCCGCTACTAAGGATTAACTATCCACACATCTGACAATCCTTTCTAATCTCGTGGACAGTACAGTCAATTCATCTTGAGCCTCATTCCTATTTTCTCCTCACTCTGGTTTCCAGTGAAATCCATACTTAAGCTTCACGTGTGACCATGGTCCCATCACCCTAGGCCAGATGCAGTTCGAAAACCCAGTTTGGAAAAAGGCCAAAGTTCCGCCAGGACCTCATTATCGGATTTATATGACGATTCATGGGCTATAGTGACGATACAGGTTGTACATGCCAAGGGAGATGGCGCCTCGTCACAAGATCCATTACTATCGCGGAGATCTAACCCTCGCTTACATGTATGGATCATTATTGCTCGGAGTTCACATTCTGGTGAGACCATACCCAGATCAGATTCACTGTACTCTAGCTTTTGTCTCCGTGTCAAAAACAAAGATAAAAGCATTGACGGTTAATCTTCTACGTTTGCTTCTCCCCGCAGGTTTTGGATGTTGCTTGCGCTTGAAAAAGTATAGTATATAGGAACCACCGATGTGGTAAATTAGGCCCATCGTTTTATCTCCAGATCACCCTTTAAGTCTAGGATAGCAAGTATATACATGTGATGTAATGAAGAAACTGGTATTCACTCGTCTCGGGACCACCACCTTTTGAAGGCGCTAAAATTCAGCATACATCTTACAATTTGAAACGGATAGAACGTAGAGTTTTTGGTTACGTTCAAAGACATCCTATTCTCATATAGACAAAGCGTCTCGTATCTGATGCCACACGGACGTAAATGCGGAGTATAGCACATTGGTGTGTGCCTTTCTTAAAGAAAGACTCTCGACCAGGTTGTAGGTTTATCGAAGACGACAACAGTTCAGGTACGGGGTGGTTCGTCGGCTACAGCCAGTGGGTGGTCACGACGCGGCAGAGGTTGGAACCGATGTGACCAGTTTCATCGGGTGGGCTCAACTCACAAAAACGTAGAATCATGCCATAGAAGAAGAAATGGTGTGTATTCTTAGGTGGTCGGTTGATAATAACAACTCTCTAAGGGTAATCGAGTATAGATTTTACAACAGACTAGATTGAGGATGCAGCAATCTTACAACGACGTTGGGGATAAATCTGCTTTGCTAATCAATCCAGCAGAGAGGATTGTGTGAAATAATACTTAGTGGCCCCAGGCATCTATAGCGATTAGGACCTACTTAAGGCAGCTATGTCTCTGCCCCTCTCTCTTTCTCGCTCTCTTTCTGTCTCCCTATCCGTTCTTTCCTTCATCATATATTTATTATATCACATTCTCATATGTAATTATATAGCTGGCAGACTGAGCATGCTATGATATATTGATTCACACGCTTTGAGACTTTGATAGTTCTCTCCTGTCTCTTTGAGTACCCGGAACCAACAGTCCTGTCAGCGATAATTCTCCCATATGTGGTCGAGAGCTTTGAGACTATGGCAATGGGTGAAATTGCAACCTCTTGCTCAGCGCGTAGCTCCACGAAAACGTGGTGAACAACGACTTTCCAATATGGCGAATTACCGTTCCGTATGTTGGGGTACCACTAGCACTACCAGGTTTGACAATTGGCAATGGGATAATGCAAAACGGACCTTTTTGTCTCTATGTAAGTGGATGGAGAGGCAAGTTGAACTGGTTTCTGCCGCCTAGTACCCTGTTGCTCTCCCCCAAAACCGACAGAGAACTCATCCTCTCACAAGTGGAAGATCGACCCGCCCATCATCAAGAAGTGCACTGCCAATTGGGGCCTGTCTACAAAGTGAACTAGCCTCTCTGATCTTGATGCTTGCAACCTCTTGCTCCTGGGATCCATCGATAGGCGTTGAATTTTTCCGGAAGAGTCAACTTTCGCTTGGGTCTCTGCTCTCTGGCATATATAATTATCGTGGTGGATGCCATTTGACTATATATCTACTTGCATGAGTTGGAACTCTATTATCTTCTGCGGATAACGGATGATAGTGAGGGTATCCTGCAGATGAACGAGCCTGTGAGTTTTATCATCAAGAAGGCAACCAAGTCTATAAAATCATGGACCTGACGGAGCCTACTTAGTTTGTCGCCCGGGCCAACTAGTATGATTGATGCTCAATCATTGCTGTCTTATTGAGCCCTTGAAGCAAATTGATGTACCACACTCAGTCAAGGTACTCGACTCGATCATTATTTCGCATCTCGAACTCTTAGCAACCTAGCCGACCTGTCATGCCCACTTAATATTACACAACCAGCCAATGTACCAAGCGCTCAACCATGCAAATTAAATCAACTTAGAAGGAATTCTCGATCTCCGATAACCATTTTGGCCTTTGGGCTCAGTTGGAATCTAACATCCTATCGAGTCTTGAGAGGCAGTTAGCCTGTCACATTTTCTTGGTGTGATCTCATGAGAATTATCGCCGAAAAGGCTTTTTGAACGTGCTATGCTATGTACAGTCACGAATTCGATACTTGAAATGTTAGAGGATAGAGGCCAACAACAGACGCCTGGTTCCAGCGAGGTGATGCCTGACCCTAGCGCACAGACGCCTAGCTCCAGTGGCTAGACACATCAGCTTTACAGCAAACTGGCCATGTTATTGAAAACTTCAACCATCACAAACATAGCGTCAGGGTGTCAGCTTGTTTCGAGCATTGCCTCAACACAGCTCTTGGTCACAATTCTATTCATTATGCACCCACCTCAGTCCTCCTTACCTCCATCATCATGGGCTATGTCATACTGAAAGGCTCCCACAATGGTACGACCAGGCCTTCGAGATATGAGAGACCTCCGCCAGATGGCGACTTGAACCAATATATCTTCCCACCCAACAACGACCCTGACCTCCGTTTAGTTTCGCAGCAGTCTATCGACAACTTCCGAACCAACAGGCCTGAACTCATGGAAAGAGCTTTGGTTACTTCTGCTAACATCGTTCGAAACGTTTGCTTCACGTACATATATTGATCCCACAACAAGTGACTGCTCAATCCCATAAAGTTGTCGTTACCTTCGATCAATTTCCATATCCCAAGATATCAAATGGTTTCTCTAGCCAAGGTTTGCGATGTACCTCCTCTTAACATTCCTTCCAATGATGATGTAAACTTACATGAATCTTCTCCAACCCAGGCTGTGTCCTCTAGGAGCTACTTTGGCGATGTGAATTCAATTGGGTAGAAGATGTTGAGGATGTGGCTACCAGTTGCGACCACAATCATATAGAAGACTCGTAGAAGACTCACAAGACCCGAGTGAGACCTTTCCCATCATACTATAGCATTTCTATCAAAAGCAGGTGTTTTCGTATACACAATTTGGAAACGGTGGCGTATGATTGAAGTCCGCGTTGATTCTGCTACATTGCATCGGACATGCATTGGTGAATAAAATCTACAGTACTTCAGCGTTTTGAACTAGCAGTTTTGTATACTTATGCCCACACTAAAAGAGCTCTCATTTTGTAATCGATTTTCCGATTGAATTGACGGTAGTCAACACCCTGGGTTAATGAAAATTGACAGTGCCGAAGGCAAGAAGCCCCCAGAATTGTCATACACATTCGCTCGAATCACGCGAAATCTTTTCAAATAGAACATAAGCAGATATGTAATGGTCATTTGTAACTAGGAGGGTCTAAGTCCGGAGTCTACGTACGTAATTTGAAGGGAGAATGAACTAGCCGACATTAGGCCTCTTGACACTTGGCTCGAGTCTATCATCTTTCACACACACTTTTGATTAACAAGAACATAACGAGAAGTTACATATAGGTTTCACACAAAAATTAACACTCTTCCAAAGCAACTCCTCACCCCCTGTTCTGGGAGAGTTGACTCTCGCTGGCTACAATTTGGAGGGCCAGAAGCCTCGAATAATACCGACAGAGAGCCAGATTACCCCCCATAAACCAGAATCCAGGATGGCCGCTGTTCCTCCACATAGTTTTTATCTCTCCTTCCTCATCAAGACCCCAGACATCCTTGACCTGGTCGGCAACTGCATCGCCAAAAATATCACGAGTTTGCGTCCGCATATCCTTATATCCTGTTGCAAACACAATTTCATCGGCAGGAAGTTCTGTTCCATCTTGCAGGCGAACACCATGGGGCAACACCTCCTCTATCTCCTGCCCCTGCTTCACCTTAATCTTGCCGTCAATAATGAGCTGGGATGCTCCAGTATTCACGTAAAACCCTCCGCCAGTTTTGAAATACTTGAAGACCATCCCCGCATTGTTCGGACCCGGGTCGAGGGAGAAACCAGCCTGTTTCAATCCGTCTAACAGCACTCGATCATGTTCATTCTGGCGTCTGGCAACATCTTTGTGGAGCTCTTGGAAAACAGGTGTAGGTGTTGACCAGAGAAGCAGATCTGCATCATCAACCGGTGGGCCATTCTCTTCGTACAGTCCGGCCAAGGCGACATCTGTGATTGCCTCCGGAGAGACAACAACAGTGGATGAGCGTTGGAGCATAGTAACTTGGTATCCATTCTCATAGAAGTCCTGGGCGATATCATGACCGGAACTGCATGAACCAACAACCACGGCAGTCTTGCCATTGCCGACAGGGGTGGCTCCTTTGAATTCAGACGAATGACAGATTCGGTCTCCCTTGAAAGAAGAGAGACCCTTCAGATCCCATGGGGAATTCATCTTACCCGAATGTCCTGTGGCTTGAACCAGATGACGAGGATGTAACAGACGATCCTCCTCACTGCCATCGTCTCGTGTCCGCCTGACCTTGACAGACCACGAGCGACTGGTTTCATTCCACGTGGTTTCTTTGATCTGGGTTTTACACCAGAAATTCAATTCGAGTAAGCTTGCATAGGACTCAAAGAAATCACCGAGTTTATCCTTCGGCGTGAACTTGGGCCAGTTTGGAGGGAAGTTGATGTAGGGCAAGTGGTTGTACCACACTGGATCGTGGAGAACGAGGTGACGATATCTCGATCGCCAATTATCTCCAAGTCGATTCTCCGCATCGATCAACAGTGCATCAATTCCCATCATCTTCAGCCGTGCCGCGAGACCGAGCCCAGCTTGGCCAGCACCTAAAGGATGAGTTAGCGGGTAAAAATAGATAACACGGGCCATTAATTTCACTTACCGACTATGACGACGGCGGGTTCAGCCTCTTCGAATTCGGACTCAATCTTCCGGCGCTCCGACCAGTTCTGACGGGGGCCGGTGCTCCCATGTTTCACACCCTTGGGTCGACGATCATAGATCATCTCTTCGAAGCCATTCACGTTTCGCAGGCTGGTGTAGAGACTGAAAGCCTTCCACTCCCCATTTTCATGAGCGAGCCGCAAAACACCTCGGCCTGTACCGACCGAAGTGTTAATCAAAATGAAGGCTTCGATCCCAGGTACTTGTCCATGGGCGTCAAGGTGCGTCTTGCGAGGGGATCTAAGGGCAGAAGACACATCCAGATGAATATCGTGCAATTGGCATCGACCATTGACATCCGTATGGGCCTCGAGAAACTGCCTTATCTTTTCGCGACCTTGCAAGGTGTGGAAGTCCCAGGAGAGGGCTAAGTGGTCGCGCCAGAAACCCTCCCCGGTGAAAAGCGTTGATAGATCGGAGTGATTGCCGTTCGATAATATTGTGTTAAAGGAATTCACCCATATGGACGCCTCAGCGGTGGTGTCATAATGTACCATCTTCAATGCTGATGAAATAGGTGCCATGGTAGTATTATTGTCGGGAGACATGATAGGCTGTGAAGTCATTTGAATGTCTTTGTGGGTTGTAGTGCTGTAGTCTTGGTATGTATTCTTGATAGATAATATCTCTAGGGAAGAGGAGAACTAAGGAATATATATATTTACAGCCTCTATACTACTCAAGGACGAACAGTGGACCCGTCGGGTAGGAAATGTAAGCGTATCTGGTGGCAAACCAATTGCAATTAACTAGTGACATGCCAAATTATTCAGCTTGACGAACCATGGAAGCCATAACTAGTGACATGGTCTCCATAGTGTGATGAAATGCCAGTGATAGAACCAATGAAAAGTCATAACTAGTGACATACCGATTATTGAGATTCTCTGAGGATCCAGCCCTGGGGCTATTACTGATGCTTGGTCACCCGAAGATTTCTCCAAGGCTCATCTACATAACTACATATAACTATTGGCTCCTTTTGCTTCTTTCTAGATGTAGATAGTTTGTATTCGCACGCTTCTCTATAAGTTCAACTTCCTCGCAGTCAAAGAGATCTCGGGAATGCGCGGAGCTAGGGAAGCCTACATGGGAAATTAAAATAAATATCAGAAAGTCAAAAGGATCTCAAGTATGATCTATTATCTGTTCTCTTCGCTAAAATGGTTTCTGTGGCCTGTACGAGGGTTTTTAGGGACTATCACGACAACCAGTATTTTAGCTGGCAAAACCCCGTATAGCTGGGCCTAGATCTAATGCTTTCTGTATTTCTATATTTTAGAGCTAAGTATTCTTATTCTTTAATAAACTATAGCACTAATTAAGATAATAAATATCTATAAAACCGGATAGATAAGGAAATATCCAAGAAGACTCCTCAAAAGACTTCTCAAAAGACTACTAGAAAGTCAAGGTAGAATTTTGCATTTGTCAAATTCTGCAATAAGAACGCCTGTGTCTAGGATTACTACTACGGGTATAATGAAATACGTATGCTTTCGTTAATATAATAATAGTGAGAGAAAGGTGAGAGGAAAGTGAAAGATAGAAAAGGCCAAATATAGCACCGAATAGGCAGGACCTAAGGTTCATGGTTCTGCAATATAAATTTAGATTTCCTAATTTCGGATCGGAGCCTTTCCTTTAATCATCTTGAACCTTCCGTCTTCCGGTTCAATTATCCTTCCTGATTTAGCCCCTATTATGCCAGCTCTGCGCCAACTTCTTCATCACTCTAGATTCATTTATCTTCAAATGTTGAAATTTTCGCAATGTCGTCTTCGTCAGTTGCACCTACATCTTCCTTCTCACAAGTGAGCGCCCATTCCACTTGAGGCTACCACTAGATCAGTGTACTCTGGCGTGAGTATTGGAATCCATAAAATCTCAGCAGGCTGTTCCACCTTAAGTGGCTTTGTGCAACTCCAATTCGAAGACCAAAAGCATTGGAATACATGCTCTTGCCTGCTTTCACTGCGTCTACCCGCCCAAAATGTATCAGCGAGATCGCTATGTTCGGAGTCCCGATGCTGAAAGGGGTGAGTGGCTCCATTTCATGTACAGAACTTAAGCTCACATTGTCATTATAGCACTTGAGAGATGGGAGAGACACCCCCTGACAATGAACGACAATGCTTTGTTTCTTGATGTCGCCAAACGCATTCTCCGAATCGACCACCCAGCCGCCCCCCAAGATCTAAGGGCCACGATCGAGTCACTGAACCAGTCAATTAGAGGTGTGAAAGATGCTTCTTTCTATACCTCAAAGGCCGAGATTGACAAGGGAGATAATGGATGGCTACCAGATTCTGACAGGTATTCGTATCAGGCTACACTGGAGTGTATTCGAAATTTAGAAAAGGAAGGGGACGCATATGCGAAAATGCTCCACAATGGATCACACTACCTCGGACATGTCGTTGCCGGAAGTGGCATGAATCGCACCCGACTCGATGGAGATAAGCGTCGAGTGTCCGTTGACTGGGCTCTGATTCAAAAGTCGAGCAATAGAATCCACCGGCAAATGCATGAAGATCACGTCTCTGGCAACAATGTAAGTCGGATGTTATCTGTGCCCTTTCTCAGGCTAATTCAGGAGTTTTTGGGGGTTCCAATACAGCAACCAACCGACAAACCCTCGATATTATACTAGTTCGATTGCGAATGTTCTCGATGAGTTACAACTTTACAAGTCCGGGCGATCTAGTGGTATGACAGCTTCTGTCTACCACGGCTTAAAAGCAAGGAAGGACCAGGATACCATGTCGTTATCACATGGGTTTATAAGTCGGCAACTCCTGAGACTTCCTTTCCATTCGCAGGACACGGAGACTCTGGTGCTTGGATAACAAGAATAGACGGCAAAGTTTTCGGTATATTGACCGGAGGTGACGAGCGGCAGGGCACAACCTACTTCTCCCGGATAAATGATGTCTTTGAAGATATCAAAGATATTACCGGCGCAGTTGAAGTCAGAGTCGCTCCAGTACCTGTTTTGTGGTTTTTGTTTTGTCTGTTTTGAAGGGATGGGGGTGTATTTACAGTACTACCAACATACCGCTATTTGTATGGTGTACTCCATAGGACCATTCCAATTATCTACATTAACACATTGCCAGTAGAAAGCATAGAGCTATACAATAAAGTGTAGGTAGTAAAAACTAGATACCTGTGGTGACGGTTGTGGGTCAGAAGTAGCTATTTGTCCAATAGGGGGCAAAATTGAATTGATATCCACAGATAATGCTACACAACCACATACCAGTGCCACCTTGTTAGAACAATCTGTATGTCATTCGAAGACTCTGATTGGTCGAAATTTAGAACGAGAATAATGTATCTTTATTGTCCACGGGTGTGAATAAGGCTGAACGGCACCTTGGAATGTCAATTTGACCTCAGCTTGTCTATTTGTCAACCACGGATTGCGTCCAGATTGCAACTCTTCAATTGGATACTTAGGCCCCCATTGGTCTTACTAATTTGATAAAGTTAAGAGAAATCTGTGGAAAGTCTGGAGCCTCGGAACCTTACATCGGAACCTTACATGACATGGGGCTTTGTTAGAGCGTTGCCAGTATGTCACTGCTTGGTGATAATTGGTCGAGAGTAGGAAAGTGTCACTCCTCTGGTTTGATTGGCTACCGAAATATAGTTCCTGAATTAACTACTGACGCTTAATTTGGCCCTTGGGTAAGAACTATATATATTGTAGTCAACTCCGATTGATCGGGGCTTTCCCACAAACAACTTGTTGTGCATTTAATACTTCTTCAATATTTTTATCGAGAACAAAACCTGTACAGAGAGATGACCCCACCATTTCCTCAGGCAGTTCTGCCCGCTACAGAGCCGCAATATCATAACACAACATTAGAAAACCCGCCACCGATTCCTCCAATTCAGGATGTCGAAAAGCAAGGTCCAGAAGCGGACACGGCCAAAGAATCAGCCTTCAAAGGTCTCGGCTGGTTAGATCGTTTTCTGGCCGTATGGATCTTCCTTGCCATGGCTATCGGAATCATCCTGGGAAATTTTGTCGAGAATACGGGTCCTGCCCTGCAAAAGGGGAAATTCGTTGGAGTGTCTATTCCAATCGGTATGTGCACATGAAAACCCGACTAAAGTAGGCGTCGGCTAACCATTTCAAGCGATCGGTCTCTTGGTCATGATGTATCCTATTCTTTGCAAAGTGCGGTACGAATCTTTACACCATGTCTTCCGAGAGCGTAAGGTCTGGACTCAGATTGCGTTCAGCATCTTCGTCAATTGGATTGTTGCTCCTTTCTTGATGGTAAGAATTATCTGACTCTCGTTATAATGATGCATGCTAACATCCTATCTTCCAGCTGGCACTAGCATGGGCTTTCCTGCCGGACGAGCCAGAACTTCGGGAGGGCTTGATTCTCGTCGGATTAGCCAGATGTATCGCTATGGTAGGCTACCCTTCTTTCTATATTTTACTCGAGTCATACTAACATATTTCTGCAAATAGGTTCTCATCTGGACCGGTCTCGCTGGCGGCGACGGCGAATATTGCGCCATTCTTGTTGCAGTCAATTCACTGCTGCAGATGGTGCTTTTCGCTCCCATGGCCATTTTCTTCATTCAAGTCATCAGCCACTCGGATAGCGAAGTTACATTATCGTATTCTACCGCCGCCCAAAGTGTGGCAGTCTTCCTCGGTATCCCCTTGGGTGCCGCAATCATCACCCGGATCGCCCTCCGAAAGATCGCTAGTCCACTTTGGTACGACCAGGTTTTCCTGAAGTGGGCTGGTCCATTCTCACTTATTGGGCTTCTCTTCACGATCCTCGTGTTATTCGCATCTCAGGGCCATCAGGTGGTTCACCAAATTGTATCGGTGGTTCGAGTCGCCGCTCCGCTCCTCGTTTATTTTATCGTCGTCTTCTTTATCACTCTTCTTGTTACTTACAAGCTCGGGTTTGGTTATAAGTTGGCTGCTACCCAAAGCTTCACCGCAGCCAGCAACAATTTCGAGCTTGCCATTGCTGTGGCTGTCGCAACGTTTGGTGCGGACAGCAATCAGGCACTTGCATCCACTGTCGGGCCGTTGATTGAGGTTCCGGTACTGCTTGGTCTTGTCTATGTTGTCAAAATTATTGCCAAGCGGGCTGGCTGGAAGGATTGAAGCGAAAGGCAATGGAAATATTTATTCATGTATTGCGAATTTTTACAAATTCGGAACTGCGAGGCTAAATTGAAGTGAAGGGGCCAATACGGAAGCATATGGACGCCTGGTTATTGGAAGATACTACACTTAATTATCAATGTCGTTCAATAATTCCCGACTTTATGTTAGACATATAGCGTTCCCGGTGTATGGGTTGATCAGAATATTCGATTCCGCACTACTATTATTTCGGATTTGAAAACATAAGCAGCATTGATAATCTGACGTGAAAGGGCCACGTAGTAATTCAAATCCACAAGACGAATATGGACTGTAAAAGCCCCAAGGTGACGTCTATCACTTGTCCAGTACGTCGAAAATCGACATGTTCTTCACCATGCAATTCGATTCCGAAGCGCATCCAAGGTCAGATCGCACATCACGAGAGTCTGGATAATTTCGTATACTTGCGACCATTTTCGCTGCGTCTTCACACGATGTATATTGTCCTTTATCCTGAACGCGATCTAACTGCTGTGGTTCGGAGACACTTTCAGTTGTGGCAGATTCTTGCTCTTCGCTGGATTCCTGAACATTTGAAGTATCCGTATGCATTATCATGTCTCCCTTTTGTGGAGATCTAGTCCCAACAGGCTTAACCTCAGGCGGTGGATCTTTGATGTCTGGAGGAGGTGGAGCTGCCGGCGAAGATTTGTAATCTGGAAGAGCCTCACTTGGTATCGCCCGCAAACGGGACGTTGCTGATATTTGGGAGACCACTGGTGGATTCTGGGATAGAGGAGAGCTTGTTGACCTTCGTTGTGATTGCAAGTATTGTTCAATTTGGGGTTCTGTGACGCCATGGAGATTCAACAGGGACCGGAGTAGACCATTTTCCACTGCAACCTTTCTTCCTGCTTTTTGTACTTCTTGTGTGGCCTCTACTCCAAGCCTTTCAAATGATGACAATCGTTGCTCGAGGTGCTGAATGTACTCCTTGCGCCGCTGGCGCGAACGCCGCTGATTTTCGCGGATTCGAGCGGATGATGTCGTGGGACCATCATTCACACCTTCAGTTTTCTTTATCTTCATACTCGCTCTTAGAAATAAAAATGAAACCAAGTTGCGGGAGCATACGAGTGAATTCCTGTGGTCTGGAGATATGGTTCAGGTTAAGATTCAGTGGCGTCATTTCGTCATCTGGGTACTACCTCATCACCAAGCTTCTACTTAACCGTCCATCAATCAATAGCTATTATTATCGAATGTCAGGGACGTTTCTTAACTACTATTAGATACTAACAATACGTAAAAAAAAAAGTGCATTGTGTCTGGTTAGTAAAATGAACAGATACTTTACCCCAATTGGATTTGTATAATCACTACAAAAGTGCCCTGACAAACAATCTAAATAGGGAATAAATGAATAGTAAATTAATAACTCATTCTAGCTGAGGGAAATCAATGATGATCCTTTGGTGTTCACGGAGATATGAAAGTAGGACAAAAGGAAGCTGGTAGACATCAGAAATGAAAGATAAGTTGAGAACAACCGCATCTTTAAGAGTGTCAGATTTAATCGCCAAGAAGTGTCAAATATCATTGCTAAACGCAACCCGGTAGATAGGAGTCCAGCCCCCCAAAAAAGCAGAATGTAAGATCAGTCTAGTCTCACACAAAGGATACAATGACCGAAAATCAAAGTGAATCCAATGCAAAGTAAATCCGAAATAAACTTAAAGTCAAATCAAGCAATTCAAACCACAAAGAAACCAAGAGCAAAGCGCAGAAGATGTGATCAGGGAGAAAATAGACACGTGCCTACCTCAACTTGCGCTTCAATGATGTGAGCATAGATCCAAGTCCCCGTCGAGCCTTTGCAAGTGCTCGCCTCACCCCCCTAGGACGAAAGACTGGAGTGGGGAAAGAGAAATATTCCTCAGGTGGTGCGGAGATAACACAGGTTGTGATCTTGCGAGGTGGCTTCTTTGCCTGATTGATGGTCTCTGGCTGTGGTGACTCGGGGGTGATCTCTGGCAAAATTGATTCGCATTGACTCAATGGCGAAGGTTTCCGCTCCCAAGTCATCCTCCGCGGATGTAGACCTTCTCCAGAGTCATCGCAGGCTTCATACCGAGCCTCTGACCACTGGGACACCGATCGAATGGCACTAGACTCCACGAAACCATTTCCAATGGCCACATCTGAGGCGTCGTAGGTCCGCACATTGCCGAAGTCTGTGGTTGTTTCTTCACTCGTATCCTTGGGATCTTCCAACCATCTTCCATGTGGCGAGTAGAACTTGAAAGCGCGTCCGGTTGAGGCACGGACAAGCTCCGACCCCCGGAGGTCGAACAAGCTATCGTCAGTGTCATCGAGAAGTACGAGAACCGGGTCTATGTACTGGGCTGCTCGGCTCAGAAGTAGTTGGATTCTCAAGCTAGCACCTCCCTGAGGACTCTTGGGGTTTGCCAAGATGATGGCAAGCGAGTCAGATGGGGAAGTGGCACAGTGGGTGTAAACTCGTACCCCCAGCCAGTTAAAGTGATGAATCTCCTCGTCGACTTCGACCCACGCTTGGCGATCAGAAAAGATGATATCCACATCTTGCTGTGCAACCGAATATGTCTCGGATTCCGCATTGGGGGTTAAATGCTCACGGCGAAACTCGTCCTTGGGGAGAGCCACCTCATAACTCGAAGCTGTACTGTTGGACTCATCGGAGTCGGTCTGGAGTTCGTCAAAGCTTGAGGTTGCATCCGTAGATCCATCAGCACAGCCCCACAGCTCATCCCAGATCTCTTCATTGATGGTTGAAACGGATGACTTGAATCGGGGAGCAGGCACATAGTTGCGAGTTGGGAAGGGTTCATTGTACCACTTGGCCTTAGGCAAGGAGCAATCAAGAGGCTTTGGTGCAGCGGCCATTGGCAGATTGCCATTAGCTCTAGCCTCTTCCTCTGCGTCTTCGGCCCAATTAAAATTGCACCGGCGAAGTAGCTCGTCAAAGGGAGCGGTCTGGGTTGAAGAACATTCATGTAAGTTTCTATCACGCTTAGACAAAGTGCTTAGAGGCATATAGCAAACCTTAGATGGAGAAGTCATTTTGATGCTATTCTCGTGATATCTGATAGATTCTTTTGCAAATCTCGGGATCGATGGTATGCTATAGCAATTGATAGATGTTTATGTGAAGCAAATGTTAGAAGGTAGACAAGCTTGTATCTAGCAAGAGGTGATAGGTTACCGTGATGTTCGTGTTGTGCTGAATATAGAAGGAACGCGCTTCCTTGCTCTTGCTCTTGCTCTTTCTGTCTGAATAAAAAGATCGCAAAACAGTTCGAAGGAAAGTGCGAACCAGTGTTTGCTATACACTGCTAGATGGGACTCCTCAAAGCTATTTAATAGATTCATCGGGGGCAGTGACTAGCTTTTAGAACTATTAATCGATGTCCTCCGAGGAAATATAGACAATGGCATTCATCTGATCTTTGTAAGGTACAACGAGTCTTGCGTTGGTTATTACACTAGTGCACTTAGCCCTTTGTCAAGTTGAAGATGACCACCCCAGTTAGGGCTTCAAAGAGAAACAATTTCTTTGAGCAATGTCAATGAGACAAGAGGGTTTGTCTCTCAGTTTGGTCATCCCAAGGTATATACAAAGAATATAACATAAATTCAGAGACAAACTCCATTATTTGCATTGCCTCCGAATAATCATGCCAACTCAGCGAAGCTGTGCTGATGAGGTCTGCAAATTGTAAGGATCAGGTATCTTTTGTACGGCAACCTCATACAAAAGGTACATAAACAGTATAAGCATAATATTGATTTTTCTCAAATTTTAAACTAGCTAAAGGAAAACATGAAGAGCCATACAATGCAAGTCTTGTTGAGCCGATGTGCTACGAAACCTCGTTATGAATATAATATATCGTGTGCATACGTCGAGACATTCTCTTCCTTCCAGTGTGCTTGATATCTATCATTTTTACTGAAGTTGATAGTAAGTACTCCGTAATTGAGTTTCATTTACGTTATGTATTTTCCTAAGGATTTAAGGGTTAAGAACCGAGATTATGACTCCGTTGTGCTCTTGTGTGCATAGTGTCCTATACGAGATAACAATAGTAGATAAGATGCAACAACCTAAAGCTCCGGCTAATATTCCTATATAGGGTCTGAATAACCTACTTGGTACATAATAATGGCTGATTAACTTTCTGCACGGCGAGTAAAATTTCCCTTGTGGTCGTAGCCCCAATTCGAGATAAGGAACCGGCCTTCTTGCCGCGTTGTATGTGATTACATAACACGATATGACGCCAGAGTCCCCCGCACAGCTCGTGATTATTCTATTTATTTTGGCTTCTGCACTTTGTTCTCCTTGAAATTCCGATCCATGACCTATTTGCGAGCTTCCATCAGATCAATTGGACACTTTCGACAACTCTTACACCCCTTTACACCCTCACCCCTCTCCGCAAACCCCCACCCCTTCCCTCTCACGGCCTACCAAACTTCTCTCCGACGCACCATGGCTTCCGCAATGGCAAAGCGCCTCGAAGGCAAGACTATCATCGTTACCGGTGCCTCATCTGGCATTGGAAAGAGCACTGCCAAGGAGTTCGCCCGCACGTCGCCCAAGAACCTGAAGTTGATTATCACCGCGCGCCGTATCGATACATTGAAGGAGGTCGCAGCGGAGATCAAGCAGGAGGTTGGCGATGGTGTTCAGGTTCTTCCTGTCAAGCTGGATGTCAGCAACCCAGAGGAAATCAACAACTTTGTTTCCTCCCTGCCAGAGGAGTTCAGGGATATTGACGTCCTTGTCAACAATGCGTGAGTCATCGACATCAAGCCAAACTAATCGATATGCACGATCGATACTGACATCTACTATGCAGTGGTTTGGTCAAGGGTGTTGCACAGGCACCTGAGATCGCTGCCGAGGATATCAAGGTCATGTTTGACACCAACGTCACCGGTCTCATTAACATGACTCAGGCCATCCTGCCCATCTTCAAGAAGCGCTCTGACGGTGGCCGTGGTGATATTATTAACATTGGCAGCATCGCTGGTCGCGAGCCTTACTCGGGCGGTAGCATTTACTGCGCCACCAAGGCTGCTGTCCGCTCCTTCACTGATGCGATGAGAAAGGAGCTCATCGCCACGAGAATTCGTGTTATTGAAATCGATCCTGGTCAAGTTGAGACGGTATGGTTATCGCATACATTTATAGTCGTGATTTGATGCTAATACCCAGGATTAGGAGTTCTCTGTTGTGCGATTCAACGGAGACAAGTCCAAGGCTGATGCTGTCTACAAGTAAGTCATCCCAAATAACCGAAATAAGGAGCATAACTAACCACTTGCAGGGGCGTCGAGCCATTGACTGGTGACGACATCGCTGAGATTGTTGTCTTTTCCGCTGGTCGTCGTGAGAATGTTGTGATCGCCGATACCCTGGTCTTCCCCAACCACCAAGTAAGTTTATTTTGCGGTTGTATCTTCCTGTGAACAGGTACTGACTATTTTACAGGCTGCGGCTGGTATCTTGCACCGCAAGTCATAACTTATACGCCACGAATCAGAATGAAGATTTAGATGTTTATAGCGCTCGGTGTACATGTTCCGAGGTCGCACGTCGTGCGGCATAGATACGAAGTACATATTCGATCGCGAACAATATAGATTCAGATTAGGTCGAGAAGTCTAAAGTAACGAAAATTTATCACGCTTCGTATATTGCATAGTATACATGAGAGAGTACATGTTTTTCAATGAGGCAGAGCGACTTTAACCGAGCCATGATCATTCACATCCAACCTCATTTCAAAAAATGTCCAGATGATCAGAGAGCGGCAAGAGCCAAGGCAGCTGCAACACCACCGGCAGCCCAGCGCGCGTTTCCAGTAATCATGGGCATAGCAGCGTTGCCAGACTCAGTCTGGCTGGTGGCAGCAGCACTGCTGCTATCCGAGGACTCGCCAGTGCTAGTACCACCAGTAGTCGAAGCGGAGGTGGTCAAAGTGCCACCGGTAGTCGAGGCAGCGGTAGAAGCCGAGACGGAGGCACCAGTAGTGGCGGCAGCCTTTTCCGTTCCAGTTCCGGTGATCGTAACAGGCAACAAAGCGCCGCCACCGGGGATTTCGCTGAGGGCGACGGTGGTGGTGATGGAGGTGGTTAGGCCCTCCTCGTCGAGGCTTGCGGCGCAGGTCACGCTTACGGAATCATACTTGCAGCTCTCAACGACGGTCCTGTTTAGGGAAATGATCAGCTACGACTTGTGGGGTAGAAGTGGATTCTTTGTAGGGCTGGATATACTCACATACGTTCCCCACTGTATCCCAGACTGAAAGTTGAAGAGCCTTGGGCGATGGTGATGCCAGAAGGGGGAGGCCGCATTCGGTGGAGTCAGAGCCAGCAGCACAGTTGATGAGATATTTGGTCATGGAGCCGGTCTGGGATAATATTAGTTGGGTTTTTATGGTAAATTAATAGAATGGTTGTGCTTACAGTGCCAATGACCTTGCCCTCAAGCGGTTGCTGATCGAAGCCAAGTAGGAAAAGAGAGACTGTCTCGGCAGCGATGGCGGCAGTGGCACCGGCCAAAAGGAAAGATTGGATACGCATGTTGTATGTAGTTAACGAATGTGGGTGTATGTAGTCAAACGAGCGACAGGAATGGAAACTGTGAAAAGATGACAAGAGGAAAAGATAGAGCGGACAGCGCCTTCATATAAGAACCTTGGAAGTGATTTCAGGGTCTTTGCATGTTTAGGTTCCAAGCCCAGTCTAAGCCATTTGGGATAATGCATGAATCGCGTCGAAGCGGAGGTTTTCTATTGGCTCTTCCTTTGTATTTTAAAGGACTAAGAGATGGGCTCTAGCCTGTTTAGGTGCTAGCGTAGTCTAGTTTCTTGAAAGTTATACCACTATACCCAATCGGGTCACTTGAACCCCTTAGCGATTTGCAAAAATAGCTCTATTGCCCCCTAAAAAGTCGGATATATCAAACTCCGGATTTCAACCAAACTTGAATCGCAACATAAGATTTTTTTGTGGGGATCTGGATCTTGTGGTTTTAGCCAGATTTGCCAGATATTTGCCAGTTACTATGTACATGGTCTCTTTTCCTGCGTAAAAACATGCTGTGTGAATATATTCAAAGATGCTGAAATATCCTAACCCAAGATGTGCCCAAGTGAGTAATAGGTACGGAGTACGAAGTAGGTATGGCGGTGTTAAAGTCAACAAAGGCAACCTTAAAACCCTTTGAAAAATTTCCACGCTAGTCCCTTAGTGGACCGCCTAGCCGGGACTGCCCTCAGCCTCAATTCCCCGTTCTGTCCCGGGTTTTAATGACCAATTTTCTCTTCCTTTTTGATAAAACTTCATATTGCCATTTTGCCATTTTGGCACTTACCCTTGGAATATCCCAAGCTTACAAGCCCTGGAGGTTATTTGCAGTGTGGGGCCTTTTTATCACATAAGGTCTTCATTTCTTTGTGAGGGTACATATTGCGTACCCTATGCGTGATTCATGTTCCGTCAAGACCTCCTAAACATGGGTTCTCATGAAGATATCCAGACAATAGACTGATCTAATATGTTAATTTCATATGGCCATCCCTATCGCTGCGTCCTCTAGTCTATCAGAGCTCCTTTTGTTTTATAAAAATATCCTGCTCGCCCATGGATGGCTCCCTCGAAACTACAATCCCCTCCTTTAATTTGGCCCCAAGTTCCTCAAACACAATCTTTTGGAAATTTGACTCCAAGACGCGACAACCAAGATGCCTTGCTTGATAGTCTTGTGCCCCGAAGCATCTATCCACGGATACCCGCTAAGCTAGCAGGGTGGTTGGCTGAAGCCAATTGCCAAGCTTCAAACAGAGTAATGCTAAGCGATTAGCTAGTGTCCTTTTCTTCACGAGCCAACCATGCGTATCTCAGCCAAGTGCATACGGCGTTTGAGACAGCCTGCCATTGTGGCTGATGCTGCAGGTGATCCTTTCCCATCCAACTTCCAAGTTATCTCTTCCGAAGGATGCCCACGCTGCAACCTGATTCGAGTACAGTCGTTCGCGACAACGGCTAAACCCAAACAGCTCCTATATAGGCTCAACTTTATGCATTGTAACCCCTTGGCAAGGCGGATTTCTACCTTGGCATAAAATACAAAGACAAGCTCCGATTTCTTCGATTCTCTATAAAGGAGCGCTATCTGAACCATCCCCGCAAAGGTCTACTAAAATCATCTCAAGAGCAAAAAGGATCACTACTACCAGATACCCCTTTTCCGCATCAATCAACAATTTTCCTATCGCAGAAATGGCAGAAAAGATCGATGTCAACAATAAGGTCTATAAGCTGGCCGCTATGCCCTTCATTTTGGAACGCAAGGGCGACTATGATGAAGCTATCAAAATCTACCAGACCGCCATAACTGTTTTGGACGAAGCAACTAAAATATACAAGAAAGGAAATGTCCTCAAAATCAACAGAAAAATGTTTGAGCGACAGGTCCAAGTTCATCGAGAACGTCTGGCCTATCTTGAAGACCTAAAGCGCAAGGGCAGTTTCGATGGAATAATATTGCCTCCGACGATTTTGGATGCGATGGAGGAGTTGGAAGACGAGGACGGAAAGACTTGGTCATTGACCCAGGTAAGCCACAACCTTGGGGGCGTGGCGCACCTCTTCCGGATCACTGATACTTCTCGACTTTCAGATCCGTAGGGATCTTAATACTTTCCGCGGAGGTGATCCCGGTAAATCTACAAAGGATATCAGCACAGCTCCAGACCACATCCGCCCATTCCTGAATACCGACACCTCACAACGCCCCTTCTTCTCGCTGACACTGTCCCCATCAGCGCCTACGATCACTTACCGGATCACGCATTCCTCAGAGCTTGTCAGCCTAGGTATGCGCTCATATTGGTTTTTCGTCAAAGACTCGACAAACACACATGTCGTATACGCCCTTCAATTTGTCTGGAGCAACGAAGTACCGATCGTCGAGACGGTTCTCCGACGCGCCGGTGAATTCTTACCCCAAATCGGAGCAACGAGTGTGAAATTGCAGAAGATGAAAGGAGGCACTTTCCGGATGATCACACGGACGATCCCCGACATGGGCGCAATAACCGAGATTCCGGATGGAGAGATGCAGCGAAAGGATTGGTCGCCGCGACGATTTGAGTACGGAGGACGCAATTTCGTTTGGAAGAGTGCAGCGGCAGAGGGTAAGAAGGAGAGTGGGATGTTTGGGAGCTTTGGTATTCCTTGGGAGACTTTGTATGAGACTAAGCGTGTGTGGGCTAAGAGTGGAAGTAGGACAGGCAAGATGGAAGATGAAATTGTTGGCCCCAAGCTGTGCTGGGGAGAGAAGAAGGGGGGTAACGGCGCTGATCACAGTATTCACATGGTCGGTGGCTTGGACTTGTATTTCAGGGAGCATTTGCTCGCGGTTCAGTTGTCGAGGTTGGCTCGCGCCAGTTATCCCCCGCAAAAGGATACCAAGGGCCTCGAAGTAGCGACAACTAGTCTGGGTTGGCTTTCCCTTGCTACGTCGTTGGCATGAAATGCTGGCGAGTAGGCTTGGATTTGTTTTGGCTGCATATATTCCACCTTTTTATGATACCGAGTTTTGCTTTTTAGTCGCATTGAAGAAATGAACATCATTTCGGTGGGCCGTCATTTTATGGTTAAACATTTACAACGAAGGCTTCATGAGGTCAGCCGTCCGCTGGCTGTTGAAGTTGCTCTAGGAAGTCTTTATCCAAGTTTCCAGCGTAGAAGCCTAAATTTTGAGCGAAAAGAGGTTGTTGCCTAGACAAAGTCAGTATATAGTTATAGGATATTCGAGAAAAAGGACACATACCTGTTTATCGGAATGGAGGTGACCATTTCCTCAAACAGGGCATCAAATCCCTCATCGTCTGCAATTGTGACCCCGGCCGGTGATTGAAAAGCCGAAATAACACAAGAGTCAGCAGCGGGATTCGCTGGGGGAGCAATGATGGAATTTTCAGGTCGCGTTTCCAACACATGCAAATCGGATGACTGGACGAATCCATTGTAAGGAGGGTCCATTCGAGCATTCTCGGCTCTTGCAGATCGCAGGTTAATCGATCTCTGGAGACTTCCCGTCCCGGCCTCCAAACTCTGCAGGTACGGACAAAGTCGGTTTTCCAAAGCCTGTCTTTCGCCAGAGTTAGGATCGGGATGAACCATATTAAAGCACTGCTGGCATTGTAAAGCAAAACAAGACAATAATGGTGATATTTGTAATGCTCCAGTTATCTCCAGATATTTGTCCAACAAATTCACACTCGATCGGACGAGGTTGACAACCAACGCCTTTTCGCCCATGTCGAGCGCTAGGCTTCTTTTCAAGGACTCCAGCATCACAAAGAAGGATGTGAGATGCAAGGTGAGTAATGGAGGGGTGTTGGACTCTGAGCCTCCGGTATGCGGGTACTTCTCAACAAATATATTCTGTAGGGATCCAACGGCTTGCAGATTGGCTGACAACCCGCGCTCATCTGCGCGCAGCATATTGGTCGACGTATCAAATATTCGAGCCAAGTAATTCATGAGCTTACTGATGTTATTAAAGATGCTCAACGCCCGCAAGGGTCCTTTGGGTGTGTTTCGACATCCTTCTGAAGCTGGTAGAGATACCGACCATACATCCCATTCTTCTATGTTGTCTTCACTGATAGGCCCTTCTTCCTGTTGCTCTTCTAACGACATGCAAGGTGTTTTGCTCAAGACCGCAGACAAAATGTTGTCAAGGAAGATACATCCATGGAAAGTATTATGATATCGGTTGTTCCTAGAAGTCATAGGCAAAGTCGCCAACATTCTGGAAGCCTGACCAGCAAGCCTCCACGAATTTTTTATATCCCCTAGCTTCAGCTGCAGTAGGGCAAGGACAATGACTGTTTGTATGTGTCCTAGTTCCAGATGTGTCGAATTTGTCATGGCTCGTGCATAGATCGATTGTTGTATCTGCAAAGGACCTGGCTGCCTTGGGTCTGGGTCATCTTTCGCAGCTGATTCGTAAGCCACCACTGCCCAAAGAACTAAGCTTGAATCATGACCTAGGCTGGCTTCTGGTCCAAGACTAGTATGCATTGTCCGAAATAGATCACGGCGCTCTAGAATCGGGAACCAGCAGTGTGTATATGTGAAATAATTTTCCAGCATGCTGAGTGTATCGCTTGGAAAAGGTAGATAAGCATAGTCCATCTGGCCTGTCCCAATCGTTTGAATTCGTTGCTGCAAGGCCGGTTTATTCGTCCCCGAGGTTGCAGGCTCAGTGCCAGCATTAACGACGCCTGGTGTGTTGATCATCTCTAGTGTGTCCCATTCAGATTCATCAGGAACGGTCATTGTGGAGACTTCTTGAGAATCATGGTCAATCAATTTGGACAAATCTTTGGCCAGTTGAGACTGTCGCCAGATGATTGCGGGATCTCTGGCAAGGAAGTGATTGTTGTTTCGCGACTTAGTCAAAAGATCATGCACTGTTTTCTCGCTGTTTGGGACATTCTGCAAAACAAGCCCAAGGACCATCTCCAAGCTACGAACATATCCAGGGGGCAAGCCTCGTCGTCCACCGCCATTTTGATAACTGCAAGTACGATTTGCCGTGCGGCAGATTGAGCAAGCAGGCTGTCCTCCGTCACACTTGGACTTTCGCCGGCGGCATTGGTCGCATGCCCGAAAAATGCGTTGTCGCTTGGAAGGTCGCTGGCTAGGCATATGTGCTCGAAAATAAAATAAACACCATTGGTTCTCGAGCTCTCGTGGTCCTTCAAACTGATGTCGTTTGCTGTATCACGTGATCGGCGTTGATTTAGCCGAAACCCAACAGGGCGACGACTTCCTCATTTTCGAGTGAACAAATGGCTTCATGGGGGGAGAAAAGCAGAAAGGCTGATTTCATTTAAGGTGTTCATATTGGCAGTGAATATGTCGACAGCACAGCTACCACCTCCCTCAAGTACACCTGGTCCACACCCCGAAGGTCCCAGCTCCCGACGATACAGCGCCGATGCTACCATCTTGCTACTTGGTTCTTTTGGAGCCGGCAAGAAAACACTGGGACTCATTGCCTCCGTTGCTCTTCGTCGACGCTTGATTGACTTCGATGCCTTCTTCCGGGACCAGTTTCAGTATTCGCCTCAAGGGTTTATTGCGCAACATGGATTCAAGCGATATCGCGAGGTAGAAATAGAGTTGTCTCGACATATTCTCACAAGATATCAAACTGGTTGTGTCATTGCTGGTCTTGGGTTCGCAGGCAGTCCGGCTCAGCGACAGTTATTGGGGACCTTTGCACAGCACCATCCCATTGTGTATGTGCGGAGACGCAAAGCAGACCTTCAAAATTGCATTGAAATCAACCCTGATACATTTGACCATATCTTTGAAATTGAGAATGCCTTCTTTGAGTCATGTTCCAACTTTGATTTTTTCAACATCCCGCAAGAGTCAAGTCCACTGGCCGACAATCAGATATACGCACCACTCAAATTGAAGGAGGTTGAACGTATCTTTCTTGCCTTTCTACATCGCATATTCGGCACTCCACACAAGCAGCTTTTTTCTGCAGATCCTCTTTCTGCAACTCATACATACGCACTTGATTTGTGCGTGGAGCAGCTTGAGACGGATCTAGACACAGAATGTTTAGATGCAGGCGCTGATGCCATTTATCTCACATTGTGCCATGCGCAATACAGTTGTGATAAGATATTGGCTGTACTATCAGGCTATGTGGCGCTTCTAAGGGAGCACACCCGCATTCCAATAATTATTGATGCACAAATGGATCCAGAGAAAGACTCGACAGGCTACTTCGAATTTTTGGAAACGGTAGCACTACGGATAGCACCTGATGCTTTCACTTGTGTGCTCCAAAACAAAGAAATGGTTCGCCGAATTTACGCCACGAAAGGTCATTCCAAAATGATTGCCCTATATCACCAAAAGGGTCCGCTAGGAGTTGAAATGTCACCCTCCGAAATCCCTAACCTTCGGATGTGGCTGGAAGACCCGGGGTTCGATGCTCTTCGCATCATCGGTCAACATGCAGTTGCAGAAGATGCACTTACGTGTGTTGCATTTCGCCAAATGTTGACACACGCCCTCAATATTCCAGTTATTGCATACAATTCCGACCCCGACGAGCGAGCTTCCATACTCTTGAACCCGACTTTATCTCCGATACGGGTCAGACCTGGTCACGACCCTATACTCTCTTTACGAGACATGCAGCATGCGCTAAACTCTTTGTCTCTACGTCCTAATAAATTATTCAAGATCGTGGGTCAAGATCTCCGTCATAGTCTGTCACCAGCAATGCACAATGCAGCCTACGCATCATGTGGTCTCCCCTATATGTATGACTACAATGAGGTCCAAAGCTTCCGCGAAATTGAAGTCATGTTGAGAGCGCCATCTTTTGAGGACTTACTTGGTGGTTTGATCATTTCCCTGCCATTCAAAAACGATGTTTTGCCCTTGCTCGACGAGATCAGTCCCGATGCAAGAGACATCAATGCAGTAAACACTGTGGTACTGGAGCACAAGGTTCAGCCAAACGGAGTGAGAACTCCATTTTACCGTGGATACAACACGGACTACATCGGAATCAAAGATTGCGTTCACAGTCACCTGTCTCCAGCAAACGCCATTCGAGGTGGCAGTACGGCTCTGATCATAGGCGCTGGTGGGATGGCTCATGCTGCTGTGTATGCTTGTTATCAATTAGGAGTTCGACAGATATTTGTTTACAACAGAACTCTTTCGAACGCACAAAATCTGGCCCATTACTATAAGAAATGGGCGAGATCCAAGGGGGACAATATCTTTAATTTGGAAGTCCTTCAGTCAAAGGAGAACCCCTGGCCATCGGATTTTCGTCTTCCAACAATCGTGATTTCATGCATTCCTGGGAGGCATGTTGGCACTCAGTTGCCTGTCATCTTTCAAGTCTCTGACTCCTGGCTTGGAAGCCGAACGGGAGGAGTATTCGTTGAGGTAAGCTGTGTCTCTCCAGGGCTCTGCCCTAATCGCATCAGGCAACTAATACTCTTTTTAGGTTGGCTACGGTCCATCAAAGACCTCGTTGATGGAGCAGATGACTCCGTGGTCAATGAAAGGGTGGGTCATTGTCGATGGATTGAAGGTTCTTGTCAAACAGGGCATTACTCAATACGAGCTCTTTACCCAGAGGCCAGCTCCTGTGCACGTCATGCGACGAGCTGTTCAAGAAGAGGCTATCAAAAAAGGGTATTTCTATATGAGTTGATTTCCCATTTACTGTTAGAGTCTTGATCAATTCGCTGGTCGCTTGACACACCCAATAATTACACAAAATTCGTCAGTTAATAACATCCCATTCGATTTAATCGTATAATCTTCGCCCATAATTACGGCTAAAATCTCAAGCGACAAGGGCAAGGTCTTAGCCTGTCCCCGCAACTGAGCGGGTAAATCTCCCTAGTAGCATAACCTCTGACTCCCTGATGACAGAGTTCATGGAAATATCTTTTCAACTTCAACTTGACAAATTCAGGATTCCAATCAGATACAATGACCTACCAACCTGCTATTATGAGCGTCTCACTGGGACGAGCTTGGCTCCATGATTTTGACTACAAGATGAGCCAGGCTTCAAAAGCAGGTTTCAAAGGAATAGAAATCTTCTATGAGGACCTCGATTATTTTGCACGAGAAATCTCTAATAATGACACCCCAACATCCGATCAACTGCTCCAAGCAGCAGACAAGATTCACTCAATCTGCCAAGCCTACGGCCTCGATATCATCACTCTGCAGCCGTTCCTCTTCTACGAGGGACTCAAAGACCGCGCGCAGCATGGAAAGCTGATTGAAAAGATGAAACTCTGGCTACAGCTCGCTAAACGCTTAAACACCTATACCATCCAAATTCCCGCCAATTTCCTCCCCGCAGACCAACTCACCGATGACATTAATGTCATAGTTGCCGACCTCAGGCAACTGGCGGATATGGGCGCAGCCGAAACTCCTGCTATCCGCTATGCGTATGAAAACCTCTGCTGGAGTACGATCAATGACACCTGGGAAAAGGTCTGGAATGTGGTCAAGCGAGTTGATAGACCTAATTTTGGTATCTGTCTTGACACCTTCAACATCGCGGGGAGAGTGTGGGCCGACCCGGCCTCGCCAACTGGCAAGACAGTCAATGCGGATTCGGATTTGAAGGAGTCGCTCGAGCGAATGGTGGCTGAGATCGATGTTGCAAAAGTCTTTTATCTTCAGGTTGTCGATGCAGAAAGGATGGAATCTCCACTGGTCCCTGGCCATCCCTTCCACGTGGACGGCCAGCCGGCACGAATGAGCTGGTCGCGGAATGCGAGAGCGTATATGTACGAGGAGGACCGCGGAGTATATCTACCAGTCGAAGATGTTGCAAGAGCTTTTGTGTCGGGATTGGGATACAAGGGATGGGTCTCGATGGAGCTGTTTTCGAGAACAATGGCTGAAGAGGGTCACAATGTACCCGACCAGCATGCACAGAGGGGCATTGCGTCTTGGAAGAAGCTACAACGGAGGCTTCAGCTCAATTAGTTTTTCTAATAAAGAAAGCAAAATTTTAACCAAAATCGTCAAGTATTCATATGATATATATTCTCCGGCATCTCAACCTTTTATACCTCAATTTCCTTTCCATCCAACCACTCTTTGGCAAGTCGATACAACAAATCATGCTTCTCCCCACAAACAGTTCCAGCATGTCGACGATGACCAGGCATATCCCTCAACACCGTAACCCCCATGGTAAGCTCCTGGCAATATGCCAGACACTTATATCCCTCCGGATAAGAGTTGAGCTTCTGCACGTCAATGTCGGGGAACAGATTCGGGATCACAGGCAACAGCTTATCCTTCTCATACCAATGTCGCACAAACCGCGCACCCCAGCGACCGTCGACTTTCTCGAAGAAGAAACAAAAACGGCAGTCTGCCTCCGCATCCACTTCTATTCCGTCGATTGTGAATCGTTGTGTGATAGTCGCCTTCATTTTGGTGACGGCGCGACTGGTATCCGAGGTAATATCAGTTGTTACTCCATGGCATCGATGCATGATGAATGCCCCCTTGTCCATCCCCGCTTTGGAGGCTGCCATGAAGTCCAGGTAGGAAACTCGGCCGGACCATGTGGTGTAGACATATGCTCCTGGGTGGAAGATTGATTCAAAATTCTCCCATTCACAGGCGTCACTAGAATAATTGTCAAGATTGAGATTAAATTATATTCGTGGAGGTTGCCTTACCGGTAGCAAGGCCATCCCTCAGCTAGCTCGCGGAGTTTTGCACGCTCAAGGACCAGGTTATCTGGTCCGTTGTTGCGAATGGCATTTTCTGGCCAGGTGCCCTCGGGTAAGGAATGCAAGTTAGGCATGATTAAACTGAGTTGGTATAAACTGTCAATGCAAAAGATTGAAAGCTATAAGTATACCTTTTTTGCGGGGTGCGGATAATCATTTTGACGGCTGAATTCATTGCCGGTGAGGGACTCGGATTATATATTTCTCAGACTTAATGGGCAATAAGTCTGAACAACAATTATTTTCTAGTAAAACTGGTATAGAGAAGACCAAATTTAGCATGTATGTAATACTCTATCTTCAGTAACTAAAAGTTAATTCCTTTGCTCTCTTCGGCTGCTTTGAGCAAGACATCCCATGCACCCTCCCGGTCCAGTTTCATGCTATATTCCTTCCCAGCCCACAAACGCCACTGCTCCTCAATCTGGTACCCGATAATATGCGTTCCCTCCACACAAGGCCATCCCAGCTTCTCCCCCAGCTTGATCATCCTTGTCCTCCGCGGCTTGAAACACATATCCAACAGCACACCCTTTTCCGGCCGAGACAGGAATGACTCAAGAACAGTAGCCACTGTGACTTCGGTCTGAGTCTGCGGCTCAAAGTCTGGCACTGTTCCAACAACGTAGTACGGACTGGACAGCTTCTTTGCCTGCTCGGGCGTTTTCACGTGGATGATCGTCGGAATCCTGGCCAGCTTTTGCGTGTCGTTAATGAGATCGGCAACTTCATGGTCGTCGCGATTCAAGACATAGATTGTGGGGCAATGCAGGTACATTGATAGGGCATAGACAGCTGCGCGGCTCGCGCCTCCGGCTCCCACAATCAAGGCTGTGGCAGGTGAAATCGCCGATGGCCTCTCGTTCTCATTGCCCTTTTCCAAAAGGCAACCCTTGATCCCGCGCCAGTCTGTGTTAGTACCACACATGAGCCGCGTGGTACCACTCTTGTAATAGATATTGTTGCAAGCTCCGATCATGGTACACAGCTCATCCAGCTCATCGACGTGTTTCATGATCGAGTTCTTGTATGGCATGGTCACCACCAAACCCGCTGTGGTGGGTGCCTTAGCAATCTTGAGCAGATCTTCAATTGTGGGACATTCCGTTGAGTAAAATTTCCAGGGGAGACCAAGAGATTTCGCAATATAGTTGTGCATGCTATAAGCGATGGAGTGAGTGACACCCAATCCAACCAGGTGGAGGGTCATTTCTTGGGATTGCGACTGCGTCATTGTTGGCCAAGGGAATTTCAGCTTCGTGAAAAATGCGAAGGGCAATTTGATGCACGGATAACTGACATATTATTAAACACCACCGAAGTTCCTACACTGGAATCGTGACATTCATGCGGATATAGACTATCCGTGTTGACAGCAACGGGCTCCACCGTCGATTAAATTCATAGCCGATGCGACACATAGTTCGAGATCACCTATGCATTTCCAAAGACTTATAACACACGGAATAAATATTCTTGGGTGCTCTTTACACCAATTACTTCAAGCTATCATGGCAAAGAACTTCCATATCTTCGGCAAAGGGATATCGTTCAGCGTTTCACCCACCATCCACAACGCAGGCTTCCAGCACTATGGCCTTCCCTTTACGTACACAATCCACGAGTCCGACAGCATTGATGAAGTTGCTACATTGATTGCAAGCGATTGCTTTGGTGGGGCGAGTGTCACGATGCCACACAAGCTCCAAGTCCACAAGTTCTGCAACAATCAAACCGAGACTGCTCGACTAATCGGCGCAATCAACACCCTTCTTGTGAAAGGCAATGGCAGCGATCGGATAATCACTGGTGACAACACAGATTGGTCGGGTCTGCGCAGTATCATGGCTGCATACTCGACTAAAACACAAATCCAACCTAGCACCGGACTAGTGATCGGGGCTGGGGGCGCATCAAGAGCCGCGCTCTACGCTCTGCACCAAGCCGGAGTAAAGCGCATTTACCTCGTGAACCGAACCTTGGCAACCGCCGAGAAAGTTAGAAACGATTTTAAGAACGCTTTTGACATCAAGGTTATCCCAAGTCTCCAAGATCTTCCAGAGAAGCCGGATGTCGTGATCGGTACTGTGCCCGCAGAGACGACCACAGCGGATCAGTTCTCTTCATTATTCGGGGATCGGGGGTTGTGTGTCGATATGTCGTACAAACCGAGACAGACGCCGCTCTTGACGGCAGCACAGCAGAATCAAGGGTGGGACATGGTCACGGGTGTGGAGGTACTGCTCGCACAAGCATTCGACCAGTTTCTACTTTGGACGGGACTTGAGCCGCCGCGGGATATTATGGCGGAAGCAGTTGTGGTACTTGATGGAGAGCGGGCTACTATGGATAAAGGTGGAATGCTTTAGATTTGGAATTCAATAGAACAGATTCGGAAAATTGACAGGTACAATATGCAATTGCTTAATTTAAAAGCACGAAGTACATCAATAAGTGCTCGACACGAGAAATCCTACTCGGATGATTGGATCATTTGGTTGGATAGATTGGGTGTTCGGCTATTTATTCCATCGCTATTGTGTTAATCGATATTTCCCCCACACCGAGATTGCCGAGGGAAATGGGTAACTCACGCTGTGTCTTCCATTCTGGCAGACCGCAGATTGTCGATGATCCAATTGGTTTGGGTCTTTTGTAGATGCACCTCCCATGAGACATTCGATTACCCCAATCGCGAATTTCCTGCTCCAAGATCGGCAAGTTATGACAATTCACTGGAAGCCATCCGGTAGCCGTAGGCTGGATCAGTAGTGCAAGGACATTCAAAACCCAGAACTTGCTGTTACTGCTTCTTCCGGGGCAATTTAGGCTGCTGTCGTAGGATCTTATCACCCTGTCGATAAATGGATGCAAGGGACGAGTGATATCGGCGATTCGGAATAAACCCGTAAGAAGGGGAGTATTAAAGATCCCGCCAGTATACTCATGCTCAGGTCTCAGACCAGATCCCGTGTCTACGACGTGGTATGCCATGCCTCCAACAGAGTCCGAGTGGAGATACAGACCCCAGTAGAACTCATTGGGCTCGGGTGGTTCTTGACGGGCTTGGAGAATGACATATAGTCCGCCGACTTTGAGATCTGCAAGAGACATTTCGAGATGATTGGCTGATGCTCGGGATCTTCGATATCGGGCTTGTTGGCACTTTGCTTCGTCTCGCCAGGCGTTGGGTAGGCACGAGTTGGGTAGCGGTTATTCTATCTTCACGATCGAGGCATTACGGTGATTTCTTCAGAGGTACTTAAATCTCAGACAGATTGGACACGTTGTGTTAATTGCACTCTGCTCATGTGCCCAGGCACTTGTACCCCCATGGCCTGTTGCACGTCGAACGAGATTGGTAATTCTTCAGGTCCCTAGTTAAGTCAAGTGCAATTCAATTCCGAGGACATTTTTCTTTGCTAATGAGCAACTATGGGGCAACATGTGTAGGAGTACTAGGTTCTAACCGGATATTTTTTTCTCCTACGCCAGCTACAATTCCGAGTTCACATTTCTCGATCTGGCTTGTATCTGCACAAAATGACTCAACATCGATGGTTTCCCATGCCCCTTTTTAAATCCCACTCGATCGTTGGCAGATACGTGCTGTGGGGTCACTCCACACTATGCAACGGGTTTCGTTCTAGAAACTTATTTTAGTATGTATCACGTTTGTGTGACCTGGGTACATTTGTCAGATATTGCACTACCAATAGTCGTTCCTATCACATCTCTTTATGCGGCTCATTCTTATCATCTCATAGTTCCTTCTAAGCGCTACCTCGAAACACAATCCCTCGTACTACTTGCCGAATGCTGACAGATGCATGGTCACCAGAGTCGTGATCAATCACAGCACGTCCGTTTGACAGATCATATCAGGATCGGCCCACATTGGAAATCAAACGGATGCAGCCTTACTGATTATCCGATCTCTAAGAATAATCTATGGAATACTCCGTACTGAAATTTGAATGTTGATTAACGGAATTTGATCTCGATTATTTTACTTGAGACATTTGTTCGAGCTGATGAGAGGTAAGGAATTAAGCTCCAGTCATCCATGGGAAGGAATCAACAGGAGTCGCCCCTAAGTCAAGAGAGGCATCGCGCCCGGGAAAGAACCGTGGACAGAATCTAATTATTTTTTTATTTTTGCTTCAACATCCCTAGAAGTCAATAATTGGCAAGTCAAAGAGTATGAAAGTATGAAGTATGTTATAGATGATCGTTACCTAGGTCGAGGTGATCCACACCCAAATGTGACTCTGTACGCATCCTTCGAGATCCAAGTTTCAAGTCGCGGGGTTTCTGTCAAGATAAAAAAAATATAAGCAGTTTATAAGCAGCCGTTAGGAATAGTCGAAGAAGAAACGAAGTGCAGGGAATGGTACGGATCAAACTCCCGATCTGCACCTTTGCATCTGTCAAAAAAAAAAACGGCGTGACTCAGACTTTAGTAGGGCATACGGGATAAGTAAAAAAAAAATTAGCTGATCAGCATCAAACGCTACGATGATTTGGTTATGATGAGGGTCCCAAAAGTGGGATGTTGGTGAGAATAGGAATTTTTCCGATGTATCCAATCACCAAAAGTGACAGAGGTGATTATGTTGCAGCGGGATGATGCAATGATGCAAGGCGGGCGTCTAGCTGCAAGCCATCCAGGGTAGTCTAGGCTTTATAATATGCGGTGTCGAGCTATACAGTCTTGGTGCCCAACATCAATTGCTATCCAAATTGCATGTTATTCTAACTTGTATATAGGCGGACATGTAGGCCGATGCCCTAAAAGCGCCAAAGAGGGACCCATCTCCACCGGGACGGCAGATCCACTCTGGAGGAACTGTCTTGACTTTCTGTATGGTACAGATTTTATGGCCAGTCCATAGACAAGACAGAGAGGTAAGCGATAATTGTAAACTTAGTATAGATTGCAAGTAAAAGGAGAAGGCGTAAGATAATCTCCGCTATATATTGTTGTTAATTGCACGTTCCTCGATGGGTCCGTGGCTTAAGCCAATCAATCCTCTAGTAGAGATACAATTTAGTAGCGTACCAAAGTCATATATTAGCATGGAATGCAAAGAAAGGAGAAGTTGAGGACAATGACAACAACATTGTTATATAGATCGGACAATAAGAAGCAATAGAAGAATATAAAATATAGAATATAAAGCATAGAAATGTCAAATAATACAAAAGGAAATATATAAAAGCAATCTACTCAATGGCGCGCATGTCCCCTTTTTCTGACCCAATCACCCATTTTCTCCCCACTATCTCCTGAATTTCCCTTCGCCCCTTCTTTCCCTTCCTTCTTTTTTTCTGTTTTCAACAGATCTCTTTGTTTTATTATTTTATATCTTACCCCAGACCTTCGAAATTAATTCTCGAAGAGAAGAACCTTGGAAGGGTCTCCATTTATTTTCTTCCCGTTCCAACCTCCGAACTCCCCCTAATTCTCCCTTTGTTTTTAACATTAGGTGCATTTTTCACTTTAAATTGTCTTGCGATCCCTTTCTTATTTCTTTAATATCTCCTTTTTCTTCATTTGCTCTATTTGAAACTCATAATGGCCTCAAAGGTGAGCTTTTTTATTCTGTGGTACCACGTCTGTTCCAACAGCTAACCCTTATTTATCCACAGTTCCTAAGAGAATACAAGCTGGTGGTTGTCGGCGGTGGTGGTGTCGGCAAGTCCTGCTTGACCATTCAACTGATCCAGAGTCACTTCGTGGACGAGTACGATCCAACAATTGAAGGTGAGAGCACGAAACCCCTGTTGCATCAGCCGCGCGGATCATATCGCGTCTCCCCAGGGGTACCTAACCCCCGTCGAAACAACATAGCTGATTCGGAACCTTCTTCCGCCTACAGATTCCTACCGCAAGCAGTGTGTGATCGATGATGAAGTCGCTTTGTTGGATGTCCTGGATACAGCAGGTCAGGAGGAATACTCGGCTATGCGAGAACAATACATGCGAACCGGCGAGGGATTCCTTCTCATCTACTCCATTACATCGCGCCAATCCTTCGAAGAAATCATGACCTTCCAACAGCAAATCCTGCGCGTCAAGGACAAGGATTACTTCCCCATCATTGTTGTTGCCAACAAGTGCGATTTGGAAAAGGAGCGTGTGGTCTCTGAGCAGGGTATGTCCATCTCTACCTCCAGCCTCCCCTGAAACTCTCTTGAAATCTCAACACAATCCCGAATCTGAATTCCGAATTCCGCTAACCACTCACCTTGACAATAGAGGGCGAAGCGCTCGCCCGCCAGTTCGGCTGCAAGTTCATCGAAACCTCCGCCAAGTCCCGCATCAACGTCGAGAACGCCTTCTACGACCTCGTCCGCGAGATCCGTCGCTACAACAAGGAAATGTCCTCGTATCCCTCGGGCTCCGGCGCGTTCGGTGCCCGCGCACCAGAGGGCAAGATGGACGTGAGCGACCCCGACGAGAGCGCTGGCTGCTGCTCAAAGTGCGTCATCATGTAAAACACCAAAATGATCCGAATCGCGATACCCTCGAATCTCGTTCCGAAATACGGGAAGAGTTTCAAAGGATTTATACGTCCGAGTGCACACTTGGGAAAGTTGGATATGTTTACCTTTTGAATGGCCTTAATCTCTGCAACCGCCGATCACATGGGAAATACGGAGACTGCAAAAATTGCAACCTCGAAAAACAACCAGAAAAAAAATTACCAAAGAAAGTGGCATTGTCGTTTGTGTTACGGATGTTTGTGGGTTCTTCAACTCGCATTCTTGATGACTGCCGACCTTGACGCCCAACCTCGTCTCACGAAACATTTTGATTCCCCTTTTGTTGTCCGATTGCGTCTTTGTTTTAGTGCCTTTTTTATTACTTTACTCTTTGCGAAAGATCCCTGGTGTTTGTCTATCGCCTTTTATTATCATTATTCTTTGTCGCTCCAGACGACACGGCTGTCAATATATGTTCTTTCATGGCAAGGTGGATTGCTTTCCATCATTGTGGCATGTCCCTTGATTTTGAGGTCGTCCTGGTATGATTCTATCTAGTGCTGCGTACGATATATGCCCATCTATCACCAATAGTGTGATCCATCCGGTCCGATATCTTATATCAAGGTTCTCATATATGTTGACAAGGTTCCTCCTTTGCAAGGCTATGACAGATAGATCATGGGGTGTTATTAGGAATCTCGCTTATAGCTTCATGTGATAATCTAGCCTGGTCAATATTTACATGTTTGACTCTGAAATATACATGTCGAATTGCTATGCTCAATGTGCTATGCGTGTTTCAAACATCGCAGTCTACATATGTAATGAACAATCTACTGACTGAAAACCTGCTCCGAGTCGGACGGAACATCCAACTCGTCCTCTTTAGTAACCAGCTTACCCTGAACATTCTCCTCAACCTCACTAACCAGCGACTCCATGTATTCCTTATCCGCCCCGACCAAAGTAACAGTATTGCGCTTTTTACCCCAACGCGGATAGCTGCCAACCTTGATCCCCCGAGGCTCAACCTTAGCCGCAAGCTCAGTCAGGTATGGCGCCACCGCACTCTCAGGCAACGGCGTGCTGACCATCAAGCGGAACGTCCCCTTGCCCTCGGGGTCAGTCAAACGGGGAATAAGATAAGGCTTCAAGTTCTGGAGCAGACGCTCGAAGAGCCGCGGTACACCGGGTAAGATGTGCACGTTGCCGTTCACCACCGCGACCGGCACCCACAAGTCATCCGCGACGAACACGGCCTGTGACTCAGCGGAGACCTCGGGGTCGAAGGGCAGCTCGACCATGCGCAGTTTGGCGGTTAGGCCTGGTGAGGGTGTCTCCCAATCGAAGTTTAGTTGCATGGGGTGAGGCTTGGAGAGACGCTTCATGCGCTCGAAGGCCGGCTGGTGCAATGCCAGCTTCAGGTTGAAGGCCTTGGCGATTGCGGAGTATGTGATATCATCGTGTCTGTAAACGGGGGTCTGTGTGTTAGTTGTGGGTTTGTATGAAGTGTTGCGTTGCTTGAGCGCTGTCGGCGTAGATGTGTGTCGCATGATGCGGAGAAACTAGGGATGGGGGGTTGTTGTACGCACGTCGGCCCAATTCCGCCACTGGTAACGACAAAGTCATAGCGGGAGCTCATGCGTCGTACGGCTTCGATTATATCCTCTTCGTCATCGGGGACGACCTCCACTCGCTTCAGTTCGATGCCGAGCGAGAAGCAGAACTTGGCTAGGTACGGCGAGTTGGTGTCGATGGTCTAGGGGTGGAGGTAATGTCAGAATCATTCTTCCCATGCAGAATTCTGTGAATATCTCTAATTACCTTTCCACCAAGAACTTCATCGCCGATAATGAGGCATGCTGCCGTGTGGATGGGCTTGAGCGCGGCTGATGTCATCGCGAACGGACCTGAGCGAGGGGCCAGAGACGGGGTCGAGAAGGAGGGACTGGTTGGACGATATGGACTGAATGGACGGAAGTGTCGAGTCAGTAAATTCAGTCGGTTGAGCATGAAGATATAAGTGTAGGGAATTTGGGATATGGATTGTTCAAAGCGTGGAGAAAGTGAAGTGGGGGAACAGGGACACTCCGCCCGCATTTCCAACCTTTCCAGCTTTCTCCGTTTTTCAAGTTGAACATATTCAGTATCATCTTTATTCACATTATTAGCGCTAGACTCAGCACTTTAGTTTCCTTGCCTTCGCTGCGTATCCCACAGTGAACGCCCGAAATGGTGAGGCATCTTTCCGCAGGTTGATTGGCATAGGCCATGCGAACTGCTCGCAGATTTCCCCCATCAGGCGCTGACTTGTGGTAGTCTGATTCACGACTATATTCGTTCTCTCCCGAGACCAAGGAGAAGCTGCGCAAATTCCGTCTGGGCACATCGAGAGCCAAGGACGCGCAAGCTATCATCTGTATGGGCCCCTAAACCTGTGCTTTCCCACGTCTCTCATGCACTTGGATCGGGCTATATAGCACTTACATAGTGCCAGTCGTGACCACACCGGTATCTTTGCTTGCGTCTCAAGCTGACTGTGGCACACGATAGATATCATTGATACAAAGACCCAGGAGATCCGGCCGCAAGACGATGAGGTCTACTCCAAGATGGAAGATCTGGCCGATGATCTTCCCGAATCCTCACCGCGATTCATTCTGCTCAGTTACCCAATGACCACCGTAAGTTGTCTATCAAAAATACAGACCCGATCCGACCCACGACATACGTACTAAACGAGATATGCACCCACAGAAAGACGGACGTCCCTCAGTCCCATATGTCCTCCTCTACTGGCTCCCCGAGAATTGCAACCCGATGCAACGGATGTCGTATGCAAATGCAGTGGAGTTGATGCGCACCAGTGCCCAAGTTAACCGGGTGATTGAGGTGGAGGCCGATGAAGATATCATCGACATCAAGTCCAAGCTGACTGGGTCGGATTAAGGCATCCAGGCTAGTAAATGCATCCCTTGATTGGAGAGCATGTCCGTTGGTGGATTGAGCATATACCCAAGGCGTGGGATTTGTATAGGCGTTTTTCTTTTTTTTTTTTTTTTTTTTCTGGCGAAATTGCTGGATCCTATTGGTTTGGAAATGCCGCCCACACAGAAATACCCTAGGTGTCGAATGTACTTCTGGAATTCGAAATCTGACATGCGCTTGACTGCTCAGACTAATTTCCCGGGATCTCATGCTGTCGTCGATCACACAGGAGCCTGGGATGGAATTTGTGATCTGTCAACCCAGATAAATGTTAACGGTGCGGTTCGTACAACCCCCCGCTAGTGGTAGATCTCACGAGCTATGTACTTCGTACTCCAAGGTTTCCTTGTTTTGAGTTTCCCAACGAGAATGGCCAAGGCCTGTCATTCGGGGATGCCGATGCTCTGGGCTCAGCTGGCCTACGTTGCAGTCAGTTGATACTCTATGGCCCAGGTCTTGACCGCACGCTTGTAATGGTTTTTGGTTACCGTTACCAGCCCTCGTTCACGAATAGCCAGTCCTTCTGCCCGGAGGGGCGATGTGCCCAACATCTCGCCAGCTAGACCATCGATAGCCGCCAGCCACAGATGAACACCTAGGCTGATGGATACAACTAAACCTAATGCCCACTAGTGAATCACCCCAAGCTATCCGGTGCAAAATCTCTTCAATCTCACAAGACTTTTGGAAGTCGACGATCATCTTCGTAGCCGTAGCTCATACGCTCGTATAATTCCGCTGGTCCCGCCGTGTATGTGGCCGGTGAAAAGGATTCCGGGTGTTTTGATTGATACAATTGGGCTTGTTCTTGTTCACTTACAATGTGTGGATTGAAGTGGGCATGCAATATATCTGGCAGTGATTGATTGGTCTCCCTGCAAAATGTGATCGCCCACTACGAGATGCCCTTTCTCTCCACCGTTCACGAAACTCCTCTTTTCTTGTTTACTTGGAATTTAGTAGGCTTAGTGTCTGTGCAGGCCGAACGGTCTACAAAATTCCACTGTAGGATTGAATCTTGTCAAGATATAGTTTACTACATGTGAAAAGTCAAAGATCCTTTACAATGTGTGCAATTTATAGATACCATGTTACTGGCTCTTAAATTGTCTTTTCATTCCAATAATTTCAAAAATTTACACCGTGTACTAATACCAATGCAATTCACGCTTTATAGTACCAACGGGGTGGTACGAGGGCCGGAATCCCGACATATAGAATGGCGGTGGCAAGGCGGGTGTGGCATCCGTGCCCAGGTGCGTATTACCGGGGCCATTGCCCTGGGTCAAGTAATGCATATTTGGAACAGCGATATGCAGTCTATGTAAGCGAGAGCGACAAGCTATCTAGACGGGTTGGAAGAATGCCAATGGAAAGTATACAAGTGTAGAGTACGGGGTGGTCATATGGCAGATAGGAGGCTACATAGTATCCCGAGTTACGGTGTACAAGATATAGTATACGATGTACAGTAAACCATATGTATGGGTTCTATTCCGTGTATCAAACTGTGCAGGTCTATAATCCCGTGGACATGGGACGGGTCATGCCTACTGCATGCAGAAGGCTCGGGATAAGTACAAGGAGTATCGCTGTTCCAGACATATGTGATTGTACGGTCTATGATTTTCATCCAGAATATATATACTCTATAATAATAGTATTTAATATCTTAGAGGTTATGGTCCATGCTATACCCAGGTCCAGCGATCCGACCACCCTGATGAGCCCACATTTGGCCCACTTAAAACCCAGAGGGAAATTTATTTCCTTAGAATAATTATTTGCTTTTCCCCGAGGGGGCTGGCTCCGGATTTTATAGAAAAAAAAACATTGCCATATTCATCATCAATTTTCAATGCCCACTTTCCATTGCAGGGGTTGAAAACTGACAGGCTAAGAAGGACAATGGGAAACCGTTGAGAGATAAAATCCCAAAATTATCAACGGCTCAGTTAGTCTGCAGTAGTTGCAGTAGTGCATACCCTCGGGTCGAAGTTCAACTCCATTCTCCTCCCTTTTTCTTTTCTTTTTTATTTATTTTAGTCTTGGATTTCCTCATTTGCAGACATATTATTGTAAATCATTTTATGTACTCCATAGGCTGACGAACTGCTGTTTATACTTTGCGCTTTGGGATCCCTGTGTCATGCATCATGCATCCATCCCTTCTGGTCCAATGGCCGGAGAGATCCCCGTGTGTCAGGTTCTTTTGCCACCCTTCGGTGCTAGACGGATTTTGCATTCTTCACAGTGTTATCAATACTTTAGTCAGCACTATAAAGAGCGCTACCGTAAACACGGGAAAGACGTCCTAACAATAAGTTATACCAAGGTACGGAGTATGGAGTACGTGCTTATCTCCAGTACCAATCCCTTTATGTTGTACAATTGTAGTACCTCGTACTGCATACTCCGTACAAGTTAGTATAATACACAAAGGCTGTGAAGAAACCAAACTCAAAAGTTCACGATCTCCGCGGCAATTCAAATCCCGGTTTCAAAGGGAACTCATTCCTCCTGATCGACTACAATGGTGAAGAAATTAAAGACATGCTCATCAATATGTCGACTATTCCCCCCTCCCGATCCGCTCCCGCCAATAAGTCTGTTTTTGGAATGGTCGGGATGGCGGGTGCTGCCGTGGGGAGACCAGAGGATGTCAACTCCCGGTGTCCCCACCCTTGGACACCTTTGGACCCAAGGGCTTTGCATGCCACATCGGTCAACCGCCGGGGATGGAAGACTACATAAGTGTATGTACTTCACCTGGGCATATTTTTGTACTTTTGTGAACATGACGAAACACGAACGTTGCCCCGTGAAGGTCCAGGACGGGATGCCAGAGGAACCAATGACGTGCCAAGAAACAGGGGGGCCCCGTGTCTGGTGTGCTATTATGTAGCCAGTAAAATAATACGCTGGTCTCGGATATGAGTTACAGAGAGAATCTCCTGAAGCCACTTTCGAGGCCAAAGCCATTGCAAGTGTTCGGGTTGGAGGAAAAAGAGTGGAGAGTGCACATCAGAGACTAAATGGGAGATGTCAGAGTTACCACTATGACCAGTTATCATATGGTACATGATTCTCGGTATCTTCCTATAATGGTTAGTATGAAGTGATACTTTTACCCATGTACTAATTCGCCCAATAAACTGAATAAAAATAAAAATAAAAATAAACCATTTCAAGGCAAATTCAATACAAAAATGTAAAAATAAAATTGAAATAAAATATTCCCAAATCCGAATCCACAGAACCACAGTATCGGAATCCCCACGTCTGAGCTTTAGACCTTATGTACCTCTTTATATTCTCTATAATTGGGTCCCTTTCCCTATCTTCTGGAAATCCTCCGGTCCACTTTGATATTCTTCACACATATTTTGTATGGTACTCGACATATCAAAGCATTTGCCATTACATTCTAGTGCGAATAATGTCTCATGACGGTCCTCGCGAAGACAAGCCTGAGGGCTTCTCTAAATACCTTAAGCGTATGAAGACTGTCCTCCGTCCTCGCTCAATGTCCAAACGACAATCTATGGCTCCTGAAACAGCCGCTCCAACCGAAACAACGTACGATATACAACAATCTTCTACTTCAAAATTATATACTAACATTGCCTAAATACAGGGCACCAAAGGTAGCATCACCGGCACCAACTCCTGCGCCAGCATCAGTGCCTGAACCAGCTCCGGCACCAGTACCAGCACTACCCCAGGATCTCAGCACAACAGGACCAGTCATGTACACCGACTTCAGAACGACTCAGAATGAAAAGGCACGCGCCCTCTTCGCCAAATATGGCCTGACCGTCGACACCAGCGAATGGAAGACACCAACCGACCTCCAGATAACCCGCGTAACCAAGCCAATCCGCATGCGAGTGCGCCGTACCTGCCACCGCTGCGAAACAACCTTCGGCGCAGACAAAGTATGCGTCAACTGCCAGCACACCCGCTGCACAAAGTGTCCCCGATACCCACCAACCCGCAAGGACGGCGAACCGACAACCCGCAAGCCCAAGGTCCCAGATGTCTACGTCTACCAACCCCGATTATTCCCCAGGACCTCGCACCTCAAGCTCAGCACTACCAAGGAAATTTCGCTCAAGATGCCGTCGCCCACGGGCGGCGCGGATTTCGTCCGTCGGCCGGTTCGCCAGCGAGTCCATCGCTCCTGTCACCTCTGCGCCTCGACCTTCATCCCCGGTTCCAAGGAATGTCCGAATTGCAGCCATGTGCGCTGCAAGATTTGTCCGCGGGACCCGGCTAAACTCGATAAATATCCTGATGGCTATGCGGGCGATGCGGATCCGCCCAAGCCTAGACCTGAGCGCACGTTCAAGAAGACTCGGCGCAGAGTCCATTATGAATGTCATGTTTGTCAAACTTGGTTCCAGGGTAATGCGGAGACTTGTTTGAAGTGTGGTCAGGCGAAGTGTGATGAAACTAGACGAATTCCGTACGTTTCGATATCAAACAACATATGTGATTTGGGATTTATAGCTAACATTTGATTTTTTTGCAGTCCTAAAAAGGTCAAACCAGAACCAAGCCCTGAGGTTCTCAAGAGCATTGAAGAGAAACTAGCAGCTATGGCGCTTGAACAGACACCGGACGCTGTTGAAGCGGCTTGATTGGAACACAGCATTGTCTACCCGATTTATCTTTACAACCAACACAATCCTTTATGATATCCCCCGTTTACCCCCACTGATTTAATCTACCACGTTATTTGATCCATCCCGATGATACTTTGTTATTTTTATATGCCGCCTACCAAGCAAGACAGAATATGCATAACATACACATACATTGGATGGTATTAACATCTGCACAATGTAAACTCATTTTACTCACCGGGATCGGATCAAGACTCTGCACCGGAAAACTACAAACGCCTCTTTTCCCTTACAAGGTTACACCTACCAGCGCATGCGCCCTGACATGGATCCCGATGATGTGTATGTTCCTATGACGCCCAGGGCATACGTGCATATCGTATATTACGCACTATATTTTAAACATATGTAAGTATGGCTTGATGTTGTGGAATAATATAATAGTCATAATATGAAATTCGGCGGCAAAGCCAGCGGACCTAAACCCGAAATTCCACAAAAATAGATCCCCAGTTTCCGTTTCCTGGGATATCAGACGTCATACAATACTTTGAATACAGAGACAACGCATTCCGATATACTTTTTCATGGAACTAAACGTTGCGCAAAGTACATACCGGAAACGCTTTCCACCAAAAAAAGGAACGATATCCCAAACCCCTAACGGCGTTTATTCCTAATCCACAGTGTCTAAAATATTTTAATTTCCTACGTCATGCCTTACTGCGGGGATCTGCATGTGCAATTGCCTCGTCCAAGTCTCCCTCGTGCCTACTTTCTGCCTTCTGCCTTCTATCTTCCATATTCCAAATCCCCTTACCCTGTTCCCCGGGACTTTATCTTAAAATGTGGCACGCCACGGAAGGTAAGCACCGGAATTCTTCCGGAGACCTAATTCGGCCGAAGACATACATCGTGCCACATTTGAAACGTAGAGTTCTAAAAGTATTTAGCGTAATACTTGAATGGAGCGGGAAACACAGCCCGTGTGGTTCCGTTTGGACGGTCCGAGCCGTTTTTTTTTTTTTTTATATATAGAATAGATTGGGAACCCAGTTGAGAGTGCATTTTGATAGGAAATTACCAAACATTTGGTACTACAGACAATCACAATATAGTTTGATTCTTTTCTCGGAATGGTGTTCATTAAAGGCCAAGGTCAGAAAATGCAATAGTGGGGCAAATAGGGAATATAGTATGGTTATTGGCCTGGAGAAAATCGCCCATAGCCGCTTATATTCCCGATGGCACTTTGAGTTCAGTGAGACTGTGGATTGGAAGGTTTGATGATTTGGATTTCTTTGACGCTTCTTGAGATAGCTTATCCATTTGATTTTTTTAGTCCAAATGGTCTTCATGATCTATATATGCTTTTGCTTTTTCGGCTTAAACAAAAGTACCCCCCTGTCACTTATCCCTTCCGCCGATCCCCTCAGCTGTACTAAGTATGTAAACTACTGCATAAAAATCGATAGACACGGCATAAGCTCCCGGAAGCCCGGGGAAGGCCACCCGCTGTCACAACGCATTATACAGATCCAGATTGTTGGATCACGGTGTTTGTCAAATCCCGAGGTCTGGACACGACTGTGAGGGTTCAGTCAAAAGTACTTTCTTTTAAGTTTTCGCATAAATCATCGGAGGATAATGCCGCCAATAAGTCAGGGGGGTCGCTTAGGGAGAGTGGACAACCCGGTTCCAGAACACCGGGAATTGAGCGGCTGGGGGGACGCCCTTTTTTTAAAAAAAAAGTATTAGTGGATGGGACTGGAATCCATTTCAACGGCCAACTAACCTAATAAAGAAACTAATGCGGTCCTTTTGTTTTTCAATGGTTTACGCTGTACTCCGTAATCCGTGGATGAAAATGTGGCTGGTCGAGACTTGCACGATCGACCCACTATTAGCACTGGAAAATAAGAAATAACAGTTCTACATGCTATGTGCAGTAGTCGCCACAGTTTGAAGTATGTGAGCTGCTGGTAGATCGTGGATCGACATATAGAGAACAGGCTGTCATGTTGGAGCGTTTGCCTAATGCCAGCCTTGCGTCAAAATGTAGCCAGTTCAATTCGGTTAGTGCTCCTACTACATCAAGATCTTGGCACGTCAATACCCACGATGTCGGATTGCACTATGCATTTGTACGGAGTACGGAGTACTCCGTCCCACTTTCTAGTTTCGGGGGGAATGTGTAATGTGTGGAATTGCACATCTTAGTTCCGTACGGACTACTCCGTACAGAGGCGTCTTTTTACTTCCTGTGGATGGTAGCTCGAAACACAAAATATGACAAATATAGGATTGGGAAGAGTCTAGATTATCTCCAAACTGTCGTTGCCAAAGTACCGGGTTGAAGAATCGGAGCTGTCGTATCTTTAGGAAATTCTAACTGCCCATTCGAAGGATATATTTTCCTTAATCTACTTAAAGTTTATCTTCATGGATCAGAAGGCTGATTTAGAGTAGACCCTCTTACCTAGAGGGGTGTAGTATGTAGTCTCCTGAGCTTGGTGGATTTAGTTTCTACTAGTTTTACCCCTTGAGCCTTTTATGCATCTTTTGTTTTGATTGGCAATCTACAGGGTACGAGTACGAAGTAAATCGATGGAAGATCGGCTATCTTAGTTTCAAGGGAGATAGTCCAAACTAAAAATATGTACCTTCCCGATTTGGAAACCCTGGGGAAAACATGGGTGATGCCTTTCAATGTTCTTGTAAGATCTTCGACTGGTCACACTATTCTATATGTGCTCCATACCACGGCTGTGGATCACAGAGATTGCCGTCCCCTTTCGAGGTACATTAACACTTTACTTGCAAGGGCGTGAACTCCAAGTCACACCCCCATTTCAAGAATCCACATATTTATTATTCACAAAACATCACATCAATGCTAAACTCTGATCCTCCGACTTAGTTGCTCCGTCCCTGCAGACTTCTCAAAATCAACATCATTAACACGATCCACCCGACGACCCAAAGCCCGCCGAATAATCCAGTCCTTGCTATTAATCTCCTCTTCAACCTGACCATCCTCCATAACAGGAATCCGATCAGACCCCTCCAACCGACGCAATATCACACTATCCTCGGGTCGTGCAAAGTACACGAGACTATACCGCG